AAAAAATTAAATAAAGAAAAATATAAAATTAAAAAACTAAATTAGAGTTATACTAAATATATATTAAAAATAGATTAAATAAATTAAAAACTAAAAATAATAAAGAAATTCTATTTAAATAATTTTAAAAAAGAAAATTAAAATAAAAAAATAAAAAATAAAACTAACTAATTAAATAATAGAAAAAATACTCTTTAAATTATTTATTTAAAACTAATTATAAGAAATTAATTCTAAAATAGAGTTAAATTATATTCTATATAAATATAAATTAAAAACTATTCTATTTATATTAATTAGTAAATAAAAATTAAAATAAAAATATAATAGATAAATAAAGAAAAATAGAAAACTAGAAGCTATATTAATATCTAAATAAAGCTATAGAATAAATAAGTAGAATAAGATTTTTATTCTATATATAAGGTTTTCTCTTATTAGAGATTAAATAAAGAGATTAAAAACTAACTAGATCTAGTACCTAGAGTAAATAATAATAATAATCTGTTTTTATCTTATTCTATTTATTAGTTTATTCTTATCTATCTCTTAGAGTTCCTTTACTCTAATTTATAGATAAAATTATATTTAAAACTACTAAAGAAACTAAAATAGAGAATTTCTTTTTCTTATATATTATATTTTTATCCTCCTTACTTATAATATTCTATTCTTATTTTCTATTAAATATATATATTAAGATATATATAGCTATAATAAATATTATCTTTACTATATATTATTTAATATTTCCTAGCTAGATATAATAATATAGTTCTATTTATAATAAAGATTATATTAAGAAATAACTATAGTATATTATATAATAAGTTTAATAAGTATATTTATTTAAATAGTAATTAAATACTATTTTCTCTTATAGAATATAAAAGATAATATAATTCTAAAAGAAATTATAAACTTATATAAGGAATATATAATTAAGAAACTACTAATAGAAATAGTTAAAGAAATAAGTAAGAAAGTAATTAATATTATAACTTAGAAAATAATTATATAACTATTTAGTATAATAGAACTTCTTTTAAATTAATATCCTAATATATTTAAAATACTAATAATAAAATATTATATTTATAATATTCTCTACTATATAAAGAATAGTAATCTAAGAGTAACTAGAAATATATTTATTAAAATTAAAAAAATAGAGAGAATAATTAAAAAAACTAAAAAGAATATTATAATTCTATAGCTAAATATTAAAGTTATTATAATTATAAAACTACTATATATAATTCTAAATAGTATATAAAATAAACTAATAAAATATATTATTTTATATTATCTCTATAAGAAAGTACTAATAGTAGTTAAGATATATAATAAGTTAATATATAGAGAACTTTTTATTATTAAGAACTATTCTAAAGAATTTTTATATATTAGAAAGATTATTAGAAATAATATATTTAGCTAGAAAAATATAGTTATATTTATTAAGGCTAATATTATTAAGTTTTTTATTAGAAAGATCTATTTTATTTATCTTATTAAAATAATTACTTATAATAATAATAAAAACCTTAAAATTACTAAAGAAATATAAGTTAAATATAAAGAAAAAAAGATAATTATTAAGGATAAAGTATTTATAAAGTATAACTTCCTTCTAAAAGTTAGTAACTCTAACTATATAGACTAGCTAGCTCTTAAGATAGAAATTAATCTAATAAATAAGTATAAGCTTAAGATATTACTATAATAGATTAAGGAAAAGTTATTAGAATAGATAATATATATAGAAATAACTAAACTATATAAATAACTAATTATAATAATAGATACTAATATTATAAGCTATAAAAGTAAAAAGCTTAAAGTTATTAATATTTTACTATATTAGTTCTATAATCTAATATAGGATTTAGAGAACTATATTTATATCTTAGTATTAAAGATAGTTACTATTATTAGATAATAAGCTTCCCCTCTTAGGGGCTATAGCTATTACTAGGCTATTTATATATTAGCTGTATAAATAGCTCTTATTATTAGAGTTTTTAAGATATTAATACCTATACCTAGGCTGAAAGTATTTAATTTTAACTTTATCTTATAGTATTAAAGGTTCAGATATAGACTACTAATTATATTCTTTAAAAAATTATATAATCTAATTATATATTACCTGATCTTAGAATATACTCTTATTTATAGTAAAACTAATAAAAAAAAATATCTTAATATTAATAATAGAGAATTAATCTAAATACTATTAACTCTAGATTTTTAGTTAGTAAATAAAAATAATAGCTACTTAGATATTCTAATATATTAATAATATAGAGATTAAATAGAGTAGCTAGTAATAATAATTTAAAAGTAAAAAATTATTATAAAAAACTATTAAAGAAATAATTATAATTATTTTAGAAATATATAATATTATATATATTACTAAACTAACTAATTAAATAATAGAAATTAAAAAACTAAAGTTTACTATTACTAAGTAATTTTATAATATATAGAGAAGTAATATTAAGATATAGAAAAAAGATATAATAATTAAATAATAAATCTAAATAATTAAAGTAATATAGATAGAGATTAATAATCTAAATAAGACTATCTACTTTTAATATAATATAAATAAATAGATAGATAATTCTAATCTTCTTTTTAAGAAGTACTATTAATAGAATAGATATAAAGATTCTTTAAAATATTAAGTTAGAACTAAAATAATAGAATATTAAATAAATAAAAGAGATAATTTAATTTTAATAGAATATAATATATAGGAATAATTATATAAAGAAAGATATTAAGATATAGAAAACTATATATTATTTTAAAAAAAGATAATAAAATATTAGTAGAAAATAATAAATATATTAAAATTATATAAATAGAATATTAAGATATAAAGAAATAGTTAGATCTAAGAATATTTAAAATAAATATCTTTTTAAAAGGGAATACTTAATATAGATTAATTAATCTAACTTATTTAATCTAATTAATAGATCTAATTAATTCTATAGGTTAATTAGATTATATAATATAGATAGATCTAAAAGAATCTATTAGATCTAATAAGTTAACTAGATTAATTTAAGCTTTTTATATATAATAGATTTATTATATAATAAATAAGCTTTCCCTTTTAGGGGCTATAGTTATAGCTAGGCTATTTATATATCTAACTATATAAATAGCTCCTATTATTAGAGTTTTTAAGATATTAATATCTATATCTAGAAGCTGTATCAGTATCTAGATAAAGCTACAGAGGAAATAAGCAGAATAAGGTTTTTATTCTGTATATAAGGTTTTCTCTTATTAGAGATTAGATAGAGGGACTAGAGACTAGCTAGACCTAGCACCTAGGGTAAATAATAGAAAAACCTATATCTAGATTAAAAATATAATATCTAACTTTATCTTATAGAGTTAAAGATTTAGATATAGACTACTAACTATATTCTTAAAAAAATTATATAATCTAGTTATATATTATCTGATCTTAGAATATACTCTTATTTATAGTAAAACTAATAAAATTTTTTTTTTTTTACTAAGCTCTTATTTAATCTATTATAATAACTATATATACTCTAAACCTTAATATTAGTATATTCTATTAAAGAATATAATCTATAGTATAATAAAAAAATAAAAATAAAAATTTTAAATTTAAATAATAATTTCTATTATCTAGACTAACTAGCTAAATAATATAAAAATAATAATTTAATCTAAATCTAATATAAATAATTATAAACTTATAGAAATTTTATTAAAATAATTAATATATTAGAAATTAAAGAGTTTTTAAAATTAAATTTTAAATAAATAATTAATCTCTTTAAATTAAAAAATAAGGTATTTAATAAAAATAATTTCTTTAAAAAGAAATATTTTAAAATAGAGAACTTACTAGATAATAAATATAACTATTAATTAGCTTATTTAATAGAAAAATATAATTTATTATAAAGTAGTAATTATAACTATTACTACCTCTAGCCTGAAGATAGTTACTAAGGTTACCTGGATTAACTAAACTCTTATATATAACTGGGGAGGGGAGGAGGAAGGAAGGAAGGGAGATAGATAGCTAGGCCAGTCAAATACAAGCCTACTATCTCTCTCAAACACACGAACATACACACATACACCTGTCCTCATAGCCCCCCCTTCTCTCGTCTAGAACAGCAGATGATGGTCTCCAAAATACTAATTGTAGATTTTGGAGCCTCATACTTTATCAATAAGCCGCCATTGAAGACAACTACACCCGCGCAATACGCCGCCCCTGAGGTGCTCAGATCCATTGGGGTAGCACCTTCAAGCGATGTTTGGGCTCTTGGCTGTGCAGCATTTGAGATTTGTGTTGGCTATACCCTGTTCAAAGCTCTGTTTAATCCAAGGCAAGATGTCATGAAGGACATGATTTCGATGCTTGAAAAGCCACCTGACAACATATGGAAGACGTGGGAAGAGAGGTCCAGGTATTTTGATGAGCAAGGTCACGCGGTGAGACGAACAGAACAAGCGATTCCATTTCAAACTTACCCCTTATACGATCGGGTCCGGGACATGGCAAGGCTGTACTCTGCGGATGGACGAATAATTGATATGAGCGAACTACCTGGGGGGCACCTTGAAACGGCTGAGCTGGTCCAGATGCATGACTTTCTCAGCAAAGTCTTTGTATTCAATCCCGTATCCCGAATTTTAGTGCAGAGTGCGTTAGGACATCCATTATTGGCCCAGGTCAACATTCAATAGTTGTTTTTCCAATGTTGGGGCATATAAGTCTCTCACATTCTATCACGTTAGCCATCCTTGGGCGAGTATACGAGCTTTAACCATATATTACCTGAAAAGACGACCGAATCTGATACACGACAGCTGATGATACGTAGTTCTCAATATTACCAACAACTAAAGAAAATGATTGCTATACAGCTAAGAAAGTAGGGACATTACATCCCAGATACCAAAATGGAGACAATGTAGGAAAGATGTCAGATCCCAAATGTTGACTCGATCCAACCTCTTACTCCCTGAAATGTTACCTTGAACCATGCCCGGACTCGCTGCAACCTGGCCAGTATGAGAACCAGATAGGACACAGCAACAAGTGGGATGGAAACAGCAAACCAAACTTTTAGACTCACGTTCCCAGTTCCAAAAGATTGTACATTCATTCCAAAGAATGAGGTAGTGAATGATAGGGGAATATACAAGAATGCAAACCAGGTCAGCAGCTCAATCTGTCGCGCCTGCTTGATTGCACGCTGAGACTCTTCAATAGACGCGCTACTCATGCAGATTGACATGCCACCTCGGCAGCGTGCTGAGAGGCTCTCGACGCGGGATATGAGTTTCTCAAAATCTACAATCAAAAGATCCAGCTTTGCATTGATGGCCGCCTGCGCATTGGCCTCTCCATCCGGGGAGTTTTTGTAGTTTTTTGGCCACTTTGCGCTCTCGTGGCCTTTGAGAGCGAGGAGATTCTCGCAAAGTCCATTCTCCAGGCGGTTCAGAATGTCAAGGTGGTAGGCCAGGTTAGCCAGGCTGTGGCTGGGTGATTTCGAGAGCTTGTAGCCTGTACAGTCATCTATGATGGACTGAATGACGTTAAGCAGTTGGCAAATTGAGCTTGCTGAGTGATGGAACAGCTCTGACATGGCGTAAAAGGAATCAACCTTCAGAAGGGCCGGATCCAGCGTTTCCCCATAGCCTTCTGCCAACAGCAGCCCGGACTGATCGAAACTCGACGGCGAGTTTGCACCACTTTGAGAGCTAGTGCCATTGGCTGTCACAGTTCCAGTCATTACGTCGATGGGGAAGTGGCGGATGTGTGGGAGAAACATCTTCTCGGATCTGCGCCCAGATGTCTTGGGATGCCATGGACCTCTTGGCCCGCAGGCCAGGCCATCGCCAAAGTCTGTCCATACCAGAAGAGCCCACCCCCCGGACTTGGAGCTTTGAACAATCACGGTGATGTCTTGCTCAATCGAGAAGTACTGGGCGCTGTGAACATTGAAGGCTCGTACTACCGAGTTGCCTGCTTCCAAGCCGTCCTGCCGACAAAGGCGGTGTACGTACTCGACCATGTCTGATTGACCCATGGCGCGTAGATTGTCAATTTGAGAAGGACTGCCCCAAGCATTGTCCCCACGATCCCCTATCGTTACAATCCGTAAGCGGATGATATTCAGGGTGTCTGACGGGAGGACTGAAGTGTCAAATAGCCTCGAAGGCGTCGATGGCAAGAAGTACTCCATATGGCGTTGATAAAAGAGAGGATTGATTTTGAACATGTGGCCAAGGCTTTTCAAGCATTGAGGAAGCTGATAGCCTTGAATGAAAACGATAGCCGGATGGTAAAGTAGACAGTCTTTACAAGCAAGCTGACTCGGCCCTTCTGGGAAGAGTTGTTTTGCAAGCCCTGGCAAGTCCGCCATATTGAAGCAGGAAACAAAGCTCCATTCTTTCGAGTGAGAGTTTCTATCCGGCTTGCTATCTGACACGAGGTTTTGGAGTGCGGTGACTTTGACTTTGGCATCAACAAAATCGTCCTCGCGTGAGAGGAATGCCGCCAAACGACAGTACAGCTCGCCAGTGAAGAGCGAGGTCCCCAGAGACTGCCTAGAGTACTGCTCCACCTGCTCAACATACCTCCTTAGATCGATTGCATCCTGTGGGACTTTGCCATACATGATGGGGCCGTTGTTGTGGGCTTTTGGATGCATGCTGCATCATCAATGCTACGGCGTGGGTGGTAGTAAATGGATGGCGTATTATAATGCCAACAACAATGCACACAGCACGTAGGGTTACAGCGGCTCTTTGAATGATACATTGCAGTAACAAAAGTACGGAATGAGTGAGGCTGGCAAGACTTTTTTAAAGGCCTAAAAGGGTAAAGAGCGGCCGCGAGTTGCAGCTGGGCGTGGAAGAGGGCGGTTATATCTCAAGTTGTGCAAAACTTGGCAAATCGCAAGTGAACACTTTTCCTTGCTCAAAAGGCAAAGCTGACCGCATAATCCATATTATGCACTATCATTTTACCTGCGTCGTCCACCCCCTCTCAGGCGTCGCTGGCTGTATGCAGCTACCTTCAACCTCACCTGACCACCCAGCCCAAGTGAGAGATTGCTCATATTAAGCGAAGCCCTTGGCCCCTTCTTGTCATTCCCCACCACGCATATCACCAGCAAGAAATTACCTTCTTGATAGCACTTGACCTATATCCTGCCGAATTACAAAGGTAGACCTGTGTCTCTCAAGTGACAGAAGCCTCAAGCTGATAAGTCTTTTACAGCCTTACATCATGAGCTCTTCGCCTCTTAACCAGCCATGGAAGACGAACGAAGAAGTCGTCAAATTCATGGAGAGCATGAAGGGTACGGACCTTGGCAGTGGTAGACACCACAACTACAAGAAGGGCGAGACCATGCACATTGGTGGGCAGAGCCGAGGCCAGCAAGATGGCAAGCCTGGTGAACTTGACGTTCTTTATGACACTGAGCAGGCTAAGGAGGACTTCTAGCGCGGATAGTATCTTGTTGAAGCGGTGGGATTCCAATAGTCGTGGTATAGTACGATGGCAATAGTGCAATATAGTCCACCAAATACGACTCGCCTCTTCTTCCTTGAGTTCTAAGAGTAATCCTAAAACCTTGATCAGAATGAAGGGGAAGTATTTAGCCAAGGCAAAATATTATACATGGAAGCTGCGTCTACAATGCTAGATTATCACAGAGTCGATGTGGCGGGACGTCCTTGATTATGCTACGTGATTTCTACCCTCCGACGGAAACGAATAGTAGTGATGCCTAGCTAGTATAGCCCTCCATACTTCTAGTATCACTAATCATAGAATACCAAAGTGCGAACCTCAATACTCTGCCGCTCAGGATCGGAGTCTGATGCCAGCGGGTTGCGAAAGGATGAATGCGGCTTTCCTAATCGAAGTCAGCTTCTGCAAGCGCCGGAGGAGTTTCGATTGAAGGTGTACCTGTCAATGTCCCCGAGTCTGTCTGCAATATAACCCAGGCCTCATCTGTGGTCTGATTGCTCAAGTAATTGAACTTGTAGTCATCGGAATTGTAGACAAGGTGAGTTTCCACCACATGATCATAGTACACCATATCCCTTGCCTCCAGATCGACATCAGCCTTGACGGTGGAGGTATCTACCATCATCAAGGGCCACTTCCGAACTGGTCCCACGATGGGCTTCCAGACGATATTGATGCTTGAGTCAGCTCACCTAGATCATGCGTCTACATAATAACTTGGCTACGTACGTAACGTATTGACACCTCTTCGTCGACAGCTCGTTAAGCAGCCCCTGGTTGAGACCATTGAAAACCTGTCTTGTTCCATTTGGGGTAGAATCTGGTAACTTAGCAAGACAAGTCGGACATAACTCTGAACTTGACTACGCACCGATATGAAAGAGATTGGCTGGTTGTTCCCATTCGTACACCTCGCCCGTCGCTACGGGGAACTTCTTGTGGCTCTTCCGCACCTGAAGCGTAAAACCATCTAGGCTAAGTCCTTGTAATCATAGTATGGATATTGGGACACGTACTAGATAGTCACGGACTATGACACGAGATGCACCAAGACGACCCTTGAGCGTCTCAGCGACCTGAGGAAGGTATTTTGACCTGATGGCCTCTTTGCTGTCAAAATCCGCTGGCTCAAGGGTCTGGCCGAGTTTCATCACAAAAAATCCATTCTTCTCGAGCGAAAGTTGGTTCTCCTGACCTCAGACATCGTGGACTTTTATATCAGTGCATTCGGAAACTACCATATTCTTCTGAGGGAATCTATCAGGAGCAGGAAAACGCAACTCGAAAGGCTTATCTCTCTTGTAAATATCAAGCCTATCGAGGCAGGACACTGTGGTGGTAAGCACTGGATCGCTCATGATGGCGAAAGCTGGCAACGGATATTGAGGTAGGAACTCAAATGTCGGGATTTGATGTTTGATACGAGAGTCCAATGGCGATATTACGATTAAAAGACGAGGAACAGAGGTATGGCAGTGGATGGGGATGGGCTACTACCCGATGCAATGTAAAGGAAGGGTGAGTGTGGGTGGTTGAGTGGTTGATTGGAGGGTTGAATGAGGCGAACAGACGATATGGCCAAGACATTTGGACACAATTGTGCGTTCACCATGCAGACTCAACCGCTTTGAAAATGAGGAGCACTCTGCGGTGTGAAACTTGATGCATAAGCGCAATGCAACATGTCGGAGGGTGTGGTCATCATACCTGAAAGAGGGGTAATGAGACATGGGGCTGAAATGGAAGTGCGACTTACGAAGAGCCTCATGTCGTTTGTTCCCTAGCCCAACTTCCCCTCTTCAAACACGGGGCTGACATTGGCGTATTTGCCGCATAGGTCCTTTGGTATCGCTGCTAGTACCGCAGAACCGTCCAAGGAACATGCCTGGGAGCATTCCTTGGGGTAAGCTACAGGCGCTGTCTAGTCCTGCTTCGCCTGGGTCGCTGTAAGATGAACTCCCAGACCTGCGCTATCATTCACGAAGCTTGCTGTTGTGGTCGTATCCTACTCCGATACCGCAGTGGCCCTTTCTTAACCTCGCGCCTCCCTTTTCTCTTTGCTTCCGTTGATAGCGCTACCATAGTGTCGTTGTCGTTCCTGGTGTTGATACTGCCAATTCAGAAACATGGTTTGAAGGCAAAGGGAAAGACTGGTCCCAATTGCTTCCCGAAGATGTCTTGCCATCCCCATCGGTATATAGATTTAACCATGGCATTGCGTCGGCCGAGTCCACCTATCGTATATGGAGCGAGGTTCTCGATAGTGGCTTAACACTCCTTGAATTGCTAGTGAACCTGCTCAAGGAAATTCCCAAGGTATCAAATCCATGACCGGAGCTTCGCCACCACGTAAGAAGTACCAAAAAGGCTGATAGGAGAGTAGTTACAGAAATGCCCTATCGTATTGATTGCTCACAGCCTTGGAGGCATCATCGTGAAAAAGGTACCTTACTCCACCGCCGAAAGTATTATCAGCCGTAGACTTATTAATTTCTTCTCAAATTAGTGCCTTACTAAAGCTCTTGAGACACCAAGAGACTTTGGAGAAGTGTTTCACGCTCTGGCAATGTTTGTCGCCATAGCTACACCGCATTCCAAGTCGAGCGAATCTAAGGCCTGGAATCAGCCGCAGCTACTTGCTGGAACCCCCAGGTTCAACAAGAGGAGGATTGCTCAGACTTCCCCTAGGGATGCAGGGCGACTAGCGGATCTATGTTTACGATTTGAAGGGGTCGCCACAACGCTCCGCATCCTGACTCTGTGTGAAACAGAGGAGACTGGGAAAGGCTTGTTCACTTCCAAACAGCTGGTGAGCTTCTTCGAACCAAAGATCCAAGGCATGCTGCAAGGCAAGGTTGACCAATTTTATCAAGATCGTGCCCGAAAGCTCCTGTATCATGAAGACCCGCCGCGAACAAGTTTTCAGGATCAAGGCCAATCACTTGGAGATTTGCAACGTGGCTTCAAGCATTGTGTTGGCCGAATACATGCAAGACGCACTATCCAATACTTTGAATCGCCTTAGATTACTGAACAGTGAAAGTAAATCTTTAAGGCTTACTTGAACATGACTGACTTGACGTGTAAGGACACAAAACCTACGGTACTAACCGCGACCTCTATTGCCAATCACGACGCAGCAAGTGTGGCTTCTGGGGAGATAACCCCTCCTCAACCTCAAAGACATGTCAGTAACGAGGCCACGGTCGCGCATAGCGAGTATCAAACCCGGGTCTTACCCATCGCCGAGGATTCAAGGCACGACCTGACCCCAATTGCTGATTTCTCAACGGGGAAAAGAGACCCCATTCTCCCCTGTCACTTCATGCAGATTGGGAAGAACAAAGATTTTTACGGAAGGGAGGATGTCATTAGAAAAATCGAAGATGTCTTGTTGCCCGCGGATGCGAATGGAGAGTCCCCAAAGAATATGAAGATATGTTCCATTTGTGGCCCTGGCGGCATGGGGAAAACGCAGATCGCCACGGAATTCACCCTCCGATATCAAGATGCATTCGAGGCCATATTCTGGGTCCACGCGGATGAGGAAATCACCCTGGCTAATGAGTTCAGCCAGATTGCCGAAAAACTTGGGCTCGTCTTGGAAGGGACCGCCGATGCAAAGGATCCCGTTGTCACGCGTGAACTGGCCAAGGGCTGGCTGGCAGAACCCCTGAGATCATACAGGATGGCCGATCGCAATGCCGATAATGAGGTTCCATGGCTTTTGGTGTTCGACAATGTTGACAACCCTGACCTCATCTGGGATTACTTGCCTCCAATGGGAGGCGAGGAGCCTTCTGCTGGCTCAGTTCTCATCACGAGCCGAGATAGTCTGGCTAGAACCCCTCACTACCAGGTCACGCATGGGATCGACCTCGCACCTCTGAGCCAAGAAGACGCCGCAAACCTGCTTTTAAAGCTGACATGGCGTGAGGATGATGGCCAAGATCAGGAGCTGAGCTCGTCGGTGGCCGATATTCTTGGGGGCCTGCCTTTAGCTCTTACGCAAATGGCTGGGGTGATGAACAAGCTGTCGCTTTCGTTTGATGACTTTATCAAGCGTTATGAGGAGCGGGAATCCCACAAGGAGCTTTTCAACGAACCAAGCAAGAGACACGCGACTTACAAGTTCAACTTGGCCACGGTGTGGGCGTTGGAAGAGCTAGAACACAGCAGAGGCCTCCTAGATGTAATGTCCCTCCTGCATCCTGATGGCATTTCAAATTCTTATCTCGAAGGATCTGTGGACATTTCTGAGCTTCAAGACTACCCAAAGACTGCCAGAGCATACCAGGATGCGAGAAGCGAACTTCTGCGATCCTCGCTTGTCAACTACAATAAATCCACCTCGAAGCTCACCATCCATCGGCTGATACAGGATTGCACAAAATCCAAAATGTCTTTGGAAAGATCGGCCAGTGTCTTCTCCGCGGCTGTCAACATGCTGTGGTTGAAATGGCCCATGGCCGAGCCTGGGGCCCGTCACTACATTGCTCGATGGAAGGAGTGGGAGTTAATGTGTCCACATATTCTGAGATTGAGGGGCTACTACACTCAAGCAAGTGAGGGTCTTCAGGCTGTGCTCATCAATGATCTCGTGTTCGCACAGCTAATGAACGAATTGGGCTGGTAATTGAGATCTGGACGTTGCTAGAAGCCTCGACAACCGCTAATCATGTTCTAGGTACTTTCAGGAGCGGGGCCATACCTCCAAAGCGCTCGACTGCTATCACATTTCGCAAAAAAGTGTCGAGCACATTATCGAGCAAATCAAAAGCAAGGAAGAGAAAAGGGAAGAATATGTCTTGGCCAAGGGTCTCCTCGCTGAAACACATAGCAATCTAGCTGGATCAGAGACGAAGCTCAACCATCCCCGCGAGGCGATGGAGCATTTGGTCAAGTACAACGAGATACTCGAGGAGGAACATCGGGGAAGCCCCAATGTTAGCGATGCAAGACTGACAAGCTCGTGTTTCAACATTGGTATGAGATTCTCAATGCTAAGTCAATATGAAAAAGCCGTCGAGTGGCTAAAGAAAGCACTTGCGGAAGCCGAGCGTCTGTCTGAACCGAGAAAGGTTAAGCTGGCTCGAAGTCTGGCTCTCATCGACCTTGTAATAACCTACCGGCTTTCAGAACATTTTGACGAGTCCCATGATATCCTGAAACGAGCATTGAGGGAAAGGGAAGAGCTCCTAGGGCCAAACGATCGCCAATCCATGATGTAAGTATTTATCATAGCCTCCACGGTTATCATGCTGATTTTAGGTATTTAGCACCGGGAGAATTCTCCATGGCCTAGGAAATGTCAGAAATAGTCTAGGAATTCTCAAAGAAAGTTTCGATACTCACAAGAAGGCCTTGTTACTTTTAACGAGACGGTTGGAAACAACCGCCACAGAACTAGAAACTCTTACTACAGAGCACTTTGTCCAAACTGGGGATCTCATAGTAGCTATGTAAGTTAGCCTGTTACCATAAGCCGCTGTTCAATAGACTGAATATCGTACACAGTGAACTTCTGGATTAGGCTATTAGAATATTCGACCGGCACGCATGTTATGCGGGAGAAAAGGGGCGTGCAGTTTTCTTGAAGGTTGTGGTTCTTGGACGACAGGGGGAAGGAGAGAAGTAAGGGGGAATGGCCAGAAAAGCCAGAAAGATTTATGCTGGTCTGGATTACAGCATCGGTGACCGTCAACTCATGCTGGGTGATTTCGACCTATTCGTTCATGTATGGGGACGATGAAGAAATGTAATTGATGCTGCAAATCCCAGGTTAACTTCTAATCAATTACATTTTCCTCTAATTGAAATCCCTCGGCGATCTCTCTTTGCCTTCCCCCAACTAAACGAGACAGGGCTTTCATCTATCGAATAGAAACGCCCAGATAGAAAGAAGAACAAAGAGGATCCGTTTTTGTTAAGTCACAGGATTTAGAAGCGATGAAACTGGAATAAGGAATTTGGAACTTACTGATGATGCTAGGAAGCACAAGCCATCTGAAGGGTGGCTAGGCGTTCGTCCAATATTCATCAGTGCAGCCATTAAGGGTCCGGCAATCAGCTCATCCGCTGCATCAGCCAAGGCAATCACTGTGAATACTCTCGTATTTTGCTGCGAGCCTGTCGCAAACGTGAGAAAATTTTGTAATGCCGGGAGCAGCGTTTCACCAAGCCCCATCCCGAATGAGACTGTCGTTGGCAAGTGTCAATCAGCTTCACCTCATCTATAACATGATTGATCCCGAATTCAGAGACGTACCGGCAAGCATGAACCAGCATCTGTGGACAGTCCAGCTCCCAAAGAATGACACTGCAAATCCAAGAAGTGAGCCCCGTATAATGTTCAGCTCCACAAGGTGCGGCAGATTCCCTCTGTGAACCAGGCGGCGATTTAGAATAGGCGTTACAATATAGACAAGTATGGCGCCACCGCTACTAAAACCACGCAGCCATGTGGTCTCGTGGAGATCCCATTCGAATTTCTCCGAGAAATACTGTGCCAGGAATACACTACATGCAAAGCCAATTCGCTTAAGAAATATGGCAGCGACGCAGTAAAAAGCCGCTGGCGTACTAAAAAGCATACAGAATGTATGTACTTCGCTCTTGATCTTAGTGGATCTGGGCTGCTCCTCAGTTTCGTGGTCAGAAGATGAACCGCCGTGAAGGTTATCTGTGTCCAAAATGTGGGTTGTTTGGTCCGCTGGCAGCCCAGGGCTTTCTCCAAGGTCGTCCGTGGAGTCAAAAATAGGTGTATACTCGCATGCGTTGTTGTTTTTAAGGCCTGGGTTTTTAGGTTTTCTCACCTGGGTAATCAAAATGAGAATAAGACCCCAGATAAGGAATGAGATATAGAAGGGTCCGCGCAAATCGAGTTGCATAATGCAGCAGCTATCCTTGGGTCAATAAACTTGACTATGTTAGATCCGAGACCCAACAAGTACAGCTGTGTTGTCCTGTGAAGAATGGGAATTAGTTCTCCCCAGCGTGAAATTCAAAGCTTCCAAAGTCCTGCCTCTGACTACGATCAAGTGAGTCGGAGACGAAGGCACAGTTCATGGACGTGTACACACGCTGGCCGCCACCTATCAAAAGCAAGGCCGAGGATATCCCAATTGTAGTTGGGGGAAAGATCCAGAGAGTGAGAGCCTGGATGTCGTAGTTAGCCCTCTATACGCATAGAGTGTTGAAAATACAACTACAGATCAAAACATCCAACATGGTCATAGGATAGCTTAAACTGGTCATATATTTTGCTATTTTATGAGTCTTGGATGCGCTGGAGAGCGTCCCGATCCAGCTTCAGCATGACTTGTTTCACATCTCTCGCTTTCTCCGAGTTCACCAGTATACTCAACTGTCCCTCTAGCCTGGCAGCCTCCACCCGCCTTGTCCAAAGTTCCTGTTCCATCGCCTTGAGCTCACTTTCTCGGAGTTGCGCATAGTAGGTATCTTGGACGTCCTTTGCCGTGCTAGCCTGACGGCCCTCCATGTCGTAGCATCCCAAAGCTTGGGTCGCCAGGGACTCGAAAGTCGAAATGTACTTCGCTAAGGCAGTATTTGCTTCTGTCGATGGATGCAGAGCGCGCAGTGCGCGCAGGGGCTGAATCAAGGACGACTCCTTGATGGCCCGGCATGTACCCTCGTGGGCCTGGATACGAAGATGTGCAGCATTGCGAGCCGCCAAGAGCACATCGGCCTCAAGTGCCCGCGCGTCGGAAACACTCGACTCGAGTTGTCGTATGATATCACAATGGCGCTCAAAATCATCTTGGGTCTTTCTGATGTAGCGCGACCTTGTTTGTGGATCAACGAGAATCGCTGCCATATCAATGTCAACAAGGTCTTTTGGCTTGATCGGGGCGCCTTCTCTTTTTGGCGTGATAGGGGATTTGAGGCGTTGTTTCTTGTGCGCAGGCGATGCCAACGTGTCTGAATCTGCTTTCCTCTTCTGAGCTTCCGCGCTTTCAATGGGCTCCGGTACGATAGTAGGCAATTCATCTTTCACGACCGGTTCATTGGCGGTAGGCCGAGGGTCATCATCGGTTGATGCGTGCAACGTCTTCGTGGTCTCTCGTCGTTTTTGTATGCTGTCAATCAAGATGCCGAGGAGAGCGTAACGTTCGTCCGCAGCGTCCATCTCTTTTGGTGGGGGTCGTTTACTGAGGATGCGACGCATGATTCCAAGTACGAACACACCACAATTGTGTGCGTCATGCTGCAATGGGGAATCCTAGAAGACACCGGCAGGTCAGAAGATCCGAGAAAGACTTATGCTTCATTGAGCATGGCACGTACCTCGTGAATAGTGTATTCTACTGGTAAAGATAACCCTTGGACATCAGAGACCCATTTCTCCAACCGTTTGCAAAAATGCAAGCAGCGGTCGCGACGACCCTCTTCAAGAGAGTCAAAGTGTGTAGTGTGGATCGAAGTGCTGGTGATGGCCGCCAGGACAAGGGTCCAGTGAATGGCGGTCCTGTGGTGAACGGGAAGTAGCAGCGTCTCTCCGGGCTTGAGGCGCAGGTGACCTGGCAGGTTCTCTCTCGCTGGCTCAAACCAGAGAGGGTCCACGACCCGGATTTTGGCGGCTCCCTCGGTTCCAGGTACAGATCGCGAGATCCCAAGGCCGGTTTCGCCAGAGTCAGAGAGCTGCTGCTGATCGAAAAGTGCTGCGAAATGCCTCATCACATCGTCGGTGAGCATGCTTGTCGAGGACTTGATCTGTGTATATGCGTTCGTCTCGACTTCGGTGCGGCCACCGCCATCCACAATCTTGATATCCTCCTGGTCACGGGGTGCCCTCGAGCTCTCTGGGTAGTCTGCATCGACTGATAGATCCTCACTATAGTCTCCCAAGTCAATCTGAGGTGAGGTGGGTTCATCGAGAAAACATGGGCTTTCGTCGGGGCTGAACCGAGCCTGCTCTGAATATCGCCGTCCCACTTCGGGGGATCTGGAAATGAGACTTGTATCCTCTTGCTCGTCCTCACCATCAGACCCTGTGACCATTTGAGCCGAACCACTTTTATCAACGACTCGCATTTGATCAAGTTCCTCGTTATCCGGAGCTTTCAAACGGTCCCGGAAAGCTTTGCAAGCGTTTCGGGCACCAGACCTGGTCAGAATTCTGGTTTCAGCTAGTCCAGCTTCGGTGGCCTCGCGCAAGAGACCTCCCTCTGCCCATAGCGAAGAGAGCTCGATGCCGTGGTGTAGCGCAAGCTTGGTAATGGACCAAATCGACTTGATTTGCTCAGTGTCTCTCACTTGCTCATTGTAATTCTTCGACGGGCGAAACTCGACCGGCAGCCAATTATCGTTTCCGCCCCAGGCATTGTCAAGCTCGGCGACGCGTTTCTGGTTCTGCTTATCTCGAATTTGCTGGTCCAGTTCGCGCTTCTTAGACTTTGGTAGCGTGGAGCGGGCAAGGCGAGTCACGGCTTCGACTTTGGGAGACTCATCTACGACAAGTCGTTTGAGGATGTCCGAGCGGCGTTTCGAGGGGTAACCAGATAGGGCGCTTTCGAGAAACTGCGCTGTTTCCTGCGTCGAGTTCGGTAGGGACTGGTCTTGTTCCACAAGCTCATACAGCAAGTCCTGGACCTGAAGTATGCCCTATTGTTAGCGTCAAGTTGGCATCTGGAAGAGAGGACGGGAAGGACATACGTATGCGCCTGCTTCCTGATGACCCCCTAATGCACTTTGCGGCGTGTTCCCTTGAGTAATCAGACGATTCGACTGTGCAACCTGCGGGACGTGCGGGGGGACTGGCGCGGAAACTTCGCGCGGACGCGCTGTTGGGGTAATATACTGGAGAATGCGCAACGACGACGTAGAGGCACGGCTCATAAGCTATGAAGAATAGGCCTGCATGGAGGCCTGCGATGTGGTGGACTGTAGGAAGGGCCTGATAGTGTTGGAGGGGTTCGATGAAGTTGGAGGGCATCAGCGAGTAGGAATGTGGCAAGGAGTCGACCGGTTGGTGGTGGAAGGTGCAAAGGGAAGATGCTCAAAATGGCAAATTAGGAGCGCGGCGCTTTTTTGATGGCGCAGCAGCTTCTTCTTTCGGCAATAGAGGCTCCCAGCGACCTACCCTATACTTCGTTTTCCTCGATGTAAGGGTCATGCCTTGACTGCTCTATACTCAATATAAGTTGTTCAAACTTGGAACACGCAAAGAGTACCTTGTAGCTTCAAAACTCGACAGAGTTAATAATCGCAGCGATTTTATGCGACCCAAATGACGGTCTACACATTCCTATTCCGGCTGCCTCTAGAGCTATGCCTATGGATCTTCATTAGCTGTGGCCCTTGGAGAATGGGAGAAGCCCGTGAAAAACGCGACGGAATAAGAGAACAGCGCTTCTTAAGCGAGCAGATAGACAGCAGAAGCCTATGGAAGGTGGAAGTACGGGAACTTGTAGAGAGCAAGACCTCAAGGAGAACAGGAACCCATAGAGGGAAGAAACTCATGGAGTCGTAGACGGTGGAAGCCCGAAGAGAGGGCAAGGGCCTAGAGCCTATGAGGGAAGCTCGTGGAGAGTAGGAGCTTATCAGGCGGAAGCCATGTCCTACAGACACAACCATCTAGGCAGGTGAGACGGCTTGCGCACGAGTCCTAGCAATTGCTACGGTGAGTTGCATTCAAACCGTCTAGCCCTCTCACAGTGTGTCGGGCGTGCTAACACACTGTGCGAGGAACTCGTCACTGATGATATGATGGTGGGTTTCTCCCCTCCTTTTTGCAGCCTCATCAATGTTGCAATGCATTATCACGTCAGGAGTAAGCAGAAAGAGGGGCTCAAATGGGTGGTGGCAACAGGCCCTGAAGACACGGATTGGTGATACCGGTCAGAATATGCATGAAAATTCATTTCGCAGGCCGGTCACACGCGTGCATGGTCACCGATGTGTGATTTTGTCAAGGCACTGCTAGCCGATTTCATGGATTACCGAAGCCTAACTGTAGCCTAAATGAATACATAATGTTCTGCGCCCGTGGAGAGCACGCCTTCCGGGCTCGATCATTGTATGTCTAATGTTTTCCTCTTTCTAAGGGACAGTAGCATTCCATCTCACTCTTATCCAAGATTTGAACAGACAACCTTCAAAAAAATTCATATGAGATGGGCTCCGGTGTGCTGTCCGATCGTACAAAGTCCCTGCTAGAAGTTGAGACAAGCTACACAGCAGGAGGCTACGACCCTATGCCAGTCTTTGTTTCTCGGGCAAAAGGTGTCAATCTATGGGTACCGCGTTTCCTTCGAGTGAAATGGAATTTGATTCTAACTTTTTCATTTTACGTTGGTGATTATAGGACGAAGATGGAAAGGAGTACCTGGATTTTACCTGCATGTTCGGTGCTGTCAATCAGGGCCATTCGCATCCTAAGATCGTTTCCGCCGTCACTGCGCAAATGGAGAAAGGTGAGAATACGTTCCACTACTCGGCTCCAGGAATTATGATATATCTTTTGCTCAATACCCTTTTGTTTTGTTTTTCTAGCATCATTGGTTAACTGCGCTGCCCACTCTGCGATATGGCCTCCATTTGCCCGCATGATGTGCCGGCGGTTTGGCTATGACAAAGTGGTGTCCACTATGTCTGGAACTGAGGCTGTAGAGTCGGCTTGTAAGATTGCACGGAAATGGGGTATCAAGGTTAAAGGCATCCCCCCCAAAAAACTGCTGATTCTTGCTACATCTGGGTGCTATCATGGCCTCTCTGTCACAATGTGGGGATTCCAAGATCACAGCCCACAGAAGGATGGTAAACATTGTTCCGGTCAGTTGCGTTCGCCTGTGAATACTGACAGTATGATAGCTTACGGCATCGAGGATGCTCACTGTATCAATCACGACCCCGAAACCGAGGAAGCACTAACATACGGCGATATTGATCGCATGAGGGCTTGCATTAAGCATCACCATGGGCGGATAGCCGCCGTTATTGTAGAGTGCATCCGTGGCCACCTCAGGTGCGTGTTCCCAGCGAAATTATAATTCAACGAGCTATTTATTGGTGGCGTGGCAACCTATGGTCCCTCGACCTACGGTTAGAATATTTATTAGTACCTCCGGTTACTGATTCGTTGCGGATAGGACCAAGGAGGATGAGATTCAATATTGTGAGCAGCTGTTTGATCTATGTAAAGAGTACAACATTCTCTTCATCAGCGACGAAGTTCGCATGGGCTGTGGTAAAACGGGTCGCTTTTTATCCAGTGACTGGCTGGGTAAAGGCCGGAAACCGGACATGGTGACTTTGGGGAAGTCTATTGCTGGCGGCGTCTACCCAGCCTCATTTGTGCTCGGGCGCGCTCAATGCATGGACCTTGTGGGTACCAAAGAGATTATTTCGACTTTCCAATTTTCGCCAGTAGCGATATCAGCCACCGCAGCTGCACTTTGTGTTATAGACGAGGAGTTTCTCGTCGAACGAGCAGGAGACATCGAGCGATTGGTCATGCGTGAGTCCCTTACATGGAAACACTCCTTTGTAAGTCACGTCACAGCAAGGGGGGCAGATTTCGGCGTCTGGCTGTGCGGTGTTGGGCAGAATGTATGTCGACACATTTGTGAAATGTGCATGAATAGAGGTCTCCTGGTCTTTCCGAGTCATTTGAGGATTCGGATGGGGGTTGCTATGGTCATGACGGACGCGGAATTGCTTAAAGGATTAGGTATCCTGCGCAGCGTTTTCGATGCTATGCAGGTGGAACTTGACCAAGGCCGAGGATTGGCTCAGGTCTAAAGCCACTCGGGAATGTACGGGAAGAAAAAGGTCACTATCGGTGACCTGCGTACGACCTACAAATTTAGGCATGAATCTACATACTGGCGTGAAAGTTTGACTGTGGTGGTTGCACAATGTGTAGAAATGTAACCAATAGACGCACGCTGCACTTACACCGCCTTGTTTCGGGCTGCACTCTTGAGCTTACTTTGCATCTTGGCTGTGTCAGTTAAAGCTCCATCCTTGCATGTTGGATGGAACGACCGAAGTGGTGCAGGAAGCTCATGATTCTTCCTTCTACATTGTCACTGTAGCCTCACATCGTTCCAATGGGATCATTGAACCAACCATCACTACATCAGCCAATTCACCGCGATCTTGCGTTCGCTATTTGAGAGCTTCCGAGCCTTGAATCAGGTGTCCCTTTCACTTTGGCATCATCTTTTCGCAAACGTCGCGGAATCTCAACCGTTTACTCCCTTCCGGGTTTGCTCCTAGCGGAATTGCTGATTAATCCTTGACGGTACCAGCGCCAACAATGTCGGAATACTTCCAGCAGCAGTCGAATGCCAAAACTCACCATGGTGACATTGATCTGGACGAGAGAATTATTGACAGTGAGCTACCAATTACTCCTCTTCGCAAGTCTTACCTAAAATTATGTGTCCAGAGCTCCCTCAGGGTGCTGTTGTTAAGAGTTGCCGCGGCCACGGGGCCAGTAACTGGAACCGGACCGCTCGTCTTGATTTCGAGATAGATGATCAGCTTCATTCGTATTTTCTCAAGGTAGGAATCGCAGTCCGTCTCCTCGTGTATGAATCTGTCTGTCTAAAAGAATTCAGATCTTGACTGGCCCTAAAGGACGCGCCATGGTACATGGGGAATATGAATCTATGCGACTTATACACGAGTCCGTCCCCAAGTTTTCGCCAATGCCTCTGGCCTGGGGTTCATGCACCGACCCGACCCAGCACTTCATCCTTTTTACATATCACGAACTCTCGCAAGGGCTACCGCCCATTCCTCAGTTCGTGAATGCTGTGGCCCAGCTTCACACAGTTAAGCGGAACCCAAGTGGCAAGTTTGGTTTCCACATTACCACATACAACGGAACACTTGCGCAAGATAATACCTGGTGTGACACGTGGGAAGAGTTCTATGTGAAGGGGATGGAGAGAATTCTGGAGTTAGAAGAGGACGCTCGAGGGCCAAGCAGTGAACTGCGAAAGATTTCGGCTCCCTTCCTGTCCAAGGTGATCCCCAGGCTTCTTCGACCACTCGAGACTCAAGGGAGGAAAATTGATCCGGTACTAATACATGGAGATCTCTGGATTGGAAATGTTTCGGCACAGGCAGGAAGCTGTGATCCTCTGATGTTCGATGCGTCTGCATTCTGGGGCCACAATGAATGTGAGACGCAGTACCTCAATCTACGTTTGGTGTATATTACTAACTTGAGAAACATTAGATGAGCTGAGCACCATGCGACCACTGAACAATGAATGGGCCAGAGAATGTATGGAGAGCTATCATGCACTTGTTCCCAAATCAGAGCCAATCGAAGACTGGGATGCTCGGAATTCGCTCTACGCAATGTAAGAAGGCTACTAAGGCCAAATCTTCATGGGAAGATTCTTTGGGGCTAACACTAATTTGATGCAGCCGTACTTATGCGCATGATTCAGCGCTCTACCCAGACGAGCCCAAGTTCAGGAAAAAGTAAGTTGAGGTTTGCCTAGCAGGAATCGATGATGACAGTATAACACTAACGAGCTGATTGCAGACTCACGGAAGAAATGCAGAACCTTGTTGCACAATTTGCTGAGGATCACAACGAAGCTAGGGGTTGAATTAGGCATACCCTTTCTACGTCAGAGCTTAGGCGAGTGGTGGGTGGTAGGTGCTAGTGTGGGCTTATAAGAAGTGCTTTGGAAGCCTTCAAGTTGACTTGTGTTTCATTGATTTTCTGTTTTTCCGTTGTGATGTTGTAGAAATCACATAATGCCGGCTCAGCCGACCTTTGCAAAATTGGCATTCCTCTGTTTTAGCTACTCTACGCATTGGACTTACGTCGCTCGCATATGGATAATCATAGCACTACCCTATTTGCTGGGTATTTATCTTGACATGGGTTCCGGCGATCGTGGCGCTTAGTTGCGATTTCCACGCACGTTGCCAGCACGTGTCTCAGTGGAGGCCTAGATTTATGACATGCTCAGCTGTGATGCCTTGTGCTGTGTTTAAGAACAACCGCCATTTCCCACACATTTGATCTTTTCTTCTCTTCTCCTCATACTATTAGCAAACGTAAACCCCTGAGCCGAATCTCAAAGAGACACGGAAATGCATCAGTTTTATTTACGATCGGATCATAGAATATATCATCAATGGCTTTTTCGCAACAATTTGCTCATATTCATATAGGACCCTCCCCTGACGGGACAATTGGCACTCACCTACCACACGGGCACCGTTCTCACATACTACCTGTATTCACTTTCCATTTGGACTGGTAATGTGTTAGTACCATGATGTCAACCAAATATATACTTTCTTCCTGGCTGAGATGACTCTGTGGCTAATGTGCGCAGTAGCTCTGTCCTAGGGCATGTCAATCCTTGCTACATGCAGATATCCGCGATGTGTCTACTGCGACACGCTAGGCAATGCGGAATAAAGAAAGAAAGAAATTTGCTCTACCTAACAGAGGGGTAACTACATGGGATAATAATGCTATATGGAATATATGTCAGGTGTAGTAGGTAAGGAGTGTGCCATTATTCTAATTGAATGAGAGTATATACACATGCTTGTAGATAGGACCAGAAACACTTGACAATTTCGTTAAACCAACCAACAGATAACTCGCCTTGGATGATTTCGGAGGCGTGGATCTCTGAGCCTGTACTACCTTGCAACGGCTTATATCATCTTGGCCTCTGAATCAATTATAGATCGATCTCGTTGGATGGCCGGGCGATATTGAGCCTCCAATGATGTTTATTGTTTGGATTCTTCTGGTATATGTTCGTCTCAAAGAATTTTTTATGTTGCTCACATTTCCAATTCTTATACCTTCGTATCTGTTTAGTTGCCTGTGCAAAAACTGTCAGGTTATACTTACGAATTAAGCTTCTCAAAGTTCCCCTCGATCAGATAATTTTCGGAAACTTCGACGAAATTACCGGTGCCTCCTTGTTCCGGGATGAAATATCGTTTGGCTTCGAGCGGCCCGTAGTTGACCTGCTTCACAAGCTGCACTGCGAAAGATGGGCTAGTCCTGGAGAAATAGCCATTGTCACCCTGAACGAAGGAATCTCTTGGAAACTTGGCCCATTGCATGAAAGTCCGGAATTTCTCCTCGTGATCGAGGTGCTGAGGGCGATAGGGGAGGACACCATCGCAACAGAAGAGGGAGGCCATGATGGGCTAGACACAATATACTTTGGGCAGGTAAGCGTGTAGTTTTTTTTAGAATATTGTGTTACTGTTTGGCCATACCGAAGCAGCCATTCTTTTATAGATGTTCCAAGCTCCCAATCTCAAGTTTGGGGTGACCTATCAGATATGCCTGTTTGCTAGTGTGTGCCGCTGACACCATCTCGCAGATTTTGAGGCCAGCCGTCTAACCCAATCCTCCGCCCATTGCCATACACTGGCCATAAAAGACAGACAAGACGCCGCCATCTGGCAGCCGTCCTTTCTTCCTCTTCATGGTTGGCCCTGGAGGTGCAGCCGTCACCACCTTCTTTTCTACCTCCTTCACCAACTGTTTTCCATTCTTTGACCGTTGTATCAAGGCCTCACACTTCGGAATCATCATCGTCCCTCCTTTCCACACCAGACAGGCTCGTCTGTTCACCTCTCCTCCACTAGAGCCCTTTTATTTCCAGTCAGGACCACTCCGGGCCTTCCAGACCCCAGGGTCAATATCATCTACATTATCATCGACCTCTTCCATTTGTAAAGCCCTGTTGGACTCAGAATGGGAATCAAGGCCCCTATCCGGATTATGAATGGGGACAGACTGACCCCACGGAGCCTGCTGGTCAGGACGATGCTGAGGATGGAAGACGGCCTACGGATACTGTTGCAGAGCAGCTCACCTTATTAAACGATGATGGACAAGTATTCACAGCTACTGCCAGTGCCCTTCCGGAGATACCAGTCCAGGTTCCGGCTGCGCGACGGCGTGCTTCGTCAGTGTCCATTAACCCTGCCTCGTTTTAATTACTCCATATACTGACCAAAGTCAAAGGCGCCCCAGGCCTTCTTCCCAGATCCCGTGTCTCGCTCCCGGTTGCGGCAAGACATTTACTCTGGAAAAGGATCTGCAACGCCACCAAAGAGAGCAACATGGGTCGCGTCGGTGGTATTGCTCATATCCTGGATGCCACTACAAGCTGGCTTGGGAAGGAACACCGCGAAGACAAAACCTCCAGAGGCATGTTCAAAGCTACCATAGCGATCATGCTGCCAATGAGTGCATGGAATATAGATAGCTCCAGTACTGAATATATTGAGCCGTCTCTCCGAAAAGCTAAGAGCCACAACACTCACACATGTGATCTTCAGAAGCAAACTGCATTGGACGCATATTTTTCTTGTGTCTGCGGATGTAATTGTCGCTCGTAGCAGGTGTCAAGCCTATGCTTCGACTAATATTTTCGGAGAAATAGGCTTTGGATGCCTTGAAGGCATGGTATAATCGACCTTCATTGTGGTAGTGTTTATCCTTGTGCCTTTTTGCAACTTTTTCACATTGAAACCACAACAAAATGCGTATAAGAGTCGCCTCCCAGCTTCGCTAAGGAACTTCACTTCTTACTATGGAACGCGCGTTGGATTGATCCACGATAATCCTAGAGAAAACTCGACTTGAGAGCAGCGGGTCGGGGTATTTACGACAGGGTTAGAAATAGCTGCACCTTCTTCGGCAGCTCCAGGGCGCTGGATCGAGCGCCTTCACTTGGAAGTGACTTGTCTTATTTGGAGATAGATGGTCTACACACTCCCGGCTTTTTTTAGGGAGAATACAAGTATCTCCAGCCCTAAGAGTTGGTAAGATAAGGCGTAGCATGTAGATAGAAGACGCTCAATCTATGTTCTAAACACACTGAAGTCTTTTCTCGATTAAAAGTGGCAACTCTTGGAGGCTTTGAATTGGAATTAGATGTAGACTCTGTGAATGCCTACCTCGGAGTAGCTCGACCTGATGCCTCCCAGCTGAGCATGAGCAATTTAAACTCGCTTAATGTGGGGGTGAAGGGCTGACTTTATATTGGGATAGACGTCATTATGAGCGCTGCTTGTCGTACCAAGCCTAATGGGATCCATCCCTTACCTAGCTTGAAGTAGACGCAAAATTCCATTCCAGGTAGTCACCCTCATTACTTTCCTACCTGAGATTGAATGATCGTGATATCTAGCTGTCTATTATTAAGACATATAATTGCGATAGACTTGTTATCTCTATCTAGTGTATGACGAGTGGCACTCTGTTCTCAGTCTCAGAATATTATATTGCTCAACTCATTCTCATAGTACGGAGAATCGGTATCCTTGCTCAATGAAGCAAAGCCCATCGTGAAAACCTAACCTTCTAAGATGTGCTATGACGCTACCTGCAAATGTGTCGCGGGATTGATCTCGGGTGTCTAGCTGCCAAGACTAACTCTGGCGTTTAGGGTTAGCCCTGATGTTAGGTGCCGGCTGAGCCGAGCTCATAGGCTTATTAGAAATATGAGGCTGCAAGCAATCTCGATGACTATTAACATCCAAAGTAGCTAGATATTGCGGCGGTTGTTCTCGCTGCCTTGCAGTGCTTGTACGTTTTTTGATCAAGAGAATGAGTCACTCGCTGCAGTTGCTTTCGATCCTGCTCACCATGCTGTCCTCCAAGTCTTCAAGGGCTTCGAGGACGTGCGTTCATGTTACTGAGAGAGATAAGTGGGCTTATATGTGACTGAACGGGCTATCTATTTGCATTTTCCCTCCGCTCCTTAGTTGTGTGAAATCTCGGCGGCTATTTCAATTCAGCTCTAATGATAATAACAAAGTTATCATACTCAAACTCTATGTATAACTAATCATCCAAATTATTTGTATATGTTTTATGTTTGAGTTTAATAATAATGCTGTGATATAGTGGTTCAATTAGGACAAGTGACATTAAAATATTATCATGACAATTATCTTCATATGCAAAGTCTGAGTTGAGTTGTATAGATGCATAGTGCTAAGATTGACTTGCCACAACCAATCCAATTGAGTCAGGGACATGGCGAAGAAATCGACATATGAGGTATGCAAAGAGTTATAGTCACATGCCTCCATGTTCATTTGATCGTTGGGAAACATGTATTATTCCTTAATTCTGACGTCGAAGATAATCCTGATGGGGATCTAGATCGTTCTGCACCCACTCACGCAGAACGTTGTCGAACCCAGGATGCGCGCTAACAAGATACTTTTCTTCTCTCAAGCCTTGAACAAGCAATTTCGCTACGTCTCCAGCTGGACGACTGATTTTTGTAAAGAACCTTTTGAAGTTCTCATGCCATTCGTCCGAGGCATTTCCGGAGATGTTGAGGGCCGACTCGGTATAGGTAACATCGGGAATTACGAGACTGACTCCCACACCGTTGGACTTTAGCGACTTGGCCATACACTGAGTTAAAGCGGCCTCAGCTCCTTTCGTAATGCAATAACCCAGCATGCCCTCGGCTACAGGTTGTGGCGGAACAAAGGCATTTGGTGACGCCGTATTGGCGATCCAACCGGATCCTCGGTCGATCATGGCGGGTAAGAAATTCTGTGCAATCCTTATATACCCCAAGACATTGACATCAAACTCGCGTCGGAGAATGTCGAGATCGATATTGAGAATTCCACCAGTCCGAAAGAAGACAGCGTTGTTGTAGAGGACGTCGGGAACTCCGATGCTGTCCAGGACGGAGGCGGTAAATTTGGATACAGAATCATCATTGGAGACGTCGCAGTGATATGAAAAAGCCTGACCCCCGTTTGCCTTGATCTGGGAGACGACGACTTCCTGAGGCTCAGTTTGAATGTCAGCCATGACGATGATAGCACCGGCTGCGGCGAGCTCAAGAGCGACTGCCTGACCAATGCCACCTGCGGCCCCAGTGACAACTATGATTTTGTTTTCAAAGTCAAGCATGATGACATACGAGGCCGTATGGACACGGGCGTGGAGAAGACCTATGAACATCAATATAATTCATTCTGGACGAGCTGGAATTTATGCTCTATTGAATTCTCAGCTGTATCGGGCTGGTATTTTGTTCTTATTATTCAACATGGTTAGTGCAGCATCAGACCCTTGCCCAGGCGATGTTGGACGCCCCATGCTTTGATCGTAAATCATAGTCTACTAACAAGTAAGTCTGCCGCGCATCCGAGGATGTGAATATCCGAGTGGACAGAAAAGTGGCTCTCGGATAAATAGTTACACTCTATCGGACTAATGTTTTGACATAGCCTGCTCCTACACGTAACAAGTGTCGGAACATCCCCTTGCAACTCCGTCTTTGAACCCTCCCACTTGATCCATCAATGAGTCATTGAAGACAAAATGTCAACAATACAACGTCCTTCTAGGCCATGTAAGGAGTGTCAGCGGCGAAAGCTCCGCTGCGATGCACAGCAACCCAAATGTGGATTGTGTCAGAGAGCCCGTGTTCCATGCGAGGCGTCTCCAGCGGGTAAACGAGGCCCCAAACGAGGTCATCTGGATGCCCTACGCAATCGTCTTGTGCAGCTTGAAGAAACTTTGCAGAACCGACTTGACTCCGAGCAACATCCGCAGGAGCATGCACAGGCGCTGCACTATAGCCCTGGCTCGACCGATGCCTCACAATCAACCGACTTTCTGAGAGGCGATGTTGGCTATGGCGATCCGTTGCCTCAAGCCTTCATGTTACCTGGGCCTTCAATGGCCGGTGATGCTGATACCTTGGGTCTGGGACCATTTCCTTTTCCTGACCTAGCAGTATCGCTTCCTCAGATCGACCGTGGTACCCACGCCGAACTGTAAGAAGACACGCTTCTCTGATGATGGAGTTTGACCACACAGCAGCTCATACCAATTCTTAGAGACCAATTGTACTTTGATCGAGTTCACCCGTCTTTCCCCATTCTCCACAAGCGACGTTATCTAAATTGGTCCAAGTCAACTGCCAAGTCTCGTTCCCAGACTTGTTTGCAGCAAGTCATGTGGATCCTCGCTACTTTGCTCTCTACACAATCTCGTGACTTGATTAATCCTTTATACAGCCGAGTCAAGCAGGATATTGACCTCATCATAATGGATACTGGTCCATGCCAGTTGGAACTCGTTCAAGCTTGGACACTTTTGACCGTCTGTGAGCTGATGCGGGCCTTGTATGGGCAGGCTTGGGCCAGTGCAGGACGAATGTTCCGACTACTTCAGGGATTACGCTATCATGAGATTGACAGTCCGAGGAAGGACCCTGTAGCGTCAGAGGGAATGATTGATCCTATCCGAACAGAAGAAAAACGGCGCGTCTTCTGGATGGCCTTTTTGATTGACCATCTGCTCAGCATCCGTAATCGTTGGCCAGTTACACTGAGCGAACATATGGCAAGATGCCCCCCCCCCAGTTGTGCACATGAGCAACTTCAAGGCTGATTCATTCAACTCCACCAGATCTGCACACGGTTACCAATTTCCGATCATGCTTTCCAGGCTGCTCAGCTCGGTTCGAGTACTTTCTTATCTCAAGCCGTAACCGAACCACCCTCCTCAGATACTTGCTCATTCAACGAGTGCATCATCATCGCAACACTCAGCGGCCGTGGTTTGCTACGTGATGTTCACGGCACCATTTCTGAAGCGTATGGTGGTTCTGGGCAGATCCATATTGACCACGACGAGTGGCTGAATCTTGTTCTTGCGACACGAAACCAGGCCCTACGTCAAAGAAACGATTCTGATCGTATGGGGACGTTTGCTCAAATCCTTGGACAGGTGACTGAGATTTTGTTCTGCAAAAGCCTGATGACAATGAACAAAAACAGTTCGACTGAAAGTTGTACGCAGGAATATCGCTGTCGGGTTCTGAGGGCCGCGGAGAAGATTGTGCTCTTCGCCGCAGACCTCACAGCGTTGCACTTCTCCATGGTAAGTCTCAATAACTACTTGCCATTTTTCTCAAATTTCTCTTCAGTCCTGGCATATCGTTACATCCTGAAACGCAATCTAATCCCCAAACTTCAGGTCCATCCGTTCATGTTCATACCTTTATTCGTCACTGCCGAGTTCTTGTACGAGAACAGAGCGCTTGGAGATGGTGCATTCCTAACGCAACTACGAAGCCTAGTTGATGTGTTTGGACAGTTGACAAATGTTAATGATCACGAAAGGAGTTACCTGGATTTACTATCGCGATCCTGTATATCATCATCGCGGGGGGTTTTGGAGCAAAGTGCGCAGCATAGACAGGACCAGCGCGGGTAGCTTAGACTATAGAGTACGCAGGCCATCATGCCATGCCCCGCGCCCTTTCCCCTGGTATTATTGTCCACTTTCGTACATGCTACTTGAACGCCCCCCCCCCCAAACTAGCACCTTTACGTAGGTACTGGATGCAGTGACGTGCATTTTTCCGTGCTCGGTTGCTATTGATCTAGTATATCTTCGGTGAACTCTTTCGTACTTTCCGCATATTTGAGTGCTGTCTGTCACCTGTTGGACTTGTGACTATCCTGGCCGATGTTGTTGAGGATTGTTAGCAATACTAGAGTCTACTTGGGTGCTAGCGAGATCCCTGGCATGACATACAATGATCTGAGAAACAACTTATCTAATAATTAACACTTAAGAGGAGCAGTTGTATCTCTGTCTTTTCTAAAACCCGCTGACTACTGAAACTAATTCTCCGCAGTGGACCCGAAATTATAATCCGATACACCAAATAATTGATCCGGACGTAAGAGCCACTCCAACATCGACGAGTGTAGCAGCAGTGTCTTATAAGTACTGCGTCCCTCGAAGCCTTAAGATGTTTAATGTACACAATACACTGGAACAAGAAAACAAAAGTGATCTCTACAAGAACAAAGTAATAACTTTCTCTTTTGTCACAATTTCACTTCTTCCATCACAGCTAACCCAACATTAGGCCAACAAAACATTGCAATCATGCCAGCCACTACCTGCGTTGAGCTCAAGAGGATCGCCAGAGACTTCTTAGAGGCTCTTGAGGATCCTAACGACCCTACTAAGGCACAGGCTGTGGCTTCAGCGGATTTATCTGTCACGCATGAAAGTTATCCTTCTACGGAAGGGCTTGAGCAATTTCTTTCTGGATGGGCAAAAGCGAAGCAATTCATGCCCAACTTCCGCATGGAACTGGTCGATATGGTAGCCGAAGTTGATGCGAGCGGCTCAGGTGGCAAAGTTTGGGTCTTTTCCAAGGTGACAGGTGGAGGAGGAGGCACGGACCGGGATAGTATCGACATGATGTCTATCAATGGCGAAGGCAAGGTTTGGAAGACGAAGGATGTTCAGCGAATAACATCAAAACATTAAACACACAAGTTACAGGTGCTAGCTGCGAGCTTAGTTATGATTTATAGCTTGGAATTTCTGGCAGACAATTCATACTGTTATTCCTGAGAACGCAGAGGCCCAAATCCCAGGCTACTGATAGTCACCATAGTTCCCCAAGCACCTGGGTCCGGTGGTGGTTGTTTGATGCTCTTCAAGTTGTAATATTGAAGACGGCAATTCTGAACCCCATAGAAAGGATAGACTGGGAGCATTTCCGGAAGGAATTCATTTCAGACTCCATTTATCAAAGCAACAAGGGGAATTAATTGCAGTCACAAAAGCCTACCGCGACAGTCTGTTGATTTAACATCCTCTTGTTGGTCAAGTTCACTACGCGTTATAACCTACAAGAGGACTTTTGAATGAAAATAAGCCTTACTCTTTGCAAGTTAATGTTTATTCGACAAGATAGAATTCACTGAAGTCATGTCATCAAATCAGTCAATAACATGCATGTGGCTGAGGGTTACGGGTTTCCCTAGACGATGTATTCTGGAATACAATGCGAAAAGCTAGCATAAGAGCAACGCTAAAAATAAACTTTTATTTGATCTCGGGCCATTGAAATTAGACCCGCCCTAGTCGAAGGTGAATGACGTCCATGATTTCGGAATTTGGAGCTTCGACCATCCCTCCAGCGGCATGTCCGGCAACACCGACTTACAAAGGGGCGGGGGATCAATGGTCTGTCAATGGCAGAATAAATGTCTTTCATATGCCATCCATCCAATCATGCAAGTATCTCCAGCTCGCAAGTTTTACCCTCGCGCGTGGGAAAACCGGCTTCCCGTTTCGCATCCGGATATCAGGGCCATTCGGGGCAAGTTCTTCAGAGCAGCCTTGATCAATTTTTGGCTGATTCTACTTTTATTTTTCGGCCTCTTTTGCTATTTGTTTGCATCTCTGTACCACGAGGGACGTCGGACACACAACCTGAACGTTCTTTGGGTCGATTTCGACGGTGGTGTCATTGGCGAAGCCGTGCGCAATGCGTACCAGAAACTGAAATCAGATGGCTTTCCCAACTTGATCGAGAGATCAACCCGCGATTTTCCTTTGGAAAAAGACGTCAAGAAAGCTGTTTGCAAGACTGACTACTGGGCTGCACTGTACACGTCTCCCGGGGCCTCCGGACGGCTTAGTCTAGCCATCTCCGGAGTCAACGCATCGCGATACAATGCATCGGACGCGCTCTCCTTTATTTGGAACGAGGCCAAGTATCCCACCATTGTGGATAGCCTTATTTCTAGTAATCTCCATACACTCGCTGACGCTGCCCGAGTGGCTTATGTGGCGCTCAATGGCAGCTGGGCCCTATCGACTCTCCCTCCCAATAATGGCCCTGCTCTATCTGCTTTTGCCAATCCATGGACTCTATCATCCGTTGACATAAAACCGACGGCACAAGGCACTCGAACGGTTTATAACACAATCGTCATTGTACTGGTTCTGATCCAAGATTTCTTCTTCCTTGCCACACTTAATGCACTCTACGGCGAGTTTAAAGTCTACATGAGAATATCTCCCCTACGAATCATTCTGGTCCGTGATATCATCTCCATCTTATTCACCATGCTCGGGTCGCTGCTCCTTACTTGTGCCATCTGGGCCTTTAGGGATGGATGGAGCGTGTCAGGCTCTCAGTTTGCTCTGACCTGGTTGATCCTATGGCTTTTTGCCCACGTCAACTTCCTGATGCTAGATATCTTCACGATATGGCTACCGGTGCAATTCGTCCCTATGGCGCTTATCACTTGGGTCGTGATTAACGTCACCTCGATTATACTACCCTTTGCCCTTTCACCTTCATTCTATTACTGGGGATATGCCCTGCCTGCCCATAATGTTTATGAGGCGCTCATAGATATTTGGTCAAGCGGCTGCAACCCGCATCTGCATCGCGCTCTGCCAATACTATTCGCCTATGAAGTAAATGGCATTTTCTGGACGGCTCTAGGCGTCTACAAGCGCTGCCATGGCGCCGTCATTATAGAAGAGACAAACAAGGAGGCTATGCGGATGCGCATAGAGACGGCACTTCGGATCGAACGCGAGGGCGAGGAGCACCGTTTGGGAGAAGAGCGTAGTGAAAAGAGCGCCCAGGATGACGAAGCTGGAACGTCCTCTGCCGCAGACCGACAGATTGGTAATATGGAGGAGGAGTCGCCTTCACGCAGGCGCGCAGGGGATGACCGGGCACAGATTGAGAATGACCTTGAGGACGTCACTAGTCGCATTGAAAGGATGGAGACACGGGCAAGGCGAATGGCTGACACAGGGCCCAGCTTCTATCTCGTGGGCTCGAGAAGTGAATGATCGTGACCATGTCACCCCGTTGTTACACTTGAGTTTTGTGTGACTAGGCTTCAAAGTGACGGAAGTGTGTAACGGTCTGACTTGAATGAGTAAACTACCGCATAATATTGTATTAAATGACAAAGGTCAGTATAGATAGGGCTTTGGGAGGTACATTATAATTTGAAAAGGCTATTCTTGTACGTTTTGGGGTGCATAGCCAAAAGTGCAAACAGCTTCCGCACAGGCGCCTGCTCTAGGCCAAAGAAATTCTAGTCTAAGCTTTTATCATCCTGGACCACATTACACTCAAGCGGTCTTGTAGAAGAAGCACCAAGGAGGCAGCAACCAACGAGTTTCGCAAGAGACGGGAGGGAGGGCTGGACGCTTTTGAGGACGGGGTCACCAGACCTGAGTTAGCGACCAAGCAAGTCATTGAGGGTGACATGTTGGGCTGCTCATGTCTATACGAACTATGATAGCTCTCAAGGTAGGAGGTCGTAAATTTGTAGTGCTGCCCTTATAGTTTAGTTTAGTAACCTTCTTTCGTCTCGGAATGAATTTCCGAAGAATAGACATGATTGTGATGAACATCGTATAGCCTCGGATTCAACGAACAGTCGAGTTACTAAAATCCTATGGGATTTTCTGCTTTTCTCTTTCAATCGTTGTTCTTAATGGGCTCGCAACATACTTCAATGCCTCTAAATATTTATTCTTAGTTCATCTGAACTCGTATTCTACTATAGACGATGTTGTAGGAATCATATTACATGACATATCAAGCAGACGACGAGTGAATTAGAAGATTGCGAAACATCAAGAGATTAAGGTAATACATCGTGATACAAAGGCAAACGCTTTGAAAAGTCTCAGGATCTGAAATCTGTCCAATTTGCATAGCTCACTACGTCAAGCATGATGCAGCCATAAACCCGACTGATTCATTGTTCTGGGTGTATGAATAGCCACCAGTTGCACTCAGTTCACACCGAAACGGCATGCAACCACCCTTTGACACCAGCCTAATAAATTTGCATCGAAAGTCTCAGATCCGATTGTCCCTTTCTCTTACCCAGCCTGCCACTCCTTTAGAAGTTGCTCGGATTCCTTGGTTAAGGGGTGTCCAACACCTAAGACACGGCGTCTAAGCGAAATACAAGTTCGCATCAAGGCCTGAGACTTGCTGGTATAGCCGCAATTGACCCAGCGGCAGGCAAGCTCATGCATGCTAGCGAGCGTGTCTGGGTGCTCTTCTCCAAGTGACTCTCGCTTCAATTCCAATATCTGGGCAAGTATCTTCTGCTGCTCAATGAATCTCTGCTGTCTATAATAAACTCTGCCAAGTGTTTCCAAGGCGCTCTGTTTCCCTGGGTGCTTGTCGTTCGGAGCGCGACTGCAGAGTTCCAGGATCTGCCGACACAGCTTCTCAGCTTCACCAAGATTCATGAACTGAAGTTGAATAACAGCCAACTCTGATAGGACATGTACTAAATCGCTGTAGTCATCGTAAAGTACAGATTTGAGCTTTTCTGCCATCTCCTCAAGCATTCGGATCGGGATAATCATCTGGCCTTGCTTGGCATACACTACTGCCAAAATGGCTATTGTATCAATGGTCAATTCATGGGTGTCTCCCAAAACTCTTGGACACATCTTGGACAACGGCTCCAGAAGATCTTCCGCATCCTTTGGCTTTTTCTGCTTTATGCATATCCGGGCAAGTCTATTCATGCTTCGGAGGGTGTCAAGATGGTCCTCTCCCAGCAAGGATCGCCTAGTCTCAAATATTTCTCGAGACATGGTTTCCGCTTCTTCTAAGCGATCTTGCGAAGCGAGGACGCTCGCCAGCTTGGATGCGTACCGAAGAGTAATCACATTGTGCGGTCCCAGCACAGCCTTACTCTTCTCTACAAGAGGACCCAGCAATATACTGGCGGCACTCCATTGGCGCTGCGAAACGTAACTTGTGGCAAGCCCGCTCGTACCACGTAATGCATCGGGATGGTCATCGCCGAGGACCCTTCTGATCTTCTCCAAAACTTCTAGGAATAGGACCTCTGACTCTTTGAAGCGACCCTGTTGTCGAAACAACCCTGCAAGATCAAGGCCAGTGGACAAAGTATCGTAATGTTCGGCCCCTAATATCCTCTGATTGGTTTCGTAAAGTTCACAATATAGCCTCTCAGCTTCCTTGAATCGTCCATGGTATGAATAGGTAGTAGCAAGATTGCCCATGCTACTCATCGTGTCGATATATCCCTCGCCAAGCGCATTTCGACTTGTTTTCAAAATCTGCTCTTCTAATTCCACGGCTTCCTGCCATCGATTCTGGTCTCGGTATGTAGAGGCCAGGTCTGCCATCGCATTCAATGTATCCCGATGGCTGTCACCGAGCGTAGCCTTGGAAATCTTGACAAGCTCAAGTTCGATGGCCTCTGCTTCCGCCCATCTTCCCTGGAGGGCGAGGATGGAAGAGAGGCTGGACATGAGAAACCGTACGATCCCGTCCATATCCCCTAGGACTCTTTTTACGCCAACAATCTCGTTCTCGAGGGACGAACTTGCCTCTGGAAGTCGGTTCTCTCTCTGATAGAGATCTATCAATGGGTTGGAATCGAAGTGACCCATCTCAATAACCTCAGACAAGCGTTGCGGGATCTCGTCGTCGCTTTTCTCATCGTCTGTCTCGTAATTTAACACGGCTTTATGCGCGGTTTCTATTGTCATATTGTTATGTTTCAAAATTGACTCAGCGCTTTCAATGTTAATCAATGTTCCGAACCCGATATAGTGGCAAATTGCGAGCTGAAAAGCTAGTGGGCTATTACGATGACAAGTTTGATCCAAACACTGGAAGATCTTGCTCCTAAGTCGGTAGTCACATCTATATAGATCTTCAATCGATGTGGTTATCTAGGAATTACTCAGCAACGATCGTTGCACCTGCCAGATTAGAGAGCATACCTTAAAATCGATATCCGGAGAGGTGACCATTGAAATGTTTTGAGTTGTGGTCTCGGTACTAGGGTTGAAAAGCCCAAAGCCTTCAAGAAGCAACTCGAGGCTCCCTACCCGGAGCAATGAATCTTTGCTCAAGCTTTTTCGAAGAAACATTTCAAGTGTGGATCGCTCAACGCCAGTCAAGCCATCTTGAGCGTCTACTAGCTGACCAGCAAAGCTTTGTAATGAGTCCCGATACGCCTTCATTTCAAGTATGGTATCTTGATCTCTGTTTGGATACCAGTCTCCGTCTTTTAAGAGCCTTCGGATTTGGGGATCAGACACACTTGGAGGGAGAGGAGCCAGGCCCGAGAGGGACCTCTCAAATAGAACCCACAGACACAGGAGACCAAACGAATAGACATCTGCGAGCTTGGCACCTTCAAATGTCCATTCTCTTGCCGCTCGATCGTGTTCCGGGGCGTTCCAAGGCTTGGATATTGGTAATTGAACACGAAGCTTTTGTGTAGAATAGAGCGTAGAGTAACCAAAGTCGATTAGCTTTGCTTCGTACTCATCCTGGCCTACCCTGAAAATCACGATGTTTTCCGGTTTTATATCACCGTGGATGATTCCTGTGAAAGGTTATGAGCCACTTACTATTACATTCTGACTCACACATAAAAGCTTCATACCGTGATTGTGGAAATCTCGCAGCGCGTTGCCAATTCCTAGACAGAGACCTAAGCGCCCCTTCACACCAAGCTGCGATCCTGCAGAAAGTCTCATGAAAGTTCTCAAGTCTCCGAGATGAGTTTTCTCAAAGACCAGCACAGGCCACGGGTTGTTGTCAGCAGGCGATATTTCCCAGCATATCCCCTGCAGCTGAGCGACGTTTCGGTGTCGACGAATCATCGGGTGGCTGAGAACGCTGATTTCATTACTGAAAGCCTGAAAAATCTGGGCCTCGGTCTTTTCTCTATTGACTCGCTTATAGGCAAAGCTCGTATCGACATTGATGGTCCCTTCGCTCACCCGTGATGTAGCTCCTGCCCCAACGTCTTGGCGGCCTGCATCCCACAATATTGGCAGGATTTGCAACCTGAATCGTTGGACGGTCGCGAGAAACGAGAGAAAGTTGAAGCTAGGAGGCCCTGTCTCGGCCCCTGGTACGACAACCTTGGTGGGAAGCCGGTAGCTGGACCCTAGATAGGGCTCGATGGTCCTATATGACATGGCGAATAAAGGTGGCAAACCACGATCGTTGGAGACACTATGGGAAACAAGAAATAAGACGAGAAGTGGCCAATTTTTTGAGGGGCGGGGATGGTGCTGTATGACGTGTCTGTGAGATATGTGCATTTCCCTCCCAGGGTTCAGCCATCCTCAGCTGACGGAGAGCATGATCGGGATTGGACGACTAATAAATCCTTCTACACACAACAGTACTTGAGAAAAAACTATTAAATGCATAAAGGCCATAATTCTCAAATAGGAGCAAGGGACAAATTTCTCAACGGCTCAACCACAGCATCAGCAAATCGCCGTATCTCGGCCATTCTAATGTCTGACTTCCCCGTAACATCGCCTCCGACAGATAAATGTTCATTCTTGACCTCTAGACCCCCATCCATACATTGTTGTGTTAGGTTTGCATATTTGGTGCCCATCTTGGAGGGCAGTTGATTCCGGCACAAGCTGAGCAGTGATTTACGAATCTCTTCCCCTCCCATGCTCTGGAATTTCTCTCCCGAGAGCAGAGTTTTGAGCGCGCGCCAGAGTCCGATTTCTAGCAGAACAACGCTAAGGCTATAGCAGTCAAATTTAAGCTGGTAGCGCCTGGTATTGATGTAAGAAGGGTGCTGGTAATCTTGTAAATTTGAATCACGAGGCCCATCTGTTTGCCAGAAGCTGCCGTCCGGCCGTGCCTTGTGCAGTCCGACGATGCATGGCTTCTGCCATTCATAAGCGGTCCCGGAGCTGAAGAGGAGAACGTTATGCGCATTGAAGTTTTCGTGCAGCCAGCCTACCGTATGGAACTCTTTTAGGAAATTTGCGAGTGCGAAAGCAAGCTTGAACTTCTCCTCCAATGGAGGTTGATGCTTCGTGGATAATAAGAGTTGTAGCAATGTTGATGGGTCTGAAACTGCCCACGCCGGGAAGCGGTAGACGAGGCCGTAGTTTTCGAGATCGGTGCCTTTACGATCTAAGCAACCGATACAGTCAAGGGCACCAAATGCGTCGGTTTTAGGGGCGAAGCTGAGGCTTTTGGCTTTGAGATCGAGTACGACCTGCCCCTGTTTTTGATTGAGACCCCCCTTGCTTGGCTCCAGCTTCTCAACAACAACATGTTCTTTTCCTTGATGAAGACCTACTAAGTGGCCACAGGCCTCATGTCTCTGAGTTATGTCCTTTGCCAAGATCATCCGCGTTTCATGGCGTGACTCGAAGGTCTCAGGATGCAAGGCCGCTAAGCTAAATTTTTTCATCATACACATCGCACCTGCAATGTCGTAGATCATATAGCGGGATTTCAATCTCTTTTGATAGATTGTGTCGAGGTCTTTTGGAAGCTCGGTATCAAGAATCTTTTGGTGCCAGACATCAATTGCTTGTGTTCTCTTGCTTGTCGGTAGGAGGTCCCAGAGTTGCTCTATGCACTGGCCAATCTGTGCCTCGTACCCTTGTAATTCATACTTGGAATTGTCATTGGTCTCTGAGATCGGTGTCTTAAGCATATGCTGCACTTCCCGAAGTGTGTGAAACAGCGAGACCATGGTGGAGATCGACTCATCATGACCATCCTCCGCAAGTGAAGGAATTTGAAGCTTTACGCTCTCCTGATCAATTGCCGAAACGTAGCCAAATGCACAGAACCTATTCTTCATGAACCAGAAGTTTTCACTCGCCAGCCTTGCGTCGGAACTGCTCAGGTGCATGACGCTATCTAGTTCGTTCAAAATAGCTTCAAAATGAGCCTTGAGACTGATATAGCTCAGTGAAATGCAAATATTGGTCATCGTTGGCCGTTGAGCCGGATTCTTTTGAAGAATCATGAACGCGAGTTCAATAAGAGATGACACAGGATACAGGCTGCTTCTTGCTGACTCTGCTATTCCAGTCAACCAAATTCTAACCACGGCCTTCAAGTCTCCATCCGGTTGGTAGAAGAGACTGTCATGCCAGGACTTGAGGCGACCTGGCGCCTGACGCCGATCACTAAAATCCTGGACCCCCTGCTTCCCTTTCATCATGTAAGTTATTACATCCGCCAGAACGCAGCCGAATGCCCAAACATCAATGGCGCGAGTAACGTCCTGGGCGACCTCATTCTCGTCGGTGCACTCAGGGGCAATATAATCGCCTCTCGTCGACTTGACCGGCGTGATCGACGAGTCTGCCTGCGATCTGATGCGGCCAAACCCAAAGTCTGCTAGAATGAACGTCCTCTTACTGACTAAAATGTTTTTGGGACGAAGATCATGATGGTAGCCTATCGCTTCCAGGTTTAGGCCATGGTTGGCCTGATCTAGATGAAGTTGGTGAGTCTTGGAAAGAGCTGATGCCAGCCCTCGCAGGGCAGAGAAAAAGACAAATTTATTTCCGAAATCACCGAATGCTTGCTCGCTGGCAAAAAAAGTCTTTAAATTCATATCAATGAACGGAAACAGGAAGTTGTGATCTCCTTTATGTGTGTAAGATCCTAAAAGCTGGATGATATTCGGGTGCTGAAGCTGGTTCAGGAGTCGGAGGCATGTTCTCTCACGGTGCCAATCTTGGCCTTGACTCTGGGATTTGATAATTTTCTTGACCACTTGAACGTGTCCATCCTTGTTGTCGTTAGCCTTTTATGCAGTCCTGGTGAGACTACCATGAATATCAGACAAATAACTCACCGTTACCGGGAAAAGATTTTGTTGTGATGCTAGGACATTGATCATGTATATCTCGCCAAATGCTCCCTGGTCTAGGAACGTCGGTTTCCCGACAAAAGGGAGGATGTCTTGATCGCGGAATTCGTGATGATTTTCCCACATCATGTGAGGTAAGTGGCGGGATAATAACTTCCACTGAAAGTCATTCGCAAATGCGCCTCCAAAACTGGGTGCGATGTCCACGGCTTCCTTTTCGCTAAGAGGTAACCGAGAATCCAATGCTCCATGGTTGCGAAATTTACAAATGCTATCTTGTTCTCCCATCGACAACAGTATTGCGAATACCCGTTGACCATCTCGGTGTATCGTGTCAACCAAACCAATGACATTCTCAGGCCCCAGACCCATCTCATCCACGGCATCAGAGATCGCCGATTGGGTCAGAATGGTTGAGATCGCGATTGTCGGAAGAAAATGGCGAGTCCCTGTCTCATCAGCAATCATATTACTATTTATCTGGCGTCGCAGGGAACTGATGTTCGATTTATTTGTTGCCATGATAGCAAGGCAGATATTGTCGTTGAACTGGCTAGTTATGAAATCTGCAGTTCTCATGAATACCAGCCATCTTTATGTAGACTGCAACATTAAAATCTTCGGGCGTCTTCGGGAGTCTCCATGCTGACAGGTCCTAAGCTTAGGCAGCTTACGTGCTCATGTAGCTCGGTGTACATGTACATGCCATAAGCATAGACCTGAGGTTGCACTTTCGGTAATCTTGCGCAGATAATCCAAGCGAGTTGACATGTTATTGCTTCACTCGAGCCACGTGTCATTGAACACTTTGCACATTCGCTAATGACAGCAAATAAGATTTGCTCTTCGGTATAATCCGCATCCGTTGCTGATGCACATGGCTGGTGGGTGTTGAGACACTCTTTCATCTTAATCCGAGCAACATCGGTATGATCAAGTTGCAGCCGGTGGATGCCACTCTTATTAGTGAGGACTAGGGTTCGCTATATGCATAGTTTGGATTCTTTGCTAAAGTTTCAGTCATTTGAACCCCCTTCTCTAGTCTAGTGCAAGTGATCGCGGTTCGTTCAGTCGCGATGGATGATCAAGCCATTAAGATTCTCTCCTGGATCTCCGATGTTCCCCATCAACTCCACCACGAGCACGCCAAATTTGATCTCGTGGATGGGACTGGGCAATGGATTTTTGAAGACGAAGTTTTTTTGAACTGGAAAGACGGCCTAAACTCGTCGATATTATGGCTCCAGGGAAAACCTGGGTCAGGCAAGACAAAGCTCATGTAACTACGCTATCACACTACAAAAACAACGGCTTCTAACTCGCACTGTAGGTCACTGATGATCGAAGACGCCCACCTCACTGCAAGGCAGAAATGCGGTCGCCCTCCGGTATACTTTTACTGCTCTGGGGATGCTGCCGAACCCGCCCGCAGAGATGCTCGTAGTATTCTTGCGAGCATTGCACGTCAGCTTTCTATCTACGATCATACCACTCATTGGATTCACCAAAGCACGATGGAAATATATGTGAAGCGAGAATCTCGTGGTTTTACGTCGCCTCAACTTGATTTAAATGAGCTTAAAGTACTCATTGTAGACTTGCTTGAGAGAGCAGATAACAAGCCCAGAACAATCTTCATAGACTCGCTTGAGGAATGTGGATCTCAAGCCAGTGGTGCGCTTCTTGTATTCTTTGAGCACCTTCTCACGATTTCACCATCCCTCGTGAAGTTGTGCATCTCAAATTCGGACTATCAGCAGACTAATGGTCTGCCCAAATATCCAATTGTTCAGATTACTTCCAAGCGCAATGCTAAGGATATCGAAGAGTTTGTGCGGACCAGATCACAGGAATTGATAGTTGAAGGCCGACTGTTGCTATCTGGCTCTCAAGAAACGGAATTACAGGAGAAAATCGTGTCGAATTTTGTGGCTAACACAGATGGCATGTAGGTAGATTCTCCTTTACCAAGACGAAATAAGCTAATAAGAATAGATTCTGTTGGGCTAACCTCCAACTCCTCGAATTGTGTCAAAAACGTACACACGCTGCGATTCTGGACAGACTATCTACCCGGCCACAGTCTTTGGAGGAATTGTATCGTGAAATTCTTCAACGAATCGAGACTTACAAGGATAAGACTGATGGGAACATTGTTCAGAACGCCTTCAATTGGTTGCTTTATGGATACGAAACACTTAAGTCGGATGTCTTTCTCCAAGCAATATCAAGCCCCGTGAACTGCGACCGCATATCTATCTCAAACCGGCAATTGTTAGATTTATGTGCTGGCTTTGTTCTCTACGACGTGAGCCTTGATATTTACCGATTCTCTCATCCCTCGGTTCGACACTTTCTGGAAAAACAGCCAAGATACGCGTCGTCTAGGGCAAATGCTTTAATTACTAAAACATGTCTATCATATATGCTTGCGACAAATTCTGAGTTTGCCCCTTGGACCCGATTCATAGGTTACACATGCGCGTTTTGGGCAGAACACCTGCGCGCCTGCGCGATTCATGGCGACCCTCAACTTGAAGAGATTGTGGGCAAGTTTATGCCGAGGCAGCTGAATAATGACTCCACATTCATGCGCTGGCATCGAAGCATACTTGATGGCAGACTAGGCGGTCGTTTTCTCTCAAGACCGCGTCTAAGAGCAAGGCTTGCATCTGTTGGCACCTCGCCCCCATCAATTCTTGCATTTCTTTGTGCTTTCGATCTCGAGACAATTCTCAGCTCTCATCCGTACAGCAGGCTTCCATACTCAGAACCCGAAGATTTGGTATTAAAGGCATATGAGATAGCGGCTTGTTGCGGTAGCAATGCCGTTATTAAATGGACCCTGGAACGCAAAATCCTTAGGATAACGGATAACTTGCTCAAAGCCACAAGTATCAATGTGTTTAATGGCGACAAGACCATGCTTCTTTTCTTAAAATATTTGGAGAAAGGCTCTTCGATATGTGAAAATGTCGTTGAAATTGTGACCGAAAACATTGACTGCGGTTGCCAAATGATGAAGATCCTACTTCAATCTCCGCAATTAAAGGTCCAGCTCTCGCAAAACAGTCTTCTTGCTATATGCAGAAGTCAGAATGGCCGAAAATTGATGGAAATACTCCTCCAACATCGTGGAAGTGACATCAAGCTGACGGAGGAAGTCTTGCAAGAGGTGGTAGAGAATGAGGCATGTGGTCTTCAGTTGATGGCCTGTCTCCTGGAGCGGAGGAAGGCCGATATTATTATCACTGAAAACACTCTTATCTATGCTGTAGGAAATGAATTTTGCGGTGAAGGCTTGATCCGTCTGCTTTCAGATGAGTTTGGACCGGACATTACAATCACCGGAGAGGTACTCTATACTGCAGCTGGGAATCCTACTTGTGGCGATGAACTGATATCGCTGCTTCTTTCCATGGGGCCCTCCGACTTCAGCACGGAAGACCTCTTTCAAACAGCCGCCGAAAATGAAGGCTGTGGTGACAGGGTGATGAAAGTGCTTCTTGAAAAATGTCACACGGAACTGAGCATCACAGAGGACGTTGCAATGTCTGCAGCAGGCAATGAAGAATGCGGGGAACAAATTTTCTCCGTACTCTTGGGCAAACCTGGTCCCGGGATTCAGATTACGGAAGACTTACTTGCTATTATAATCCGAAACGACATCAGTGGTGAGAGAATCATGAAACTACTTCTCAGGGGCACAGAATCGACAATCTCAGTCTCCAGCAAGGTGATGCAGATCATTTCAGAAGGTTTCCACCATGAGAGATGTGAGATAATTCTCCTTGACGACAGGATAGTACTTGTGAATTATCCAGAAATCCTGGCAAGCGTTGCAGAATACTTTAGTAAAGCCACTCTTGAAAGTGTTATCAACAAACATGGATGTGGTTTGAGCAACGAAGATGTTCAGCAAGTGTTAGTGGCAGCAGCTAGAAATCGAGCCCATGGTGACATTATCTTGGTATACGCTTTGGAACGGCTTGCACCAGGAGAGGAAATCACGGAGAATCTTTTGAAAGCCGCCGCCGAAAATGTGATGCTTGGAGATCGTATAGTGTTGGCGCTCCACCAAAGATACGGCCACAATATCAAAATTACTGAGGACATTCTAGCCTCAGCTGCAGGAAATTGCGAATGTGGCGATCTGGTCATGGCCAATATATTGAACATGTACCCAGACCAGGTCAATATCACTGATGGCGTCTTCGAAGCCTTGGCTGAAAACGCAGTCTGTGGTGTCAGAATATTACAGATCATGCTTGAGAAGACGGCATGCCAAGTCTATTTGACACGGAATGCGATTGAGGTAATCGCTAATTGTATGAACGGCACGAATTCTGGACTCGGTATAAAGACAATGCAGTTGTTGCTCTCAAGAAGTAGAGTTAAGAGCGAAGCTGTGGACGAGATACTAGTAGCTACAGCCTCCCATCACAAAGCTTCGCCTACGGCCTTAGATCTCCTTCTCAACCACTACGGTCGCAATGATAGCATTGGTGAGGAGATTCTTGAAGCTGCGGTTCGCAATATACACAAGGGCTATGAGCTCGCGGCATACCTTTTAGACAGAGGTACTTCTGTCACAGAAAAGGTCCTCTGCTGTGCTGCTGAAAATGAAAGAGACAGTCATGAAATTTTGAAAATTTTGCTTTCCAAGCTAGCACCTGAGTCTAGAATACCACCAACTGTCCTAAAGGCTGCCGCTAGTAACACGGATTCTGGTGCATGTCTGGTGGACCTTCTGCTGTGCCATGGAGCCATGGAGGTTGACGAGACAGTTATTCACGCAGCCGCAAGCAACGAGGGATGCGGCAAGAGTGTTCTGGAGCTTCTATTCAGACAGAGTAGATCCAAGATCGTGATTACTCAGAATATGCTGATAGCAGCCGCAAGTGGAAACCTGGAAAGCCTTGAATTCCTTCTTGATCAATGTCAGGATGGGTTATGCGTTACGGGTTCCGTGTTGGAAGCTGCAGCAATCAATATATCCGAAGGTTCTCACCTTTTTTCAAATATTATTTCCAAATGCGAGAATGAAGTCCGGTTCACCGAGGCCGTTCTCCAGGCTTGTGCCTCGAACATTGATCCTGGAATATCCACCACGAGAATGAAGCTAATTCTAGACGGAGGGGGCGATGCACTCAAAATAACTGAAAATACTGTGTTGTGTGTTGTTAGGAATTGGGTTTCGGGTTATGGACTTATGAAATTGTTACTGCAAAAGCGAGGCAACGACGTGCGTATAACACGAAAGGTGATGCGCAATATAGCGACAAACCCGCATGGAAAAAAGATCATCAAGCTACTTCTAAAAGATCACACGGATGGTACAATCTCCAACATTAGCCAAGAAGTAATTCTGGCTGCTGCCTCCAACGGACGACTTGAAATTCTCAAGTATCTATACCAGCTGGCTCCCCTCATCCCCGTGGATCCAAACTGGGAGCCTATCTGTCGGCTCTACATAGCCGCAAGGGATGGCTACGTAGACGAAGTCAGGCGGCTCGTTTGCAACAAATGTCCTGCTGATACTAAAGATTCCAGAGGCAGGTCTCCTCTTTGGATCGCGGCATATTACGGTCATGCCAAAATCGTGCAAATTTTGGTTTGCCAAGAAGGTGTGAATGTAAACAGCCTTAGTAACTCCAAGAGGGGCCCGATTTTTTGGCCTTGCTCGGTCGGAAACGTGGACGTGGTGATGATTCTTTTGGCGGCCGGAGCAAAAACAAACATTCCGGACTCGAAGGGAGACACTCCTATCTCCGCCGCCAATGAGAACAATCAGAGAGTGGTAGTTGCACTGTTGTCTGGGAGATAATGTACAAAAGAGGCTTGAGTAGTCGTTTTCTTCCAGAAGCATAGAAAGGTTGGGCCTTAATGTAACTGCTTCATGCTAATTTCTTGGTCGCTCCCATTTTCGTGCCCCTTTCTCGCCTTTCCCACCATAGATATGCCGCAAAAGTGGAAACTCCAAACAGAATAGTTAGAAGAATTGCCACCCAGACTTCACGATGCACTCGCAGTGTAAATGAAACTGTTTCTGACCCCTCATCTCTATCACCGTCAAACCAGACTAAACTCGTACTAAAAAATGACTTTCAAAAATGTCAATTTCTCACTATTGACTGAAAGCGTACTCAATCTTCCCGTATGCGTGGGTGACTCACCAGAACTAGATTGGCGGGGAGATAGAAAAGTGTCACCATCATCATAGTCCTCATCGTTCGAGAATCGTTGTAAGTCTTGCTAGCGATTGACACCATAGTACTAGTCTCGAGTGACTCGGACTGTACAATTTGGGTGAGCCTCATCTCGTTGTGCAGAGTGGTCTCTTGTCCCCGAAACATAAGAATATTAGTATGCTGTGAGTGAAGCATCAGCATCTTGAAGCACCAGTGCTAGTTGCGCCCTGGAGGTATTCTACCATAGTTTGTATATCATTGCAAAAACCAATGAGTCTGTGTGCCGTGTGCTTGTAATTAGACAAGTCTCCGCTCATGTTGTTGATCTCGCAACGGAATTGAACTCGGCATATTTGGTGGAGGTGAGCTAGTTTTGTGAGGGCTTCTTCATGCATGGTCATACTTTTCACCGTTTGGTTTGTGTTTTCAATGATAGAAAGAGCATATTGTAGCTTTCTGCGGATTGTATGGATCAGTTGCACTGAAGTGAAATCAACCGGATATTCGGAAAAGGGCTTCGAAACAGAAATGGGCATGTTCTATACCGGTGAATTGTATATTATAACTAGTCAGTCTATTGAATCAAGTGCACTTCCTGTTACGTTAACCAGGAGGATATGCTCACAAGGCGGCGAAGTTCGGTCGCAAAGTACTCAAGATACTCTCTCCAACAAGAGATTCCAGCCGTCATATACCATACATGCTGGGCCATGGGATGAAACTCTTGGCCGATACTATTCTTCTCTACGCTCTGAGAAAACTTCATTGGAGGCTGTACAATGATCCATGTAGATGCCTTTGTGCTGAAGCTATACTGTTGCGAAATGGCAGATTGTCGGCAAGACCATGGATCACTGTTCTTGCGATGATTTAGCTCCATGTACCGAATATTGTAGCAAAGAACTATGAGAAACTTGTCAGTCAGATCCTTTTCATGGATGCTAAGGGTTTACGTACAACAAGTGGACGCAGTTAGAGAGTCAGCAGACCCAGATGACTGGGTTTCCGGCTGGTTTGTTAGTATTTGAGTAGGGGAGGTAAAGCCGCGATAACAGCTGATACAGTCCTCATCTTTGGTAGCAACTCGGTCAATAAACCCGAGAAGGATTCTCAGAAAGTGGGGAGTACAGCCAAGTGCGTAGACGGCTTGAAACATTTCATATGTTATGCTGACCCGACTCCAGGAGGTTTTGCGGTGCAAGATTCTATCAAAGCGACACCAACAATATTGTTAGCATTTACAACTACCATCAGACAATGAATCGAAAATTCTCTCACATCATTCTCGACTTCGCCGCGGCTTGTGACTAAAAAGCGCCTTATTAGCTAGTCTTGAAGCACCCTTCCATCTGGATATATTTGTTACCTCTAAGGCAGTCTTTAAATGAGCGAGTGTAGACACCCATGTGACAAAGCTTTTCTCGCTATTTTGATTTGGGCTTTGGAGGTCGGCAGTGGGCTGTTTTGGAGCTTTCTGCAAGCAGACAACACCCACCTTGCAAGAGGCTGATTCTGTAACAAAGATATCAGACAGTCTAGCCTCGAAGTCGGGTTTGAAGAACGATTCCAGTTCAGCATTTCCCATTTGGATATCCTGCATCTCCTAAAGTGTTCGCGTCCAAAAGTCTCGCTTAACACTACTTAGATAAGGCAGCAAAGCATAAAAAAGTCGCGTACAGTCCCTGTGGAAGGTTTAATGTAATAGTTAAAACTCAGGTGACCTGTTTTTCTTTTTCATAAAAACGTGAGTAGTTATTTCAAGATAAAAATGAGAAAGACCAGAACATATAAGTGGAGGGGGGTAATGTATAAAGCCGGAATAATGGTGGCGCAGCACAAATTGCGACCTAGCACCAATAGATTTACTACGCTGGATGAACAATCTAAATGCAGCTGTGTACACATTAGAGGAGACCGGTCGGGCTTTCTGGGATGGAGTTTGGGTAGCAGGTATCCAGAAATTTGTCCGATAGTGACCATACAACAGCCCCGTCGGTCTTAATTGGCGTACAGCCTCGGTAGTTCAAATTCGTATCTTCTAAGTATTAGTACTTGTAGGAGGCTGGGTAACCGAGGATGTCCCAGTGCGACATAACTTGGTGCCCAAAGGTCAGCGTCGGCTTTTAACTGGGTGGAATATATGCATAGCCACGTCAAGTGAGAATCAATACTCGGTCACATACAAATTAGATGTAGTGGGAAGCCCATGGTTTCCTCGTCTTATTTCTCATGTTCCTCCTAGCATCTCTAAAGTGAACCTTGATTGACAAATCTCCCTTTGACATGGCCGAAGTAACATATATCGAGGAAGTGTACGTCATCTCGGAGAAGTTGGATGCACTTCTTCAGGTCCTATTTTTGAATCCCGCCAATTACAGCGTCAAGGTGAAAACTGCATCCTCTCCCACGTTCGAGCACGCTGACAATAAGAAGCGGCAAGATGACGTCTATGAAATCACGGCTCCACGAGAGCTCACAGCGGTTGGTGAAATGAAATTGGAGAGCAATCAATAAAGAAATTTCAATGAACCAGAAAACTTCTAACTAAATGATCCTCTATAGGATGAGATTAAATCTGTCTCACATCCAAAGCCTTAGCCGTGAACGAAGTGGGGAAGAAGACTGAGATGGAATGATTGCGATGGTTTAGTTCATCATCTGGTGAACATGTCTAACGAATGCAGATCATGCTGTATGCATCGTATTAGTGGGAGGGCAAATCATTTTAATTTTTGGAACACTGGCAATGTTGAACAGAATTGAAATCTTCGAAGCGTGAACAAGAGTAAATGTTTCCAGCGTTTACATCCAGGGATTTTAAATGGCCTCCTCAGCGTCTTATATTTAACAGGATAAAGGGTCTATTCATGCTTCATAGCTAAGGCTAGATAAATTATGCGATTTTCAACGTGAAGGTTAGAGCATGCGCATCGAGCCAGGGGGGAATGCTCTGTAGAAAAATGAATGAATGAACGGTATCTCGCAATTGATGACTCAGGTATCCGTCCTTGAGCTCTATGACACGGAATGCATGATGCGCTTAGGAATTAGAAATATGTATGTATATGCATATGTCCCAGCAACGAAGAAACTCAGCCGGAACAGCCGACCGGCTACCTGTTACAGAGACTCGGACGATGAACTCGTGAATCTGGGATTGAACCTGACTATAATGACTAACGAGAAGGAGAAACTATGCTTAGGAGCAAGATCTGCCCATGCAGCTCAGGTTTGTATCGGCACATATTACGGGCGCGGCGAATGATTAACATCGATGGGTTGAAATAGAGCGATAAAAGATTATGTAACGTCTCTCCGGCGCTCAGTAAATTCATATGAGGCCAGCTACTTCATCGGGTCATAAAAAAGTGCTCTGATAGAAGGCAATAGTTCCAAAATGCACGAAATCTAGATTGCGACCACATGATCGCCTGCTGGTAAGCCCAGCGGGGAACAGTCAGCCTGTTGCCTCGCGTTCTCTTTGAAACGATATCTTCCGCGTGAGATGACATCATCTGCCCATGCCATTCTTCCCCATCTCTGCTCTGGCACCCTCAACCTTATTTGGGTTTCTATCTACATTCTACAGTCGCAGGTTACTGTGACCCTGAGCAACCGTTGTGTGGCCATGGCCGCACAGCCAGAAAGCCGTCAGGGCTTCGAAGTAGCAATCATTTGCGCCCTCCCCATCGAAGGCACGGCAATCGATGCACTCTTCGAGACTGAGTGGGATGGATATGGAAAGCAGATCGGAGATCCCAACGCCTATACTACGGGCTAGATCAGCGGCTACAATGTCGTCCTTGTCCACATGCCCGAGATGGGGAAGAGCAATGCGGCCAACGTCGCAGCAAGCCTACGATCAAGCTTCCCGGAGATCAAGCTGGTTATCATGTCAGGAATATGTGGCGCGGTTCCTGAATACCGAACCAGTGAAGGGGCCGTCCAAGAGATTGTGCTTGGCGATGTTGTCATTAGTAACGGCATCGTATAGTATGATCTGAGGAGACAGTACCTAGATCGCTTTGTTCGAAATGACTCCTGGCATGAGAGCTTCCCAAGGCCATCCCCGGAACTACGGGCTCTAATTTCCAAGTTGATGATCCCGAAGAGACTTAATGGATTGAGAAATTGAGAAATGAGACGCTTCAGAACTTGGTGAACCTTCACAAGTCTCTGCGCCGATCTGAATATCCTGGACGAAAGTACGATATACTGCTTCCACCTTATCATCGTCATAAACATCACGAGAACTGTGCTACTTGTGTCCAGTCTACGTCTTACTCCGATCCTGTTTGTGACATCTCACGCACTTCTCCATGCTCCCAGCTTGGATGCGATAGCTACACTTCCCCTATCATGCGAGAACGGCATGCTACTACACCTCAGCCTCTCGTCCACCTTGGGAAATATGCATCAGGTGACATGGTCATGAAGTCAGGCGAGGATCGAGATAAGATTGCAGAACGTGAGAGCGTCATAGCCTTTGAGATGGAGGGTGCTGGAGTGTGGGATAATTTCCCATGCATTGTCATCAAGGGTGCGTGCGACTATGCCGATAGTCATAAGAATAAGGATTTTCAGGGCTATACCGCAGCAACATCTGCAGCCTGCACCAATGCCTTTCTCGAAGAGTGGTTCTTGGCTTCTCAGTCTACCCAAGGTAAAATCGACTTTAGCTCGTGTTCTGATCATAATGCTGACCATAATATAGGCGGCGCACACAGCGAATACACTAGGCCATCACCTGCAATTCGTGAAATTGACATAGTGGCGCTGGAAATATTCGGCTTACCTGTCAGCGAGGCCAATCGCTGCCATGTGCTCAAGCCCTCGACCTTACACATCGGATGCAGACTTTGGCGGAACTTGAAAGTCGACTTGATGAAAATTCTTTCACGAAGAGACTGGAAACCGAATCCTATATCAAAGATTTATACTAGCGTGCTGTGGGGAGATGTTTTTAGTCGTTCTGCTTTGAACACATGATGGCCAGAGAAGAAATCATTTCACGGCCAGAATCCCAAACCTGTCGATGGATTTATGGAGATCCACAGTATCAGAGATGGGTCACAAATCAGAACAGACTACTTTGGATCAAAGGTGCATTTATCTCTGCCATGTAGGAAGTGATTGAAGCTAACTTATTCTACTAGGCATTCCCGGTGCAGGCATCAGGCAAATCAGTTTTGATGAAGAGTCTTTACGAACAACGGAAGCTGGATCTCGCAAACTGCTCAACCTTGCCGCTTAGGTTCTTCTTCAATGGCCGGGGCTCGGACATGGAAAGCTCCCCAGAGGCCCTTTACCGCACATTAACTTACAATCTCATAGCCTTGGACCCTGCAATGTTATTCCACGTTCTACTCTTGTATCTGGAAAGAGAGAATCGCGGATTCGCAGTTCGATGGAAACCAGGGGAATTAGCCAACATCTTCCACCGGATGCTTGAAGAATTCCAGTCCTGCGGTATCGAGATCCTAATTGATGCGCTGGACGAGTGCTCAGACAATGAATGAAGTACATGAAACCGTGAGAAGATTCGAGAGATCGATCCAAGAGCCTCGAAATGGGACCACACTTAGGGTATGCTGGAGTAGTCGGTTCTATCCGCACATTAGCCTAGTGGGGGTTCAAGGTATGGAGATGGTTTTAAACACAAAGAACTCCGAGGACATACTTCGGTTCGCAAGGAAGACGCTTCCGCTGGACTTTAGCAGAGAATTCGAATTCATCGGCCGCGAGATCATCAGAAGAGCGAATGGCGTTTTTCTCTGGGCATCCCTTGTTTCTCAAAGACTCCGAGAGCTTTTGATGCCGGCGATGAAATTGAATAACTTCTTGATATTCTTAAATCTATACCGGATGATCTGAAAAACCTTTTATTGGAGATATTCGGCGGCCCCGGCTTCACTCCTGATCGTCAAAAGAGTCTAAAAGAGATTGTATGTTATGTGTTAGGAGCTTTACATCCTTTATCGGTTGAGGAGTTATAGGCTGCATTGGTTCTTGGGAAAGCCAGACCAAGCTGGGCATTTGAAGATTTGACTCTGACATCAGCCGATGAGGCCCAGTTTAGGAAACGGATTATCCAAGCGACAAGAGGCCTGGTTGAAGTAATTGATTTAGAGAAAACCTCTTCATATACAGAATCTGAGCCTGTGCAACTTTCGATTCAATTTGATCGACACTCAAAGGCTAAACCACAATCTGATCGATCTAGGTATTCCATAAGCCGAGTCCAATTTATTCATGAATCTGTAAGGGAATTCTTTGTTGATTCAGGACTTCCACTTTTACGTGTATCCTCGAGAAGTGCCCTTATCGCGGAATGCCACTTGAGGCTTACTGTTTCTGGATTTATGTGTTTGTGTGGGATCGCAAAAGAGTTGGACATCATTACAGAAGTCGAAAGAGGTATTGCGTCTGTCGCTGATGATCGATTTCTACGGCGGTTAGTCCCTCCAGCGTCATGGAAGCCGCCACTATTAGACTTTCTAGTCAAGTACATCAAGAGCCACATATTCACTCACCTGGACTACTTTCACTTTAAAGAATCAGACTAAGTCTTGATATCATCGAAATTATGTCGACTTACGTTATATGGTTACATCTGTCTAGCCTGCTTTGAGGTTTCTCAACGTCATTATCTCACCACGGAGATGAACAGACAACTTCGATTAGTTCTCAACCACTCTAAAGACCTTTTCACGTTTGGGGATACTCTAGCCGATGTATTGGATCTACCGAACCGTTTGATGGTTGCTTCCACGTTCTTCGAAAGGAGAGGAATCTACATGTTCGGACATGATGCGCACTCTATTTGGGTTACGACAAATGAAGAAATACATCAGTTTATTGCTGTATTTTCTGCGAACTTTCATCAATCACATGCGGATCCTGGGACACCCAAAAACTCAGTCCATCCTTCAACTTCTAATAACAGAGAAGAGGAGGGTCTCAGGTTTGGGATCTCGTTTCGTCTGCCACTCTCTATGGGAGCACGGTTGGCATTGCCTGGACGCCTGGAAACAACGGATTATCATTCCACTGATCGCGATACAGTTGTATCTCCTGTCAATATTACTGATTTGCAAATAATCAGCTGTTTACCTCCTCAGTTACAATCAATTCTCCCACAGGTACACTATCAGTCACAACAGCAACTTACCTTCTCGATGCCTAATCGTCTGGTCTGCGACCTCTTTCGTCTGATCCCCGCAGAGGGCACTGTCGGACAATCTAGTCCCGTTCTATTGCAGACTGGCCAAAGTGATTTGAGATGGGAAAATATACCGAACTCGGACCGCGAAACGCTCCTGGAACCTTTGAAACGCCCATCCACGTGGGCGTACCCAGGCGAGGGCATCTCGGGCATCACTTCCTGTAGAACCTCTTATGGCAATTGTACTGTACTAGGCCTAGCTTAGCTGTAGATCGTCGTAAGCAATGTGTGTTAGGAACTTTTGTTGTGTCGCTGAGTTCTGTTAGATGGTTATGGTTCTAGTCTTCCGGCTATGAGGTTTGGTCCCGGCCCGCTAGGTATCGCGAAGTGGGTGAGGATTTTTCTAGGCAAACTCACTGTGTTTTCAAAGATACCCCCTATCAGCTTAGCTATGACATCGACTTGATTCATGATGAATACAACTTTCAAGGCGTTTACCAACAAAAATGCCGCCTTTGGCACATGACAGCACTCTGCTTGGATAGACTTGACCAACGGGCGAATGACTGGGGCTTCTGAATTTTTCCTTCTATAAAGTAGAGATAATAGTAAACTTAGTCCTAAAGAAGCTGATTTAGTGCAATAAATAGGAAATCCTTTTCCATCCTTATTTATAGCTTCCAGCTTGTCGTAGAGAAGTAGTCGAAGACTGAGTTTTCGCAGTAGTGACAGATGATTGTCCCATTGGCCTTGAAGTTGAAGGAGATTACCGTTATCTTGCCTTGCCAGATAACACTCGTATTTTTTCGATAGATTAAAAAGGTTTACAAGCGACTGCATTTTGAGAGAGCAAAGGGATTATCAATAGAGCATTTGCTAGCATCCCATAGATAGGTAGGCTGAGATTGTTGCCTATGAAAGGCCGCCTGCCTAACACCACGAAAATTGAGAAATATTCATGTTCATTTACAGGTGCTCTAAGTAAAACATATCTTCTAATTGTAGATCCAGTTCTCTCTTGTTTGATCAATACCATGTATTGTTATAAACCTGGGAGAGCTGTGCATCGATGTGGCTATCCACACCTGTGGAACATCGTGCTAATGCTTGCTCGTGTATCCCACTGCCGCGGCTGCAGGAATGTCTCTTTTGCAGTAAATATTTACCAATAAATGAAAAGATGCTTCTACAACAAATTCTGCCAGTCGCGAAACTACCTTCCTCGTAGCGGTACCGATTCAAGGGAATGGAATGGGTGCCTCTGGTAGCCCTAGCTAGTCAACACCAGGGGGCATTGCAGAGAGAACATGGTCGCGGTCGTGTTTGAGAGCGCAGATAATCAGATTTGAGTTTCTTCAACAGTGAAAGGGATTGGCGTGGATAGACACATGCAGCTTTGGGCCAGTACGTGTTGCGTGCTAAAGATTGATTGACATGGTGATACCGTAGAATTGAGTTGAGGTTGGCATCTTTGTCATGCTACCTACGGAATAGTTGGCTGAGAGGCTAGAGAATAAATCCATTCGTTGCATTTGGCAGGTAGCGAGATTTGACCCCTACTACTACATCGGATAGCACAGAGATGATTTCCATACCGCAACAGAGAAATAACCGGCGTACATCAGATTCGTGTCCGTACTCATTTCCGCCGGACTGCATGTGTAATTGTGCGTTCGGGGAGAATAGTCACCTCGTCCAGGCCGACCACACCCAGTTCGAACGCATCGCGAATAATTCGCGATGCTGATTAGAGAGCCACCTCGCTAAACAACCACTAACATGATGAGTAGGAGATAAGGACCTCTCTCGCCGTGGAAATTTAGCAGCATCCAAGGCTGTGGCTTGGCGCATAATATCTGTGACTCCCGTCGGCACGATTGTGTTGGTTTATTGGCAGGCTGTATCTCATAGGACAAAGTCCAGTCCCCAGAATGAGAGGGTTCTATGACTTGCCTCACCATGGAATTAGTGATCCCACAGGCTTGATTAATCCCGGGATGATCTCTCCGCTGTATTTAAAATTTTTACCGGCCATTGCCTGCAGGGCTTGGTGGGCTGGTAGTTAGGATGGGCTGGGATAGAGCACGAAAGACCGATCCGCGCTGCTAGCAGCATTTATATGGAAGTGTTATTAATACTACCGGTACGGTTGATCTCGTACAATAGCAACTAATAATTATGGCGTGCGGCGTGATTATTTGATTTGAGGTGATGGCAAGTAGAGCCCAACTATTTGATTTGCCGTGAAGCGAAGTAGGATTGACACTAATCAAGGCATTGACCCAGGTTTCGTGCCCATAAACTCCTACAAAAACAAGGACCTCGCCGGTTCTTGAAGGAAATCATACCTAGACTTTATTATCTTGTTCTTGCAACCCCCGGTCTATCAATATGATGAATCATATTCGGTTACGGGCCATTTGAAAACGCGGAATGGTGAAGTCTGGTACAACGAGAGTCACTGCCGACCAACATTATTACTAAAGAACGTGATATCTTCGCTCAATACATGAACTTATTATAAGGTAGTGTATTAGCGCCATAAAAGGCTATTATCGACCTTTTTGTCGTAGATCAGTGAAAGAAAAAGGCCGCTTGTTCATCTTACTGTTTGATGAAATAATTCATGTCTTGTCTTGTAGCGTTATCCCTGTTATATGATGGACATAGCAACAAGCTCTTATCCTAGAGTGGAGGTAACGGACTTGATCTATATATAGCCTTGTCTACCTAGATGTCCCATTCATCCCATTGGCTACTATGCGAAAGGCTTCAATATGAGACTACATTCTCTCGTGCTTTTTTGGCTGCTAATTTAAGAAAAGCAAGCACTCGATCCGAGATTTTGTTTTGAGTTAAGTTGGAAATATAAAACCACGATGTCATCTCCTGAGAACTCTCTCTGCCTTTGTCACCGATGCACATATTAAATAAATAGCAGTTTACTCCTAGGCGCTAGGATCTTTTCGTTTTCCTTGAATTCCTTTTTTTTCCAATTCAAATACTCTTGGCGCCATATTCAAACTAGCGCTCTTCATTATTTAATCTGGCCTTTATTGTCATCTTGATCTTTAAACCAGCATTCAACATGGTCGCCGCTATACAGTTGGGCCTCGCTGCCCTATTCTGGCTCGGCCTCGTCAAGCAGGGTCTGGCTTTGGGCATCGATCAAGCCACCGACGATCTCGACCTTGTCGCGAGAGACTTATTCGGAAGTCTTGAGAAAACCAAGGCCCAAATGGCCCTAGCTTCCAAGGGCAAGCGCGATGTAGAGGATCTGGATGGGCGTGACCTCGAGTCTCGGTTGTTATTTGGGAGTCTCGAGAAAACCAAGGCTCAAATGGCTCTAGCTGCCAAGGGCAAGCGTGCTTCGGAGGAGCTGGATGAGCTGGATGAGCGTGACCTCGAAGGCCGCCTCTATCTTCCCGACTACCACAAATACGCACCCAAGAAAGGGCGAAGCCTCCAAGGCCGCCTCTATCTTCCCGACTATCATAAATATGCCCCCAAGAAGCAAGGACGAAGCCTTAAAGCGCGCCGTAGTACGCAAAATTAGGTAGAACCCAGGGTTCCTGGGTTTAACAACAGCGCCAGGTTATGAGATGCTTTAAAACACGGAGTTCCCATGTGAGAGCGCTTTAGCTGAGGAATGAGTGGGAAACTTTAAGAGCAGTCTTGATGTACTCGATATGATTGATTTGTTTTTGTACAGGGGCAGTATTTGGTAGTAGGATATTACGTAGCAGAATGGCCTATCAGCCTCACCAGTCTTGTCTTGTTTGAATAGACTGTTGCCAAAGATCATCTTCCCTCTATGACGAAATAAATATCAAGCATGTCTTGAATCACACAATAAGGCCTTGGCAAGATTGCTACATGAGCGTATCTGGGGAAGGCTTGTGGTCGCTCATTGGCTTTCCACACTGGGCTTACAGATCGAGACGACCATTTCTTGTATGGAGCGGAGAGATAGATCTATCTGATTGTAACGTCATTCACCAAAGGGTTACGTGGAGGATGTGTGTTTAGAAGGGGGACTAACTGGGATGTGGGACAAAATATCGACGGTAAGAAACTAGCCTTGCAGATCGTCCAATTAACCTGACAAAGCACCCAATCCGATATGCGCAAAGAAGGACTTTCCCCTGTTCCCTTTGCCTTTTTTTATGCGCAATTTACGTAGATGATCGGGAGATCTGCAAACGCATACAGGTTTTGCCAAACAACGTTGACGTCAAGTTTATGCCATGCTGGCGCATGTCTGGCTAAACATCTCGACCGCTTCTCAATGGATTGAAGTATATAAGGACAACACGACCCCCTCCGCCACGGTCGGGATAAGTCAACTCAATTTAAATCACATGCTTATACTAGTCTGTTCTGTCCTATGAACCTTGAAACACATATTCAAGAATGAAGCGACAACTTGTAGACACTTCGAAGATCGGCATTCGAATGGCGATAGTTAGCCAAACGCGAAGCCGAGCGACACGCCCTTTGTCCAGATCTCTCGCTGCGCCCACCAGGCACGGCTGGCAGTCTCGGCGTTGTTTCGCAGCAACCGTCCAGCGCCACCAAGAGAAGCCATCACCTAACGCTGTGGGCTTACCGCGGGAGACCGCTTTTGGCGGCAAGCGTTTTGCGGATTTTGATCTTGCCGGAAAGACATTCATCGTGACGGGCGGTGCTCGTGGCCTTGGCCTTGCTCTTGCTGAGGCCTTGGTGGAGGCAGGAGGAAGAGGTGGGTGACTATTCTAAAATCAAATTAGGATCAAAAAGATCTTAGCCATTCTTCAAGCTAACCTCGCCTAGTCTACTGCCTGGATCGCGCAGAAAGCCCAGACGAAGAATGGGACGAGGCCTTGCAGCGCGTGGTGCCGGAATGGGGCGGATCATTAGAGTACCGCCAAGTTGACGTGCAAGATACAGAAAACCTAGAAAAAGTCATCGACACAATTGCCAAAGAGAACAGCCGTCTCAACGGTGTGATTGCGGCAGCAGGTGTTAACCAGGTGACGCCGGCAACCAAGTACGAGCCAGAAGACGCCAACGAGATGCTCAAGACCAACTATACGGCTGTACTGATGACAGCAACCATCTCGGCCCGCAAGATGATGGAGTACAAGTGCCACGGCAGCATTTGCCTAATTGCGAGCATGTCTGGGCTCATCGCCAACAAGGGCATGAAATCTCCAGTATATAACTCGTCCAAGGCGGCTGTGCTTCAGCTGACGCGCAGTTTGGCCATGGAGTGGAGCAAAGTGAAGAAGGATGGAAGTGGCGGCATCCGTGTCAATTCTCTCAGCCCTGGGCACATCATGACGCCCATGGTGCAGAAAATCCTAGACCAAGACCCGGAGACTGAGGAGCTGTGGTGCAAAGAGAATATGATGGGGCGGTTGGCTCAAACGAGCGAGTTTAAAGGCGCTGCACTGTTTCTTCTGAGCAATGCGAGCAGCTTCATGACCGGCAGTAATCTGGTGGTGGATGGAGGACACACGGCATGGTGATGATGGAACAGCTGATGAACAAGCTACCGTCTGGTATATTCCCGCCCAGCCTAGCTTTGGAGAGTGTCATCCTCCCTGGAGGGTAATTGCTTCCCCGAAAAATTCAAGGTCTTCGAGGATTAACACTACCTACCTGGGGAATTTGGATGGAAAATAGCTGAGTCTTCCCTGCTGGTGCCATACAATCTTGAAGCAACTGTGAGCTATGTATTACTCTTACCCGGGCCATGGTATAAGGAGGGGTGATAGAGATCAGAGCATATTGATTTCGTTCAATGAAACTCTTATTGGAGTAGCGTGGTATAAGTTAGTACATTTATGACTGGGGATCAATAATTCTTTCTGCGTAATTTTTAGAGCGCACAGCCTTTGATCAAAATCCCATAAAGACCTATCTCATGCCGCTTCAGCATGTCAACCTCTTCTTCGGGGTATCGTCCAGAGGGCCCAATCCCCCCCCATGCAGCCTTTCGATGCAGTAACGCATCTGGTGCTCCTACGGACTTTTCACAGTTTGCACACCTCTCTAGTGCAGTTACTGTCCCTATGAATGTCAAACCCCTCATATTGCCAAATTAACCCTGAGGAGGAAGGCATTCCGTTTAAAGATACTCATTAATAGCTACACACCGTATCTCTTAACCTTGGAAGGAACTTGAAAGCTAACGGAGCTAAGGATAGCCTGAACTTATAGATGGATATATCGCATACTAGAGCCCTAACTTATGCAGGACCGGCTGAGTATCTGTAGCCGTCTTATCCGGGAGTTTTATAGTACTGAAGACCTTCACAGACATCTATTGCCATCCTGGACTATGGCAAGCTGCATATATTAAGTTCATTATTGACGAAGTAATTCTACCATAGCATAATACTAATTCTTAGTTAACTAGATGATATATGAGTATTGATCTCCTTAGTTTAAGCGCCTAACAACTCGAGATTGGACTCTTCAGTCGGTAACAATCACGGTCGCAATACGATAAAAATTGCATATGTATCCTCATTATAAATTGGCAATTTTGCTTGAGCTACGTTCGAAAATATTGAGAAAATCTACCGGAGCAATAGAGAAGGGATCGCCGAAGGACCGTAAGCTTATTGCTGAGAGGCTTTGTACCTAATAATAAGTCCTCGAAACCATAAACTTGAAAATGAGGCAATAATATCCAATCAAAAGTCTTACTGTCCATCCCTGTACAGGCTCTTTGGGTAGATTGTTCCTCTGTTGATCCAACACCTGTAATACTAAAAGGACTTGAGCGGCCACGCCCCATCCTAACTAATGCTAAGGCGCTCGTGTTTAGTAAATACGTTCTAAAGTTCCTTAGGTGCACACTTGTGCGAGCTATAATTAGAAATATTCTTATCAAAGAACAAACTGCCTTTTTTCTAATTTCCTTATAATTAGAGCTAATAGTCTTATTATTCATTGCCACAAATTTCGAAAGCAGAAGTTGGCTATTTTCGTCTATAATTATATTCCGATCTTAACACTACCCAATTCCTCACGTTGCAATGAGTCCTTCAACAGGCACCTCCCTTAGGTTCGACCCCTTCCAAAGGTTTCATGACTCTTGTCTAATCACTGAAGGCAGTTATGGCCTCCTATCGATTATCCTCGCTTTCATACCCCAATTCCGGCGTATGAGGAAAACCCAAAGCACGGAAGGAATATAGATATATTTTGTCTTTTGCAATCTATCAGCGGCCACTTTGCTGTTCCTAAATCTACTCCTTGGCTACGTGGCGAGCCGCACGCGGGTCTGTCCCGCATTCACGGACCCGCCCATCTCGTCAAATTGGATATCCTTACTTCTTTCTGCCATCGTTTTTGTTTTGTATTTGATATGGTAAGTGAGAATAACGCTCTTGCCACCCACTAATAGTCAACTAATACAGAATCCGATCACACCGAGAGCAGGTTCGGATTCTACCTCCACTACCCATCTGATTCAGCGCAGCGTGAACTCAAGATCACCTTGTTCGTTATGTCTTTTCTGTGCTTCTGCGGCAATGTGTTCCGTTTGATATATTTCTGCAACCACGTATGGCATGACAACTGAAATAGTCTGTTTGGCAATACACCAAATTTTCCTGAGCGGAGTATTGGTCATACCATCCATTCAGTCGCTCTCAGGATTAGCGACGTTCTCTCACCTGACTTAAGAGGGTTTGGGGCAGTGCTGATAGCTTGAGGGCCCGGTCATGTAGCTGCATAGCATTGATGCTACGTCATCATAGGTTTCCCTGTTCGGCTTTTACGAGATGTGTCAAACCCGACCCGCGATCGCATTTTGGAATAGAAGGTACGATATGTTTTAGATGAATTTTCTCTCTTTTAAATCGTATTCCGGAACCAAAGGATGCTTACGTGGCATTTCCCCACGATATACTAGTCGTTCGAAGTTTTGTATTAGCATGTATAAGTTGCGCCTTGAATCGGAAAGATATCTACCTAGCAATAGATACCAAAATAGTCATCTCATGCCTTGATAAGCTTTGGGTGCGTGCAGGCTTAATAGGAACAGCATTATCAAGGTTATTCAAAGCACAGCAACCTATATCAAACCAGCTCGGTAGGTGACACTCGATACTTTGGCCAGACGTTTAACACTCTACAAACGCGGTTGATCAAAACGTTCTCACACGGCTACTCTCACAGCACACTCATACAACCTTTTCACAACGCGAGTGACCCGTGCTTCGCCACCAAGGTGCGGTGGACAAGAAACATCCGCCCTGCGGCCCCTCACCATACCTTGTGTAAACAATGGCCCCAATGATGCGATTGAGCCTGCTCGCAAACTCGTAGCTTCAAATTTGGCCCGTTCTGAGAATGACACGTTGAGCGCCTTTAGCACGCACAACAATGAGGCCAAAGACGTAAATTTAACTGACTCGTTCGTCGCAACATGGGCAAGTCTAGAACCAGTCGACATCGCAATAGTCGTTTTGAGGACCTGTTCGTTCTATTCTGATATATTTCAACCAGGTTCTTTGGCTCATTTTACTACTCCTTTTTCATTATGAACTTCCTTTGAACGCTTTTTCATTAACAGGTGTGATAGGGGGGGCACCGCTAAATTCCCCGTCTGACCCATTCACCTGCAAGATATTCTTCATTGCATTCAACTCGGAGTTGATCCGCATTGTGATGGAAGCACCACCATTATGGCATGCCAAAGTCACATTATTCATCGCTGCCAGCTCCTTTGATACCTGTGGCTCGTGGTGGTGAACATCGAGTCCCGCCGCAGCTACCTTTCCGCTCTAGAGTGCCTCGATCAGAGCCTCCTCGTTGACCACTTGTCGACGAGCGGTATTAACCAGACTAGTGCCGTCCTTCATAGCCGCAAAAGTTTCCTTCTTAATAAAGTCCTGGGTATACTTATTGAGCGGAGTATGGAGGGTGACACAGTCCGCAACAGACAGCAGTTCGTGTGTTGGAGTGATATATTGCCTCAAGGTCAGCCTCCGTCTCGGTCGGGGCTCGGATGATATAACAGTAATGAATTTTCATTCCCGGTGCTGTCTTGCGCCCTAAATGCCAGCAGCTTGCTGATATTCCCTAATCCCACATTGCCCAATACGTGGCCACGAGGATTGTAAGATATACTGCCAACCAACCTATGCATGGCGAGAAACTGTTCAGGATGCGCCCCCTCTCTGTGACCGCCAAAGTTGCGAAACACGGAGAGAATCATGAAGAGAGCTGTATCAGACACAGCCTCATCACTTGCACCGGCTCCGTTGCAATACCAAATGCCGCGACGATCAAGGGCATCCACATCAGCCCAATTGAACCCTGCGCCAGCGGAAGCGAAGATTTTCACTGATGGCGGGAGGAGATCGATCAATTCATCATCTCACTGTCCTATTTCGCCTCCCATCTGAAAATGAGGACGCAGGATGGCCACAAAGCAACCGTACCTAGAAACCAAGTTAGATGGTCCATCCACGAAAGGCATCCGCGGAAGCAATGTCACGTTGCAAATCGTACTTTTTGTTTCTGAGTGCCTTAATGAAGCTCTCGCGGTCGGGCCCTTCATTAGCGATGACTTCGAATTACTTAAACAGGTGGTGGTTATGTTTGATGTTCTCGCCAATGCGAAAAATAACTGGGGGTTTCGACCCCATATCGGAAAGGTGATATCAAAGAGAGAAGTTTCTCAAAAAAAGTCTAATCAATCTCACTTACCGTTCGAGTGCGTGTCCGCGTTGGCCTGCTCGGAGATCAACGCCACAATCCACAATCTGTTCTTCTCCTTTGGAAATACTCACCCAAGGATTTATGCCATTGTCGTTACGCTACCTTGATTACTCTTAAGCTTTCTTCCTCGTCAAGTACCTATGGTGAGCACTCCCATTCTCTTGACCCAAAGGTCATGCATCCAAGGATGTGCTTAGGGATCTTGAGGCCACTGTTGCCGACTCTTTGATCAATGTAATCAACAGCCAACATTATGAGGCAATCATGAAATAATCCATTATTTAGAAAAAATCTAATTGATGGTATTCTCCTCAACCCAAACTGAGGGTTTAACGACTTGATAGTTGTATTAACTGCTTCAAAGAGCAGGGTGTAAGAAATTACTTTATTTTAAATAACCATGAAACGAAGACTCAGAGCTCCTCTTCCCCATCTTGGTCCCCACAACAGCTACTCGCTCAGAAGGTTGTAGCATCCAGGCTCGGAGTTCTCTCCGCCTTTGCCCTCCGGCCAGGTCCCCGTAGGAGTCTCCATGCAGGCATTAGCTGATCACAAGCTCTTTCTATAAAAGTGATAAACTCGCTAGGCACCCTTACCGTTGTCAAAAGAGAATCTTCGCCTCATCTCACGGCTTGTCCAGAAACATCTATCGAATAATTACCGACATCTCGAACCCAAAATCCCCAAGTCGTCAACCAAATATGCTGGCTGTATAGTAGTAAGTGAGAGAGCTATACAGTTATACGGCAGCTGCTGAAAAAAGGGGGGATTCCCATGCTGACTGCATAGCCACCACTTAATACAAATTCCCCGATATCGAGTCGAGCCACCGATCTCTTCATCTAAAAATACTCTGCCTCACTCCTCCATCAACTCGTGTCGGGGGCGCAGAAGCCACTCTATAACTTGACTGGAGCATCAAATAGGGCTCTCGTCGATTTATCCTGGATCATCTACGACTTTTGTACCGTAGAAGCCTTCTAATGTTCCCATCCAGTCTCAATACAGCCAGCCAATCAACATGTCTTCAACCTAATTAAGCCAGAGGGCAGCACAAAAGCTCATGGTAGAAGCATTAATCAACGACATCTCCCGGAGAGCCCTCTTAGATGGCCGGATTGTCAATCTACCTTGAGTCATTGTATGTCCCGATGCTCCATCTGCTGCCCCCAGCTCCTTTGCTAACGGGATCATCAAAGCACCTCTCAAAGGCAAGATATCGATTCTTCCAGTATCCAAGGGCCAATCTATGTAGATTTGCAGTCCACGCACGATGGTGCAGAATTTAGTCCTGAGAAAGGACATCTTAGGACCACATATGGGCGTAACTGGTTGGTTATTCTACCTGATATGACTGTATCTATGCCACAGATCCTACATGCTCTGGAGGCCATTGCGGGGAAGAACACACTATTCCTCGCCAAGAATGAGCTTGATCCAAAGCTTGAAGCTATTGCAGGCAGTTGGCCAGCCTTGTTTGAGGTAACCCTCGCACCGCGCCTGGGGTTGGTGGCGGACGGTACCCTGACGCAAACTGTCAGAGATCTCTGTTAAAGCACGTGGCATAAATGGATTTTATCAATCTTGTCTGCTTTGTAAAGTAACGCAGGACTTGACGGTGCATTTGCTCGACATCGATCGCCATCACCCCCCCATTACTCCCATATCCATCGAACCACTCATTAAGAATAAGGCTTCGGTATTCACCATCGACATATCCATGGAGCCTAACTCGGCAAGACTAAAGTCCAGGTCGAGATTGGCCTGCCGATGGAGGTTGATGTCAGATGCCGCAGGATCAATGGTTGTGTTGGAAGGCTGTTGTTGAAGAGCACGAAGCATCCTCTCAAGCCCATTTCCCATGTGATGTACCAGATGCCATGAGTTGACGGGAGTGGCTTGATACGCCGCAACAAGCCGGGAAAGAATATCTATAAACTCATTTCTATCTACCAATTGGTTTCCGTAGTTGGTTATGAGCTTCATGAGAAACATGCAGGCAAATCCGATCATGGATTGAACATAGCACGGCAACCCGACGAGGGCTTCACGCACGACGGGCTCGGTGATTACAATGTTCAAGATAGCCATGGCAGCGGCAGTGGCACCATGAGCTGCTTCCAGAAACTCGGTCGGGATGGGAGAACACCCCAGTCCATGAAAAACATGTGATAGCAAATAGAGCTTAGCGGGCTGGTAGTGGAAAACGCACCCCTTTCTGGGGAACGTACCGAAACCCTCTTGAACCTCTAAGAGATTATGTTAGAAGCAGTTGACCAACAGAGGAGACAGACTGCACATACCTGGAAAGGTCGTTGACCAGCGGCCGACCCACTGATCGAGCTGGCGAGAGAAGGAGCTTATATGCGAGGCGAAGACGGTGGGGATTGGTTTCCCAGAATCGGTGCCAAAGAGAGCACGAATCTTGTGAATGATGGTCAAGAGGGTGACTTGACTTACCAGCCGCTGGTCACCGATAGTCACCGTAGATGATTCGACAAGCCATTCCGCGTGCTCAATGGCCCGGTCCTCTCTCATCTCACCCTGCCGACAGTACAAGGTCGAGAGATGCTGATCACATATGTATATCAAAAACCAGATCCGAATGAAATCGGCAGCGTCTTCGTCGTTTTTCTTGCGTAGTGTTTCCAGGTGACTACCAATGTTCATCGCCGCTGCACGCCGAGATGCGATACCGGTTAATGTCCAGGAGGAATCGTGGAGCCAGTACGAGGCAACGCACAAGGCGCGAAGGTGATCACGATCGACGTGTCGATCAAACAGAGACTCGGTCATCAGACGCTTGAATTCACGGTCGCAGGTGGGGTAGAGACTGTTGGCTTTAGGATCATGCATGGCAGCAACAGTGAGGATGGCTGCTGTGAGAACCGCACTATTGCACCGCAGAGCCTCCAACGTTTTGTATCTTGCGCCAACTCCGTACGCAAAATGGTCGACGCGATCCGTGTAGAGGTGGAAGAGCATCTCTGCATCCTTCAGGGAGATCATCCCTTGAGAAATGAAGTCGGCGTGTGGCCCTGCATGAATCGACTTTCCCGGCGATGCGTCTATATCGGCTTCGGGGGATCGCAGAGCACTTAATTTGGTGAGATGGTATACGGAATGCATTGGTATGCGGGGGAGATTTTCTTCATCTTGGGGCGAGAGATCTGGTGAGTTGTCGCATGATGGGCCAATATCCGGGAGGTGATTTGAGTCACCCTGCTCCCCTGAGACTGGAGAAGGCGCAATAAACCTGGAGCTCTCGAGCTGTGGCATACTTGGAAGATTCAGGGTCTTCAGAATGTGCTGGACGCTTGTCGAGACAACCTCTAGGTCGTGTATCAACGCGTTCGTCTGCCTGCGAATCCATCATTCAGGTCAGCCGAGACGTATATAGAAGGCAAAGAGACATGGAGACTTTTAGAGAGTCAGCCTACGGTACGCGCTCATTGATGAGAGTTTGTAGACTCTTGTTGAGGACACAAGACAGAACCTTTTCGGCGCATCGCTTGCATGGAGGACCGCTCTTATCCATGAAGCATCGAACCTGGCAGCAAGGGTGTCATGTCAGCCAGTTGATCCCTCACCGACGCGTGCATAAAGCAGACCATCTTTTGTTTTCGACAGGCAGCGCATGCCTTGACTTTACGCGATATGTTCGGGAGAGGCGGGATCTGGGCTGGATCGGCGTGGTTCATAGCCATGGCTTGCTCGCTCGTAGGTGGATTGGGCAGGGGAGAGAAGCTCGCAGGATTGGGATTCCATCGAATGGAGTGTTCAGGATCTCCCTGGTTCGCATCGTTCCACGATCTTTTTGTCATCGCTAAATATGGGCATTCCAGTGTCGGGTCTTGCGTGCTCAGTGGCGAAGTTTTCCCATGAGCTGAGCAACAGCGCGCGAGGATGTCTCGTCGGTCAATCTTTCATGCGACTGATCCCCCCCCGGCGCTTATTTGATTAACCGACTTGAAAATGTGGGTTAGGTAATTAGTTGGTTGGAGCCATGTTGGTAAATCTATGTTTGTCTTCGCTCGTCGGGATTTTCAATGTTTCCTGTTTAACCTACCCTATATCATATGTCCCTGCAAATCAGTCAAGATATCAATATTTTGGAAGTGATCCAAACGCACTATCTGCATGAAACATACGGAGGGTTCTGTCAAATATTGAGATCCTTGTACCAAGTCTCTTCCTGAAAGCATTTAGTAAATTCAATACTCATTCCCAGTCGCGAAACGATGGAGAGAACTCCGCAGAAGGTAATATCGGAGTTAACTCCGGTATAAGAAAACCGGATATTGCTCCCCAATTTGCCTATCGCAAAGAGATTATTACCTGAAAATACCCTTCTATTCGGCTACTGAACTTCAAAGAATGTTAAATTAAACTTGGCAGCTGTCCAGACCTAAGAGACAGCCTGACTGAGCATTAGCCCTTTTTTTCCGAATACACCCATCATTCTAACACCATGCCATCGCAAAAAATCACCACCCCCAAGGCTAAGCCTCTACCGCCAGGGGTATACACCCCTGTGATCACAATCTACGATGACACTCCTGGGCAGCAAGTAGACCTCGACGCCATGTACAAGCACTGCCAGTATCTCGTCAATGCCGGTTGTCATGGCCTCGTATATCTTGGAACAAACGGAGAGTTGGCTATGCTGAATCATCAGGAACGGATTGACATTGTCAAGATGGCGCGCAAGGCAGTGACCGACCTGGGCATTCCAGATTACCCGATTCTGGCTGGCATTTCAGCCCAGAGTGTGGCCGAGACCATCCAGCTTGCCAAAGAAGCTGGAGAAGCTGGTGCAGCCTGGGGTTTGTTACTTCCTCCGAGCTATTGGACGAAAGCCATCAACCCCAAGGTTCTCGAAGGGTATTATCGTGATGTCGCCGATGCCAGCCCTATTCCTATTGTTATCTACAATGTGAGTGCCGGCATGCGAATTGGTTAATGGGTTCAAGGTTTCTATGTGATCTGACATTTTCTTGTAGTATCCTGGCGTGGTATCAGGTGTTGACCTTGACTCTGATATCATCTGTGCCCTGGCTTCTCACCCAAACATTGTTGCCGCTAAGCTCACCTGCGGTCAAGTTGGCAAGGCTATCCGCGTGACATCTCAATATGGTCCCCAGCACATGGCGGTCTACGCTGGCAGCGCTGATTACCTCGTTCCTTCACTTGTTGGAGGTGCTAGTGGCTGCGTCGTAGGCATGGGCAACGTTTTCCCCAAAACAGTGTCGAGACTGTATGACTATTACAAGGCCGGTCGCCTGGATGAGGCCGTGGCGTTACAAGAGAAGATTTCAGTAGCAGAGGCGGCTTGCAAGAAAAGTCTGAACAGCACTAAATGGGGTGCTTGGTATTATATCCTGCGCAACCTTGGTGTTGAGAGCGATGCCGGGTTTGCGATGAGAAAACCTTACTTTCCTCCAGCAGAGGAGCAAAAGAAGAGTGCGCTGGCAGCATTTAGTATATTGGAGGAAACTGAAAAATCTATGCAAGGCAGAGAAGGCATTTTCAAAGCTTAGATGAAAGATCGAAGAGAATGGATCTCGTTCTAATGTACAAAGGTTTTCCTCAATACAGCCTCTCCTGTCAATCGTGATTGGTGAGACACCTCACTACACGGTGGATCGGCTAAATAGAGCACAGCTACTGGGCGAGTATCAGAGCATGACTTACTATAGGTAAGTATGTTTGCGTACGTGACTGGGTTGTCAATCCCTATTCACCTCACTGACTCTATAAAGTTGCACTAAAGGTGAGATGATGACTCGAGTACCTCATATACTACCACCCTAAACATCATCGACAGTTTCAACCCAAGAGAACATGCTGGGCTCCACGGACAAATACCACCTTACCTCACGGAATTGCCCCCTGCATGTCCACGGATAATGCTGAAGATGAACAACGGCTAAGCTTATGACCGAGGATCAGAAACATGGGTTTCCCATCTTCCCCTCATGATCTTGCGGACAACACGCCGTAGCCAAGAAACTCATACCCCAGAACCCCCACGCACATGATGGATTGCCGGACTTCTCACCGCATGCATTCTGTTCTCCGCTTCCCCGTGGGGTAGCTAATTTAGTCTGGTGAGGAAAGAATCGGCTCATTGTTTAATCGTATATTAGGCTGTGCCCAGCGTCGCATCTGCTTTCCAAATCAACCACTTCTGGTACTAGCAGAGACGTTTCTCCATTATTTGAGCAACAATTTCTAGCGAAAGGTTCTCAAAAGTGTCTCATCATGAGTGTGCATCCCGCAGCTCCTGGCCACCAATTGGCCACGGGCGTTAAAGATAAAAACGAAGTCCAGCAGATCGACCGCGCCGAGAGCAGAGGGCAAGATGAGATCATAAAGCCGTCTTACTTGAATGTCGATGAGTTTGGAGCTCATGATAAAGTTGACCCCAAGGAGATTGCCTTGGTTCGAAAGATTGATATTTTCTGTCTCGTGAGTCCTCAAGCCGTGCATGATTCAAATATAAAGGACCTTGCTGACTCGCGTCAATCCAAAGCCGGTTCTTTGGCTCATGTACTTTTTCAACTTCCTCGACCGAAATGCAATCGCCAATGGGAAGCTCAATGGCTTAGCCGAAGATCTTAACCTCAAAGGGACCCAGTTCAATACCTGCGTTTCTATTTTGTTTGTCGGATATCTGTGTGGGCAGATTCCATCCAACATGATTCTGAGTAGAGTCCGGCCCTCCATATACATGTCTGGTAAGGAGGTTTCTCGTCCAAGCAGTGGGTACAACTCTAACAGACCTACGAAGGCTTTATGGTTACTTGGTCAATTGTCACACTGCTCAGTTACAAGGCTTACAATTTCGAAACTTTGCTTGTTTGCCGTTTTCTCCTCGGAATCGTCGAAGCCCCAGTGAGACACATGCACGACGCCGATAACATTGCGCACGGCTAACAAGAATAGTTTTATCCCGGTGCAGTGTACATCATGAGCATGCTGTATACGCGAAAGGAGATTGCCTCTCGGATGTCAATCTTCTACACCGGTAACATCTGTGCAAGCGCTTTCTCGGGCCTTATTGCTGCTGGTGTATTCGGCATGGATGGTAAAATGGGCCTTGCCGGCTGGCGTTGGTACGTATGAGGATTCTAATTTATTTATCGTGCTAAGCTGACCATATATGTCGACAACAAGGCTGTTTATTATCCAAGGCGCTCTCTCTTTGGCCGTGGCACTTCCGTCTTTCTACTTGCTCCCCGACAGTCCTTTGCAAACTCGATGGCTTTCTCAGGAGCAGCGCGAACTCGCTTACAACCGCATCCGAATCGACACAACGAACTTTACAGAGGAACCGACGTCGGTGTGGTCTGGACTCAAGCAAGCTGCGAGTGATTGGCGCACCTGGGTCTTTTGTCTCATGGCCAATCTGCATTTTATGACCAACGGCTTCAAGAACTTCCTTCCAACCGTCGTCAATACATTTGGGTTTAGCACTACGGCAACCATGGGTCTGACTTGTCCTCCGTACATCCTCTCCGGTGCCGTTACAGTTCTTGTCTCATGGAGTTCGGGTCGCCAAAATGAGCGAACCTGGCACATCATTGGCTGCAAGCTTGCAGCCATCGTTGGCTTCACGTTGAGCGTCGCAACACTTAACATTCCAGCTCGTTACTGCGGCATCATGGTTTTTGTCGGTGCAACCTATGGGGTTAATAACTTGATCGTCAGTTGGGCTTCCAACGTTCTCGGTGAGTCGAACGAGAAGCGCGCCGTTGCTATCACCATGACGAATACGTTTGGAAACCTAGCTTCCGTATATAGCCCTTACCTTTGGCCTGACGCGGATGCGCCACGATTCATCAAGGCTATGGTGTCTAGCATCGCCTTTTGCCTTGCCGTTATTGTTTGCGCTTTGGGCTTGAAGTGGCGGCTGAGGAGGCTGAATAAGAAGATGCGAGAGGAGAACCCCAACACCGAGAATTACTTTGTATATTAGGGGTTAGCTACCTAGGCTACTGTAAATCGTTATGGAAGACCTTTACTTGGAAGGTTCTTAAGATTACTCCTAAATCCACCATTATATATAACCCTAGTTTTATAGAATCGCTAGTAATTTGATTAAGAAGTCTGCGGTTATTTAAGACGAATTCACTATTTACAGTAAAAAACTGAAAGTCTTCAGAGGTTCAGTACTAGAAGACGAAGAAAAAAGCGAAAGTTAACAGGCCAGATAGAGGAGTCTTGAAATGCAAATGTCAAGAAGGTGAGGTCACCTAAACTAGTCATTTTGAATGAGAGTCAAAAGAGTCAAATATCCCCTCCAGATACTTATTACTATTAATTTATTTACAGCTGTTTGCTTTGCCTAAATTTTTCGAGGTAGAAAATTCAATCGTCTTTACTGGTTTTTTTTTTTTTCTTTTTTTTTTTTTCTCGGATTGAATTTAGTACATAAGTTAAACATTCCTGGCGAGTTATATATATCACTAGACCTAGCTTTCGAAGACGCGACGAGAAAGGTCATAATAAAAAGCTAGACTAACAATTATCTTAGAAAGAAAAATACTGTACTAATGAAACTTCCCCTCCTCACTTGGTGTTCGCAAACTTGATCCCCTCAGTGAAGGTGTGATTGGCATTATCCAAGTTCATCTCCTTCAGCGTAGTAGCTGGCTTCGATGCCCCATTCATGTAAACGTCGGAAAATGTTACACCACTGACCTTGACGGTCGAATTCCAGCCGCTCAGGAAGCCGTTCTTGCCACCCTGCTTGCGAGCCTTGATGTTCTTGATGACGGTGTTCGTGATGGGTCCCACGCCGCGCTTGAGACCCTCCCTGATCCAGATAGCGAGCCAGGTAGCCCGGCCACCGGGGGATCCTGCAAGGTCCTCGATGTCAATATTCTCGAAGGTGACTTTGTTCGCAGCCGCGGTGCCGAACAGGTGGTGGATACCGAGACCCACGCCGGCCTTGTAAACGACACTGTTCTTGAATACAACATTCTCTTGCAGCTCGTGGACACCTTGGCCAACCTTGTACCCATAGCAGTAGGTCCAAGCCAGGCAGTCATCAAAAGTAACATCACGGAGCTCGCGTGGGCGGTATGGGTAGGGAACTGTCTGGCCGTAATCCTCCAACCAGGTTTTGGTTGAGAAACTATCGTCATTCGCAATCGCGATAGCTCTTCTGACAGTCACCCTGGTGGACTCGATAACATCGATTCCATCGTTTTGAGTAACATCAAATCGATCGAGGATCTTGATATTGGTCAAGTAGCAGCCAGTAACCTGGATCGGTGTGACAGCCCAAAAAGAGCCGTCTCGAACAAGAGGACCATCGAACCTGAAGTCCTTGGTCCCTGCGGGGACAACAAGCTTCGCCATGTACTTGTTGTCCCGCGTATTCTTCCCATTGCCGTCAATTGTTCCGCGGCCGTAAATCTTGATATCTTGGGAGTCGAACTCAGTCGAGATCCACCAGGTAGCATCAAAGAGATCACCCTTCTTGAAATATTTCTTGTAGTCCTTGGCGTTTCCAGTAAACCGAAGCGTCGCTCCTCCAGCCAGATACAAAGACGTGCGATTCCTCAGCACAAGGTTGCCCATCTGGTACAGGCCAGGAGGAACATAGACAATACTGCCAGGCTTCTTGCCAGCAGCATCCATAGCACTCTGGATACCAGCATTAAGGGTCTTGCCAGTGTTATCAGCCTTGTAGTCGAGAACATTGAAGATGCCATCCCCCCTCTCCTTGGGGACATCGGTCTCCTTGGGATCGATCATGATAACGAACTCCTTTCTATCATTAATTTTAACGATCAGATAGTGGGCTTGCTTGAGTGAAAAGACAAGCTCTTGGCCTTCCACCTTAGCTTTGATAGGCAGGTTCATTGGCGAGATTCGATAGGTGTTGATCTTCGACTCGGTCATAGCCTTGATGCGGAACTCGGTTGGACTTCCGGTGTCCATGGAGAGGTGGACGTAGTCGTACCGGTCATAGCTGACCGTGTACATTTGTTCGCCATTTACTTTCAAGGAGAAGTGTGCCGACTTGCTGTAGATGTCAGGGCGCGGATAACTGACAGCACCGGCCGCAACCGTAGCTACCAGGCCGGACAGCACGGCGACGAGCGAACTGAAACGCATGTTGAGGGGTGCCGAGGAACAAGTGCAGGATGAGATAGTCGACAGTTGGTCGAGGCATTGACAACTGGAGGCGTGGCCCTCATTATTATACACGACGTGCGCTCCTTGGCCCCGCAGCCTGGATGGCACAACGAATGGATAATACCTTCCCGTGGTGTCATTATCCCTGCCCAGCGTCTTGGCGATGGCTATTCTAGGTACGAGAGATTAACAGTGGTGCCTGCATTGCGGCTTTTGTCTTTTATGTAACGTGTCTTGGGGGTCTGACAAGCAACATTGGCGAGCATTCCGGCCGTTGCCAGATGTGGAAGTGCCGAGAGCTGGTGACCATTGACCAACCCAGGTGCGGGATAATTAGAGTAGCGGGCCTACCTGATCCTCCTGGAAGGCTAATTGGTTAACAGGCCTAAAAATAGGCTTGCCACCACTTGGCCAAGATGGACTAGAAGGCGAGGAGAGCGTTTCATTTGGCGTTGGCAAGACCCTAAATTACTTTTGGAGCTGGCCGGGCGTGGCGACAACTTTATCTTTAGTTCCTCGCCTTTGCCAAGGAATACCTTTCTTAGTTCAGCAACTACCTTCGTAGTGAATGAATGTGGTGTCTTTTCTTGGGTTATGTTGGCCGGGATTGCAAAATGGGCACAGTCGTGGATATCCTGCTTGGGAGTGCAGATACGTTTTAATACAGAGTTCTGATGTTGAGAGCTTCCATATCCCACTTTTATTCTCAATTCACCCAATGCCTTGAATAAATTACTACGACATGGTCGCCTTTTCTCCACTACGACATCTGTAGACACGATACCTGTCAAGAGATTTATCTGACCATGCATGTATACAGACTTATTGAGTAAATCCCGCAGGGCAGGTCTTCGCGACCTTTTTCTCCTTTCCTATGATTTGAGTCTTCTGCTCGGCCTGTTTAGGATGGACTTGCGTACTAGATTCCTTTCTCACTTTTAAGCACCTCCAGGGCTTCAAGGCTCACAATAGCATTTTTCATAACGTACAGTGCGAGTTTACGTATCCTTTGCATTTTCTCGTAGCCCGCATAGGCCACCTTTGCTATATTTCATCCGTGCCTCTTTCGAAAAGAAGGGCGCCATTGTCTCTGACATTATTGCATACTACAAGAAACCCCAGCAGCCCACTGAAGCACTCAAAGGCCTGAAGTCAGTGGCAAACGAAGAAGTAAGACGTAACCCGCCGTGAGATAGGTAAGACATTGCCGGAGCATATGCTGCCGTGGGATGTCACTGTCTTATGATTAATCATATCCACATTTTCTCCGGCAGTGGCGCTCAGTCTTGCTTTGACCTGAAGGGATGTCACCGCTTCAGGATCAATCTTGCCTATCTATAATGCTTTTATGCGAAAGTAGTGTTTACATTAAATCGGGGGAAAGGCAGAGAGATGCATTTCACTCCGTGAATCTACCATGTGCTGTATTACAGTTACCCGTCTCGGGTGCTCTCAGTGCACATAACGAGACACATCATTCACTCACTATCTTCTCTTGACAGATGAATTAAGTAAGATTATTCTCGAAGAACCTGCATGCCAACATAATATCTTATCGGATAATTTGGCTAGCTACAATTTTATCATATTATCTAGTAGGTGGACATATTTTTAGGATAAAAATAAAGACTATATACTACATGCCTAAAGTATGCTAGAATTTGTTGTCTAATAGATAGTTTCATGCCCCATACTTCCACTATTATCATAGATGTAGATCCTTGCAGCATATAAACTCAGCTAGATGTTTCTACATTCCATCCAACAGAAGAGAATTTGCCGCAAAGTAATTCACGTAGCATTCGAAGCTACGCAGAAGACATGTTTCAGACAACGAATTCCCCGGCCCTGTGGAGTTGCCGGCTTTACTGCAGCGTATCATTTATGCCCACTCTTTCTAAGACAGTCATGCTGCGTAACTGACAGCCACTAACATGTAACAAGTCTCAATGTCCAAGACGGCAATGCACTCTACTTGATGAACATTGATCATAGTATTTCATATCTCGTATTATCCAATGACTGAATCTTACACTACAAATCAACTTCCTCTAAAACATCCCCACCGCTACGCGCCACAGGAGGTGTCTAACATCACCATCATCAGGCATGCCCCTTAGAGATCATAACTGTTAAATCCTCACTGTATTGTTAAAAAGCGTTTTTGGGGAATGATAGTGTGAAATTATCCGTTGAGCTCTCAATTCTATAAGTGAGCTGTCTTAGACTATTGGCCTAGATTAAAAGTTCACCAAAAGGTAAAGTAGTCCGTGTTATTTATTTAGGGGAGGGGCTAAATCCCTTACTGCCGGTGGCAGAGTACTTTCCGCTCTTTCTAAGAAGGAAGTGATGGGCTAGTACGGTATTGATTTAACATCCAGGATGCCTAAAGGGTCTAGGAGGGTTTGCAGCACCTCCAAAACATCCACACCGCTACGCATCAGAGTAAGTGTCTAACACAACAATCATCATTAGGCAGGATCATATGCAGCTACGGTATATATCATCAAAATAGATCAGGACTATGGCGATATACACGTCATTGAGGCATATAGTTGGCTTGGTAGTACTCATAGAGAAATGGGAAGTAACCTCGCGTCTATGATTGGAAAACCATCAGGTGAAGGACTCCACACTACTGAGACCATTTTTTTATTCCTTTGAAGGCAAATTGCTCCAGATACTTCCTTGATATCGACTGCTGGGGACTGATCGCCCTCGGCACCCGCGACTATAAAGTCTATCAATCCATTCTCCACCAGCAAATTCTTGGCATCACTATTCTTCAATTCTACTACATACACACGCATTGCAAAAGGATTTTCCGGAGACTATATGCGACATGGCATCAAGCGTCCACCACGACATTGCCCCTCTTCTTCGTGACCAGCTGGTTCGAGTACCTGATCTCGAGAGGCTTTTTATGAAATGGGAGCCATGCGTGAATCCCAACAAGGATCAAGTGAAGCAGGTGGTCGAAGACATCCTTGCAAAGTGAGCTTCTCAGTACAACTTTTGTTGTTTCTTATTTCCTGCCCCGTGTTTGGTTCGACTATAGAGTTAGGCTAACATTTTTGGGAGGTATACTGTTTCGGAGCGTGTAAATGCAAAGCTTACACGGAATATGCTGGATGATTATGTCGCGAACTGCTATCCCTTTGCTGGCCGTGACACTCTGACAGAGCTTACATATTTCGTCTGCTGGATGTTTCTGGTTGAAGACGAGATTGATCGAGTGACAGGACACAGTGGATGTCATGAGAACAGCCTTCTCACCCTATGGGACGATATCTGGGACCTCGTCCGGAGCAATTTGTCCGAGGGAGGAGAAGCGGACATCAAAGGCTGCGGGGAACTGAGACCCATGGAAGTTTTCAGTGCTTTTGGTAAAAGTCTGCAAAGGGGGTACACGAAAGGTAAAAAATTCTATCTTATAAATGATAGAATTTGCGTTGCTGATGAATCAACTACAGAGCAATGCAGCCGTTACATGACCCAACTACTCGCCACTGCCGAAGGCTACTTAGCCGAGCAGCGCTACCGTGATAAAAGCGAGTTGCCGGACTACGAAGCATATTGTAAATACAGATCCGGACGATGCTGCATGGGGCAAGTTGTCTCCTTGATTGAGTATGCTATCCTTGATATCACATTTAAGAATTTACCAGCTTACTAAGCCGTGCGTTAGGTTTGCCAATGGATCGCAATTGCCAGCCGAAATCATGGACTCTCCGGAAATGGAAAAGCTCTTGGCCAACACTGTCATTCTTCTTTCGATGTAAGTAACGCAAAACGACACCAACTATATGTGCTAAGTATATTTAGTAATAATGATATTGTATCTCTAAGAAAGGAACTGGTAAGAGGATCCGATTCGTTATTTAAGTTCTGATCTAACTCATCCCCATTAGCGAGATGGTTTCTTTGAAAATCTTGTTGTAATCTCGTCAGGTTCAGCTTGTGATCTTCAGGCTGGGCTTAACCATGTTGTTGGGAGACTGGAAGAGGCAATTCAGGAAATTGATAGCGCAGCATCTGCCTTGATGGCGTCTGCTACTGAAAACACTGGCTACCTTCCGAAGGATCTGAGGCGAGTTATTCTAGATCATCTGAAACTATTTATCAGCAACTGCAAGTCCATGTGTAAAGGAATTGTTTCTTGGAGGTAAGCTTGTAGCCCGCTATTAACAAGTTCACAAAGCTAACATATCTTGGATTCAGCATGAAATCGCCTAGATATGAGTTGTCAGAGCTTGCTCGCAATGATGACAACTCGGTGAATTTTCGAGTTGTGATCGATAGCGCTTAAGAAGCTTATATGAAGAAGCTCAGGCATCTTCAATGCATGAGCTAGTTGTAATGAGGAGGAAGGTCGATGGTAGGCTTCCAGGACTATAATCGCCAATCTAATCTATCAACAAAGCAGGCTCTTGTTTTGTTAATGTCTTATAGTCAGACATAGAAAACATTCCCAAAACGATAAATTGAAAACTATTCCAACGCACCTTTCACTGTGTTTTTGTTTAAAGCTTAAAAGCAATTCTATTAATGCTATCTCCTCTAACCCTTCCTCTCTTCGTGTCATGTAGGTGCCACCTTTGACATGTCGTATGTGTTGAAGGCTGCAGATGTGTCAGCGTAAGTGCTCTGGCCAAGGGGCTAGTGATACTCACTGGGTTGGTTGTCTTGCAAGCTGAAAAGATTCGCGCTTGGTTGGAGTGTGTGGATTGGTGTGATACAAGATAAACAAAGGAAGCCAGGTGAAAGAGATGGCTTTAATAGTTATTCGATGAGCCGCTGTCCTGACGGTAAGTGAGTTATCCGTACGAAGGTTTATAGAATTTTCCTGCCGTATAACTACATCTTGGGCGGACTAGGAAAGGCTATATTTTTAAGCTTTTGTATTCATTGTGTTGAGTTATCGGGCCCTGGCAGCTTCATTGTTATTAAACTCTATTCTCTTTCTCTTCCGTATTCCAATGCACTGTTCAGCGTATTCAGGCCCTGGTATTAGTTTCCGAAACGTTATACAACTTGCAGTGGTGCCTATGCTTTTTGCACGGGCAAATTAAGTCAAAGCTGCTATAGAATGCAGCTTTTCGGCCAAGTTTGCTTAGCGATAAGGATCAAGGCCAGCCATTATAATAATACACTGCGACCGTTCAGGTTTCCACTTCACACGGAACACAGCATCCAATGACTTGTAACAGGAGTATTGAGATAAGTTGGCTAGGCTAGTAACTGGTCCAGAAGCACCATTGTCCCAGATTCAATATACTGCCAGTCAGCCTCAAGACGTAAGTCACTCTGAACTAATGTTTCTACCCCACCAATCCATTTCATCCATGACCATCAAGGAAATGTTACGTCAGCCCCAGATGGATGGTGCTACTTGAGGCTCCAACACCTCCCCTACGGCCTGCACTGCTACACTGCCGCTGGGAACTGTTAGCAAGAGTTGTGCCAGTGTGTAAGAGTATATGCCAAAAGAAAACTCCCTGATATACTCTCCATGTTAATACTGGAATGCCTTTCGATTACATCAGACCACGGGGTGGAAAAGAATAATTGTAGATATCGAAAAACGATTATCAGGTTCCCCCATTAGAGTGATTACTGATAGGTTACATATATAAATTATAGTGCTGTTTTATGATGCTATGTATAATACAGTATAACCGCTAGCTCCGAGACAGTTAATCTAACCAATATGCCGCCAATAGGCCCGTAAGTAAGCTGCAAAACGCCATAATGCTTCGTACAAATGAGACAAATGTCTAGCATCCAAAACTCCGACTACTTGAACTCAACAAGCCCAAGTCTAACCACAATTCTCCTTGGAGGAATTAACCTTGCCCATAGATTCATACAGTGAGCGGAATGCTGAGGCCACCGTCAAGAGCTCTCGTGGATCCCCCCATTCCACAAGCTGGCCCCTGTTCAAGACCGCGACACGATCAAAGTCCAACACGCTGTCGAGCTTATGGGCGATAACTATCAATGTTCTGTTGCTGAATGATTTGGAAATTATGCCTTGGATCAGCTCCTCAGTATCCGCATCGGCATTACTAGTTGCTTCATCCATAATAACAATCTTACCAGGTCTAACAATAGACCGAACGAGACAAAACAGCTGACGCTGGCCATGCGATAACCGTTCCTCGCAGAGCTCTCCATCCAAACCCCCATCCTTCTCGAATATATCCCACAGCTTGGCAGCCTTCAAGCCATCGATGATATCCTTATCCGAGGCGAGTCCGAGGGGGTCGATATTCTCACGGATCGTGCCCTGAATAAAGAATGTCTCCTGAGGAAGAGTGTTGAGATTTCGCCGGACCAGCTGCCTAGGGATTTTGCTAATATCGATGCCATCGATAATGATGGATCCTTCTTCCAGCTCAAGCATGCGTAGGAGAGTCGATATCAGTGATGATTTCCCGCTACACTCAAGTTAGTAAGGATTGCAGAATTGTGCAATTATGTACTTACCTTCCAGTGCGACCGCAGATTGCAATCTTCTGGCCCGGCTCAATGTCAATTTGGACCCTCTTGAGCACAGGCTCAGCAGATGTGGTATAAGAGGCTGAGACACTGTTGAACACAACGCCGCCCTTATGGGGCCAGTCGAATGGCACATGGCCTATCTCGTGAGGCAGATCTTCCGACTTGGTCTCCTTTATGAACGTGCGAACACGGCTCATAGCACCTAGCGAGGTCTCGAGCAGTGTCCACTGTGTAATCAAATCCTCAAGCGTAGTGCTGAAGTCGATCACTTTGAACAGGGCCACACCCAACAAAGCGCCAGAGCCGTCGGGAAGGCTAGTGGCGAACGTGACAAGAAGAATACCAATACCCCCGACCATAAGTTGTAAAACGAGAGTCAGCCATCGTTGGATAACACCCATAATATAATATGGCCTCTGTGAGTTGTCGAGAATTCGATGGCCTTGGATAATATATTCCTCGGCCCAGCCGTAGGCACGGATGCAAGAAACACCCGACAATGTTTCCAGAAACTGGGAAAAGAGCGGCGCTTTGGCTTCAATGTCGAGAAGACGTATTTGACGTGATGTACGGAGGTAAAAATATTGAATTGTAAGCAACAGAATGACGCAGGCAGGGATTGTAGCAGCTGTGTATCCAGAGCCCATAAATACTAGGACGCTGGACACGATCACAGACAGGGCATTGATGACGGTGAGATCCATGGCTCGGGGGAGGTCGGAATCAATGAGCTGCAGATCTTGACTAAACCTATTCGTCGTCTGCCCGATATCTGTAGACGTGAGAAATGCGGTATTAGCATGGAGTGTTGTGCCTAGCAGCAACTCGTGGACTCTCCGGCTTGTCCTGGGCAACATAATCATTCGGAACACCCAGTCAGCTGCCACACAGCTTGCCAGGGCCAGGATACCCAACAGAACGAAGCCACCTAGCCAATAGCCAACATTCTCATTGGGATGGTCTTTGTTAGAGTTAGTCCACCATTGAACCCATAGAGCTATGGTGAGCGTTAGCACTTGTAATAATAAGATGTCGGAGGGTTGGACTGGGTGACTCACATGGGAAGCTGAGACTCAAAATGAAGATGGAGCTGCCGAAGATGTAGAATAAGAAGGTCCCCGGGCCGACCAGCTGAATGTAGTACTTGTAGATCTGAAAATCACTAGCGCTACGGCTCCCATCGGCGAGTTCATCATCTTCACTAGGTAGTTCAAATTCCTCAAGAACTTCCTTGGATATCTCGAGCTCAGGTGCTCGCGCGGTGACCGGGGCAGGGAGATCGACTAGTCGCTGGGCATAGCCACCAGACGATGAGACCTCTTGAAGCGTGCCCTGTTCGGAAATCATTCCGTCATCTCCCAGCACGATGATGTGGTCCGCGTAGTGAAGGTGAGCGACGGTGTTTGTAGCCAGGACCACGGTGGCACCGAGTTGCTTAACCAGACCGTCGCTGCCAAACACGGAATTGAGGATGAAGGCTTCCGTAGTGCGGTCAAGACCCGTCAAAACATCGTCGAGGATCATAAGGGGCTCCTTGGAGTAGAGAGCTCTGGCAAGGGACTGGAGATGAGGTTAGAGCAACATTTTAGGTGTGAGAGGAGCAACTGTCTACCTACAATTCGCATTTGCTGGCCACCACTAAGACGAGAGCCACGCGTGCCTGTATTTGTCTGGTCTCCGTCAGGAAGTTCCTCAAAGTCTCTGCTCAAAGAACAAGCTCGAGTAACCCTCTGATACCATACAGGGTCCCAATCTGATTTTCCCTGAATATTCTGCTGAATAGTACCCCATGTTATCCAGGGTGATTGGGGACAGAAGGCAGAGTTGGTGAAGGCAGTCGCCACTATCCCGGTGACATGAGGCATCTCGCCAAGGAGAAGCCTTATCAAGGTAGATTTACCGGAGCCGACAGGGCCAATAATCATCGTCGTTTTGCTGCGGCCCACTAGGAAGGACAAGTTCCTCACAATATTGGACTGGGTCGAGTAGCCGGCGGAAGCGCTCTGGATGGTCATGGCAGCCTTGGTGTTGTAGAGGCTTTGCTGCGCCGCTTCTAGTTCGGTCTCATCGTACTTGGGCTCGATCTCGGTCTCTATAAGTCTATCGGTATCCATGTAATAGGCAGGGATAAAGTATGGGGATGGCTTCGCAGCAAGTGTTGTTCTGGGATCCACTCGCTCTGGTTGGACGAGGTGTTCCTGGATCCGGCGGAACGAGTTGCGGATAGTCTGAAAATATTCAACGCTGGTAATGATCGATGACAGGGGCCCCTCTTGAAGCCGAAACACCCCGAGCGTAGCAAACGCAACTGGTGCGGTGAGAGGCGTGCTACCATTCCACAGCGATAAGAGAGTGAACAACCCGAAACCAATGACGGGCGCGAAGATGGCGGACAGATGCGCGGCGCCGATTTCGAGGACAATAAGCATTCGGAATAGGCGAGAACGACGGATCTCCAGTTGCCTCAGGTTAGCGATGATGGCGGACATCTTCTCAGTCATCCCCGTCATTTTGACAGGCTTCATGATCCCGAGCATCTTCGTAGTGACGGCTAGACGCTCCTCGATAGACTCGAGCCAGGGAACTTGTGCGTTTCCAGCAGCTGTAGCGATGGGTGCACCGAGGAAAAGGCACACAATAACCCACGCAGCAGGGCCCAACATGGAGAAGCCAAGGAGCCGAAATAGCAACCATAGAGAAACAGCAGTGTCAATAAAGCTAGCATAGAATTCATGCATGTGACGCATGCTGTCCTCGATTCGCCCGATATCTGCACTCATCAATGTGATAGCGTCGGCCCCTGCGGCGTTTGTAGTTCCAAGAGACAGTGTCTTGCCGAAAATGAGGGTAATTAGACTGCCCCTGAAAACAGTAATGGAACGATACACCCGGTGCTCGTATAGTGTCCAAGACAGGGCCTTTCCGATTTGCATAACGGCATAGGCAACAATCAAGGCTTGGGAAACATTCTGTCTGTCCTCTTCGGGAGTAAAGGAGGTGAATCCCAGGATCTTCTCCACAAGAAAGGGCTCGCAGAAGCAGAAGAAGGAGGACGCTAGTCGTGGTATAACTCCAGCCAGCAGTGACCACTTGTAGTGCTTGATAAACGTCCAAATCAGGGCATCTTTCCACATTTTATTCGTTCGGTTCCACTTGTCGGCGAGATCGGTCGGTTTCGTAGCGTTGAGGATCTCCGAGTCGAGAGCTGGTAGGTTATACACAGTCAAAACCGAGCGCCAGCCCTTAGCGAAGACGCGATTAACCCAGAGGTAGAGTATCCTGCTGATTGCGCCGCTGGCCTCCTCTGGACCTACAGCCACCCACATTTCCAGGAACAGATGGCGCTTCTCGATAAGCTCTGCTACCAGCAAAACGAGCTTGATGGCCAGGGCTACCGTATAGATGCTCGTGATCGAGTTGTTCCCGGGGATGTCGGATAACGTCCGGAGCCGCATGAGATCGAATAACAACGAGGCGGAAAGGTAGAATGTCAGGATAGTCGATGGTTGAAGAGAACGGATATGAGTTATGCCAGAGAGAATAGGAAATATGAACGATGATATAATAATGAGTGTTGTGGTTGGAATGGTGAGTCGCGTGGTTGGTGCATCGGTATTTGCCCAATAGTCAAAGAGACTCTTCTGGACGAACGCATAGAGGAGATATAATGCCTTGATCTGAATGTCAGCTTATAAGGGGTCCGTAGTTTGCGTGGCAAGTAACGCACGAGCTTGGTGTAAAATAACCAGCCTCTGCGAGCCTTTGTAGATTCGCGGCGAAGGGACCAGATTCGGAAGCCTGTGAAGACGACTAGAGTGTGTCATATCAGCATTGATTAGCGATCACGTAGGCTCTATTTCCCTTTGGCTGAGGATGTATGTAACCAGATGGATGGATGGATGGATGGACCTACGGGCAATAGCAAGCGGAACGATAGTTAGGAGACCCTCCTCGAAGAGAAGGGTCATGCCAAACCCACCCTTCTGGCAAGGCTCGGCGATGCTTGGGCCCCATTCGTCGTGAGCGTCGATGGAGCATTCAGAAGTAATGTTGTTGAGGATAGCAGGTGTCTGTTCGGGCCATAATTGCTGCTGGTCGTACCATAGTGGATGCTCCTCCTCCAACCATAGCGTCTGCTCCTCCCCTTTCCACTGAACGAGGCGAAATGTCTGTTGGAGTTGGAGGCTTTCGCTGTCGCACCGGAAAATACGCGCCGTCATCTCACTCGTCCGTTGGATCTCCAACGTCTCGCAGCCCAAGTCCCCCATGTTGGCGGTGCAACAGCGGGCAGTTGAGCGATAAACCGGCTCGAAGAATCATGAATTTTACCGGGCTCTGACCCATGTATAAAAGAAGCTGCCTACGGCTTCTTCTTCATTGTTGTGAAGGTAGAAGTGGCTTTGTCTTGCAATTTTCTAGAAAGTAATTGGCAGTGTCTACAAAAATGAGTGGCTACGGAATAGGCCACCAACACTTCTTCAGGGGAACATTGAGGATTAATTCGGTGCACTATGCAAATAGATTGGCTGACGGCTATATTTACTTCCTGCATGTACTACAGGTCTATCTTTAGTGAGAACTAGAGATAAAACGGGGCACCGTCGTAAGTGTGTGACACTGTGACATGTCGGCACATGTTAACTTGATTCAGGTTCGCTCCGACAGGGCATGGGCTATTACCTGGATCCAATCCACCGATTCATAAGAGACCCATGCTCAACCGCCAGGATGTAGCGGGGGAACCTGGGGGCTTGGAGCAGGAAGCCCCGCTGTTGTAAACTTGTCGAACAGGACCTACGTAACTCTCTAGTTGGTGAATGCGGTTCCCTACCAAAAACTGGTCTCTTCATGATATCTTGGAATCCGTTCGGGCGTTTATACGTCGAAGAAACCACTCGATGAGGCCGCAGTAGCACAACTGGTTGACATAGAAACTGACATGCGACACTTTTTAATCTATTTTTTTACGCGTTTGCATGATACATTTTATTTATTTATTCTTGCGTAGGGTTGTAAGCAGGTCATGTGATAACGGCGATGAGGAATCTCAGTATATTTCTTTCCGTAAGAACATCTCTAGGGTATTCGCCTTTTTCACTCCGGACGTAGGGCGTACATGCGAACGGCGAAGAGATCTTCAGGCAGCCCCGATTGCAGTTCCGTTTTGATGATTCTTAAACCTGCCTTTTTAAAGATCTGGTGGTATTTTGATTCTTGCCTAAGACATGCGATTGTATTAGCTAAGCTCATGGTGTAGCATACGCCTACGTTGGTTTCCGTCACCTGTAACTTACCTTGTCACGCTGCTATCAACCTCGTCAAGTTCATCCTTGCCCTTCGCCGCGATGTTCTCCTTGACAACAATGAGACTCTGGTCGTCACTCAACCAGGCCTTGGACCGTGACAGGTAGTGCACTAGCTCATCATCCTTGAGGTGCCCTAGGCACCACTGGTTCCAGAAAAGGTCGTAGCTGCCCAAGGCCTCGCCGTGCTCATCCTCACCGCCGAATTCTTCAAGCCCGATATTGAAGATTTTCCCCACGCCTTTCTTGCCACGAAGAGCCTCCGTAAACTTTGCGATTGGCTCCACCACATCCACCGTAGCAGCAAGAGGGAGGAGCAGGCCTTCTGTTACTCTGCCGATTCTACACATAATGAGGACGTTAGTAGTGTGCATAGTGGGCATCCTCAAGGCTAAGAAAATAATAAAAAAAGACGGTACAGAAGGGCAAAATTAGTGATAGAATGGTGGCTTCTAATACAAGCTGGTAAAAGGGTAAATGGCCATTGGACCAATTGATTCGGAGGCGGATCATTGAAAGGTTTGAATCTTCAAACCGCAGGAGCATTATGTTTAGAAAGCATTGGGAAGGATATCTCGTCATACGTACCCAGCGCCGCCTTCAAGCACCCGGTTGAGACTCCTCAGTCCAGCATTGCAACCAATTCCCAATTCCGCCAGAAACGCCCGTGAATCCTGAATGTCAATCGCAGAGATATCTGGGTATCCCCCCAGCATACCATTGACATCTGCGTCGATACTGTTCCAGTAAGCATGCCCGGCCTCGGCGCTGATGAAAGAGTCTGGAGCTGGTTCAGACATTATTCGATTGTGTGTATGCCGTCAGCTAGAGATCTAGTAAGAACGATATAGGTGAGCCGAAGTATAATAATGTAGTTTGGTGACTTATATCCTGGTCTCTCCTTATCCGACCAGGACATTCTTGAAAGTAGGGGAAGATGCTCCTTGGGTGGGGAATTGGCTAAAGAATCCAATAAGTTGGTGTTCAAGCTGTCATAAAATCTTTAGGCTTTGTTATTGGTTGCCGTGTCGCTGATTATTGTGCTTGCCTGAGGCCTGAATCTTAGGGACACACGCTTGACTAGGTGCGGCCGCTGTGGAAGGATAGGTTATAATTGAGGTGATGCTCAAGCACCTGCCCGTCTCGAAAACAGTCCAAGTAGCTAGTGAGGGCCCTATGGCCGCTTTGGATCCTTCTAATTCGGTTAACCCTAATAAAGGCATAAGAAGATTCAGGCCTAAGTTAGGACCCTAGCAACGGACCCCTTGAGGGTTCCTTAGTAAAAGTTTCAGGAATGTTGGCTTCAATAGAAAATTTGAGAGACTTTCATAAATATTCATAAAACCAGGGCTTCGGCTAGCCGGGCTGAAAGCTCCTACCGGGGAACCTGCAAGTGGGTCTATTTCACATAGCCCCTGACTGTAGTTCTGAGAGATGATATACATACACATGCCAGTGTGATAGAACGCACTCCGCAACTGCCCAAATAGGGAAGGGGTAGAATACTACTGATCCTACCAGGCGCTGAAGGATGTCAATTAATTTATCAAGAGCAGTAGACTGTCCAAGCGTCAAAACTGTAACCACCAGCATGATTCTAACAATTCATTAGCTACGCACGACGTGGAAAAGTCAATTGGAAAGGGTGCTTCAGCGTACCTGGACAACAATATTATATACGTTATTAACACCCATGAAGAACACAACCAGGGCTTAAAAGAAGTTCGTTCGGGAGGGCCTACGTAAGGAAGATCTACGTATAGATGCGACTGGATCATTGGAAATAACAATTGAGACGATGATTTTTTGCGGGTACTACCTGGCAAGCGCAGATGGGATCCGCCTGAATCTAGCTAAGCAGGGACCACGTAAGACCTAAGGGGGATATCACCTAATGGGGTTACACCTGAACTGGGGGTCGAACCACAATGTTCATCCTCCTGATAGGCACTAGCCCTGATGCCTAATGACTACATGCTCGTGTAGTTATTTGAATAAGTATCGGGGGATATATGCCACTTGATTGGGACCCAACAGGAAAATGCCGAGGCGGTATACGTTGATCCCAAAAACCCCCTCGCGGCTTATGCCTCAAAGAGGTGCGTGAGACCACAACACTCTCTCAAGACGCTTGGCGTGACTAGAAACAATGTCCTGATAACGGTGCCCTGTCACGATGAGGTATCGGCTGCTTTGGCAAATGCGTTATCACTGGCAAAGCGGAGCAAGACCCCCCCGTAAGATGGCATGTTTTCATATCTTTCGTAGACGAGTTTATGTGCCAGAAATCAGGTAGCTTTTCTTCAAGCAACAAATTCTTTAACATTATGATCTGAACCTGGGTAGTATTTCGTAGGCTATTATGAAATAAGCACAAAATGATGAAAAATAATAATAATTCGATTCCCGATGTACTGCGTACTGCGTACTACACCCTCATCTGTCAAAGCAACACCCTCACCGTCTACCGAATGACCGAGTAGTTGTTACTGGCCTAATGCTTTGGAATAAATGTAGGGCCTTTTCTGAATTTGATTACATGCGTTATACCCCCCCGAGCAAGTTATGGTAAATTCCAAAATGGGTGGGAGAGACTATTGTAGTATAAGTGGTGCGGGACTACCAGGGTTGCGTGACCTTTGACCTAGCGGTCAGGCAGGCCCATGTCAGCCTCCAAAAAACGTGGAGTAGTGTGATGGCAAATTATAACGGTATTTCACGGGCAGATCTAGCTCTACCCGAGTAGGAAGAGGAGAATCTCAATCCCAATTGCGAAAGACACGCTGTTTGAAAAACCACTCACACACTGCCAACAATCAGCCACTATACTATGCTCGTGTGATTTCGCGTACGACATTTGCTAAACACCACCCAGAGGCATCTACTACCTCACCAATTCCGCTAGAGATGGCTCACAGCGATGAGAGAATATGGTCCTGGAATAGCCAAGTTCCGCCTGCCGTCTACAAATGCATGCACACCATTATAGAGGAGCAGGTGGCTATACAGCCTAATAAACAAGCCGTGTTTGCGTGGGATGGGAGCTTTACCTATGCTGAGCTGGATACCCTAGCCACACAGCTGGCATGCCATCTGGCTAGCCTGGGTGTTGGTTCGGGGACTATGGTTCCCTTGTGCTTCGAGAAGTCCCGGTGGACGATAGTAGCTATGCTTGCAGTTCTCAAGGCCGGAGGAGCGTTTGTGCCCCTGGATCCATCCCAGGCCGTGGATCGCCAGAAGGCGGTTCTATCACAGTTGGGGAGTCTTGTTGCAGTAACATCTCTGCAGCATTCCGGGTTTCTCACTCAACATGGGTACACCGTTGTACCAATCGGATCGGGGAGCATAGAAAATCTTCCCAAGTCTACAACATCGACTTTATCAGTACATTCCGACCCATCATCGCCAGCATATGTACTTTTTACCTCAGGTAGTACTGGGCAGCCCAAAGGCGTGATTTTGGATCATTCTGCTGCTAGTTCCAGCTGTATGTATAATGGCTCGCATATCCGATTTAATTCTGAATCTCGCGTACTTCAGTTTTCGGCTTATACATTTGACGTGAGCGTCCTAGAGATCTTTATTGCGCTGTTCTACGGTGGGTGTATATGCGTCCCATCTGACGCCGATCGCCTGGATAGGCTGGAGAGGACAATTGATGCTATGAAAGCCGATATCGCGATACTGACCCCTACTGTCAGCCAACTGCTCAATCCAAAGCAGGTCCAGTCGCTAAAGACTCTTATCTTGGCTGGCGAAAAGGCTACAGACGAGGATTTTGCCCGCTGGCAGCCTAGTGTAAGGGGAATCAATGGATATGGACCGACGGAAGTCACAATGTGCTCATTGAATGTCTTCGGTAACGTTTGGGCTGACGGCAGCTGTATCGGTAAGCCAGTAGGAGCAGTATTCTGGGTTGTCGAACTAGAAGATCACAACCAGCTGGCGCCGATAGGAGAAATTGGTGAGCTTCTGGTTGAGGGCCCTGTTCTCTGCCGAGGATATTTACGTGATCCGGAGAAGACGGCAGCAGCCTTCATCGAAAATCCTCCATGGCTCGTCCAAGGTGGGCCCGGCCACAAGGGCCGGCAAGGTCGGCTCTATAAGACAGGCGATCTGGTTCGGTACAATAAGGAAGATGGCAGTCTGGTCTTTATAGGCCGGAAGGATACGCAAGTCAAGATCCATGGACGGCGAGTGGAGCTTGGCGAGATCGAACATCATGTGCGGAGTTGCATTCCGGGAGCACGACATGTGGTTGCCGAGATGATCCTGCCCGGCGGGGGGGGCCCAAGCCCCATCATCGCAACTTTCGTGGCCCTGGATGGCCACGATGGGCCAGTCCATACGCAGGCGGAAGAGGTCCGTGTCATGCCACTACCGGCAGGGGTTGAGGAGATGCTGCTGGAGCGGCTCCCAGCGTATATGCAGCCGGCGGTTTACTTTGCCCTTCAGAGCCTACCGATGAGCACATCGGGTAAAGCTGACCGGCGGCGGTTACGTGAGATCGGGACCAGCTTCTCGGCACAGCAGCTGGCAGACTTACATAGAGGCACTAGCCAAGGAAGGCGACCAGTAACCACAGATGCCGAGCGGCAGATGCAGCGGATCTGGGCGAGCGTCCTCGGCATTCCAACGAGCGCTATTAGTGCTGATGATAGCTTCTTTCAGCTTCGCGGAGACTCGTACACAGCTATGAAGTTGGTCGCTCTTGCTCGCCACGAAGGCCTTTCTCTGTCTGTTGCCGATGTCTTCCGCCAACCCCATCTGGCGGCTCTCGTGGATGTTGTGTGTAGAGAGAATGCGATTCCACCAGAAGAGGCCATCGGTGCATTCTCCCTGTTGAAGGTAACAGAAAGGAAGGACGAAGTTCGTGCTTGTATTGCTCGCCTCTGCAACATTGCCCCCGAGCTGGTTGAGGATGCGTATCCTTGCACTCCTCTACAGGAGGGGCTTCTCTCCTTGACACTGAAGACGCCCGTGACATATGTCGGCAGGATCCTGTTCGACTTGCCCCAGCACATCAACTTATTCAAATTCCGCCGCGCCTGGCAGCAGGCGGCAAAGAAACTACCTATACTGCGAACAAGGGTCGTATATGACTCCCAACTGGGTCTGGTACAGATCGTCATCCAGGAGGATATCCAGTGGCAGAGCGGAATCGGCCTCGACCAATACATAGATCAAGATCAGTCGAAGCATATGGGACTCGGCCTCCCGTTGGCTCGGTATGCCATTATCACCGAACATGACAACAAAGATGGACCCGGAGGTATCCGGTTTGTCTGGACCTTGCATCATTCCCTGTACGACGGACACTCGCTGAGCCGGATGATCGAGCTCGTAGCAAGCATATACAATGGTATACCGCCAGACAGGCCATTCAAGGACTTTAAATTATTTTCTAGATACCTCTCTCGTGTAGATACCGAGGCTGTCGGGAGATACTGGCAGTCGGCGTTCAAGGGCTACAGCTCAGTACCAGTCCTTGCGAGTTGCCTATCAGATAATCCGCGAGTGAATACTATGGTGCACCATGAGTTCACTGTTCCACCAATCACCGAGTCTAATATAACCACGGCTACACTCATACGAGCGGCCTGGGCATTGGCGGTTGCTGGCTGGCGCGGCTCAATGGATGTTGTATTCGGGGCCACAGTATCCGGTCGCAATGCAGCCCTGGTAGGGGTTGACGAGATTATAGGACCAACCATTGCTACGGTGCCTGTCCGAGTTCAAGTGGGCGATACGCAGACAGTATCCGACTATCTACGACAGATACAAACCCAAGCCATCGACATGATCCCTTATGAACACACGGGGTTACATCAAATCCAGCAGATGAGTGAGGAGGCCCATTTGGCATGTCAATTCGAAACGCTTCTTGTAGTTCAGCCGCCGGAAGAGGCAGGAACAAGTCTGTCGACAACGTTTGGGCGATGGAAGGAGGACAATGCTGGTGGAGCGGCCTTCGCCACATACGCCTTCAACTTGACCTGCCAGCTTGACGGAGACGCCGTCAACTTGGAAGCTGTGTTCGACGCGTCTCAGCTAAGCGAGCAGGTTGCTACCGGACTACTGGAGCGGCTAGGTCGTATATCGAGCCAGTTGGCACTCGCTACAGGCGGCAAGCTAGTTACAGATATTGATATCCTCTCAACGGCCAACAGTGAGCGCATATGGACCTGGAATGGCCAGATTCCAACAACTATCGATAAGTGTATACACACTATCGTAGAGGAACAGGCGGCTTTGCAGTCCGCGAAGCAAGCTGTATGTGCTTGGGACGGGTATTTCACTTATTCTGAGTTGGATACTCTCGCGACCCAGCTCGCATATCATCTAGTCAGCGAGGGCGTTGGTCCTGGAGTGATAGTACCCTTATGCTTTGAGAAATCTAGATGGGCTGTAGTGGCTGTTCTTGCAGTGCTCAAAACCGGAGGGGCCTTTGTTCCGCTTGACCCATCGCAGGCCGTGGATCGCCAGAGGAGAGTCCTGTCACAGATAGGATTATGTGGTCTTGTGGCAGTAACGTCTTTACAGTATTCCGGGTTACTCGCCCAACATGGATGTACCACTATATCAATTGGACCAGATACAATATCACAACTATCGGCATCAACAAAATCAACAGTCTCTTTGCAAGACGTCGATCCATCTTCGCCGGCGCTGGTTCTGTTCACTTCAGGCAGTACTGGCGAGCCAAAAGGTGTAGTCTTGGATCACTCTGCTGTCAGCTCGAGCTGTATCTACAACGGGGCCTGGCTCCAGGTTAATACAGAATCACGTATATTACAGTTCTCAGCATTTACATTTGATATCAGCGTTTTAGATATATTCATTAGCCTCTTCTATGGCGGATGCATATGCATTCCATCAGAGGCTGAAAGGCTGAACCAGCTAGAAACAAGCATCAATAGCCTAGAGGCTAACCTCGCAATCTTGACGCCTACTGTTAGCAGATTACTTGATCCAAAGCAAGTGCAGCTACGTACCCTCGTCTTGGTTGGCGAGAAGGGCAAAGATGAAGATTTTGCTCGGTGGGGGACAACTACAAGAGCCATCAACGGATACGGGCCCACGGAGTGTTCACTGTGCTCGGCGAATCTCTTCAACGGGGCCAATGGTAACTGTATTGGCAAGCCAATAGGTTCAGTATTCTGGGTGGTCATGCCCGGTAATTGCAACCAGCTGGTGCCACTCGGATCAGTTGGTGAACTTCTAGTTGAGGGCCCTATGCTTAGCCGTGGTTATCTAGGAGACCCGGGTAAAACAGCAGCAGCCTTTATCGAGGACCCTTCATGGCTTCTCCGAGGCGGCCCTGGGAACAAGGGTCAGCGGGGACGACGAGGTCGGCTCTATAAGACAGGTGACCTGGTGCGGTATAATAATGATGGTAATCTATTGTTTGTAGGCCGGAAGGATACCCAGGTTAAAATCCACGGTCAACGGGTCGAACTTGGAGAGATTGAGAACCATCTCTTGACCTGTATTGCAGAGGTGTATCAGGTGGTGGCTGAGGTGATCATACCGGCAGGTGAGGACTCGAGCCCAATGCTTGCTGCCTTCCTGGTAATGCAGGACGGTGCTCAGAGGCAAGTTTCAGAACACGAATGCCGGGTATTCGCAACAACCCCGGCGGACGAGGAAAAGTTGCTAGAGCGGCTTCCGGCGTATATGATACCGGCGGTCTACTTTGTCCTCGATCAACTTCCGATGAGCAGTTCCGGCAAGACGGCTCGACGCCGGTTGCGCGAGATCGGCGCCAGCTTCTCAGTACAGCAGCTAGCCAACTTCCGCAGAGACCAAAAGAAGCGAGCAGTATCGACTGATGCTGAGCGACAGATGCAGCAGATATGGTCCCAGGTGCTTGGCATTGGAGTGGAGGATATCAGTGTGGATGATAGCTTTTTTCGACTTGGAGGTGACTCAGTCGCAGCCATCAAGGTGGTTACGCAAGCCCGGTCTAAAGGGTTGTCCCTCTCGGTCGCAGACATATTCCGTACTCCTCGCCTCGCTGCCCTATGTGCCGTAGGTAGTGGCACACTGCAGACCTTACAGCAGACGTTTAGCCCCTTTTCATTGCTTGAAGGTTTCACGGATGCATGCCGTGGGCGTCTTGCTCGCCTGTGTGAAGTTGAGCCCGAGTCTATCCAAGATGCGTATCCCTGCACACCTCTCCAAGAGGGGCTCTTCGCCTTGACGTTGAAGTCGTCTGGTGACTACATCATGCGAAGTATACAGCAACTGGCACCAGGGGTTGACAACGCCCGATTCCAGAGTGCCTGGTGCGAGGTGAGCCGTCGTCTACCTATTCTCCGCACACGGATCGCTCCGGATAGCAAATACGGCATTCTACAGATCGTTTCAGCACACAAGGTAGCGTGGTCTGAGGGGGCTGACTTGCGGCAATATGTGAGCCAGGACATCTCGACGCCAATGGATTCCGGTCAGCCCCTCGTTCGCTTTGCCCTGATCACTGATGCACAGAGTCAAGTCACCTCGTTTGTATTGACCCTGCACCATGCGGTGTATGACGGCCTTGTCCTGGCACAGATGCGGGACCTGGCTAGAAGCATCTACTGCGACTTACCTGCATCGACCTTGTATGACTTTAGGTCCTTTGTGGCGTACGTAACTGGTATTGATCCTGACATGTCCCACGCATATTGGAGAGATGCATTGGCCGACTATGATGGCCAGCCATTCCCGCCACCATCCCACGTATTGGAGCCGACAGGAGCACATGGTGCCGTGGAGAGCAAGTGTGTGCTGCCCGACAGGATGGAATCAGACATTACGATAGCCACCCTGATAAGAGCAGCTTGGGCCGTTGCAGCTTGCGTGGTCGGCGGCAGTAAAGATGTGCTCTTTGGCACCACTCTTTCAGGCCGCAACGCCCCTATTACCGGGATCGAGGCGATAGCCGGTCCTACTATTGCCACTGTGCCGGTGCGCATCCAGGTCCGGGCAGAGCAAACTGTCTCGGCATATCTCAGACAAGTGCAAGACCAATTCCTCGACATGATCCCACATGAGCAGACAGGGTTACAGTACATTCAGGGGTTAAGCCCAGAAGCGCGCCAGGCGTGCCAGTTCCAGACTCTCCTAGTTATTCAACAACCAGGGGAGTCCCGCCAGACAGTCCCAGATGAACTAGGGGCCTGGCGTGAGTACGTGGAGAAGGAGGTATTCTCTAGTTACCAACTCAATATCACGTGTTTCCAAGAGGACGGACAGGTTATGTTGGAGGCAACATTCGATAAAGACCACTTAAGTGAGTGGATGGTTTCATCCTTGCTAGAACGGCTGGGTAGTATTATTCAGCAACTAGCATTAGCCAACGACGCCCAACAAGTGGGTGGACTTGATACGCTCTCAACGGCGGAGTATGAACAAATCTGGAGATGGAACGGAAATTTGCCTGAGACTGTCGATAAGTGTGTGCACAATTTGATAGAGGAGCAGGTCTCACTGCAGCCTGACGCGGTAGCTGTATACGCATGGGACGGAGAACTTACATACAAGGACTTGGATGACTATGCTACCTACCTATCGCACCACCTAGCCAGCTCAGGCATTACTACGGGAACTATAGTGCCTTTGTGCTTCGAAAAGTCACGGTTCACTGCTGTGGCGATGCTGGCAGTACTCAAGGCGGGCTGTGCCTTTGTCCTCCTGGACCCATCACAACCGGTGCATCGTTGGCGCTCCATCACTCAAAAGACCAATGCAGCACTTATCGTCTGCTCTGAAAATCAGGCCAGTAGATGCTCTGAGCTTGCGCCGACGATTCTGGTTATTGGGGCTCGATACTTCTCTACAGCCTCGAAGACCTTGGCCGGTACTCTATCAAGAGACCCGCAGTCAACCATGTATGTCGTCTTCACTTCCGGCAGTACTGGAGAGCCCAAAGGCGTTGTCATCCAACATGCGGCGTTTGCGTCAGCTATTTTCCATCAGTCGTTGGCTATGGGATATAGACAGTCGGTGCGGGTGTACGACTTTGCTTCTTACGCCTTTGACCTGTCTATTGAGTCGGCAATGATGACCCTAGCAACCGGCGGATGTCTATGTGTGCCATCCGACGATGAAAGAAGGGATGATCTAACAGGGTCACTACTGTCCATGTCAGCCGAGTTGGTCGAGCTTACTCCTACCGTTGCACGGACATTAGAGCGGAGTCTATTAACGGGACTCCAGACTCTTGTTCTCGGAGGTGAACAAGTCCTGCCAACTGATTTCGAAGGCTGGTCGCCCTGCATACGCGTCATAAACACATATGGACCTGCCGAATGCACACCTACGAGCGTTATCAATCGTGCCGAGGGTACAGGTATTGGCACGGGCGCGGGTGCCGTGACATGGGTGGTACAGGATGGTGATAGCAATCGGCTGATGCCCATCGGTGCTGTGGGTGAGCTTCTACTAGAGGGCCCTATACTAGGCCGTGGATATCTGGGAGACCCGGAGAAGACAGAGAGAGCCTTCATAGAGGACCCCCCATGGCTCCGTCGTGGTGGTGCTGGGCATATGGGCCGGAGGGGACGGCTATACAAGACTGGCGATATGGTTCGGTATAATGAGGACGGCAGCCTACTATTCGTAGGACGGAAGGATTCGCAGGTCAAGATCCGCGGACAGCGGGTTGAGCTCGGCGAGGCTGAATATCATATTTGCGCCTTGATGGGAATACAGCAGGTGGTAGTCGAGATAATCACACCACAGGGCAAGGGCGCGAGCTCGATGCTCGCAGCCTTTATGGCCATGCCAGATGACACGCAGGCAGAAGTCCGTGTGATCGCAGTGTCGACAGCGGTCGAGGACGCACTATTGCAGAGGCTACCGGCCTATATGCAGCCGTCGGTCTACTTTGTTTTACAGAGCCTCCCGATGAATACATCAGGCAAGGCTGATCGGCAACGGCTGCGTGATATCGGTGCTGGCTTCTCGACGCAGGAGCTAGCACACTTGCGGAGAGGCTCTGAGTATAGGAAACAAGAAGTGTCAAATGACGCTGAGCGTCAGATGCAGGACATCTGGGCCCGGGTCCTTGATCTTGATGCAGATACTATTAGTGCCAACGATAGTTTCTTCCGGTTGGGAGGTGACTCAGTTACAGCTATGAAGTTGGTTGCTCAAGCCCGTTACGAAGGACTTTCTCTTTCTGTCGCGGATATCTTTCATAATCCACGACTATCCGAGCTGTCTCAGGTAGCTACATCTCGTGAGATTGGTAACACGGAACAAGACGCGCTGGATCCCTTCTGCCTTCTGGGACACATTGTCGATACTTCGGGTTTCCTTAAGCGCACAGGAGCCGCCTGTGAACTTGATCCCGAGTTGATTGAAGATGCGTATCCTTGCACGCCACTCCAAGAAGGCCTGTTAGCATTAACGTCTAAGACAAGGGGATCCTATACCGCCAGGCTCGTGCTTGAACTATCAGCACACGCAGACGTGCAACGCTTCCGTCACGCCTGCGAGCAGATGGCACGACAACTGCCGATATTACGGACGCGTATCATCCCTGATTCAGAATTCGGATTGATTCAAGTAGTCACGAATGAGCAGATCCACTGGCGTCGCAGTCACAGTCTAGATGAGTATCTTGTCAAAGATTCCGCAGAGTCCATGGTTCTTGGGAAACCACTAGCTCGTTATGCCGTGGTCGAAGAGGAGTCAGCGGATGTGTTAAGGAAGTCCTACTTCATCTGGACACTACATCACGCATTGTATGATGGTCAGACTTTGAACCGGATGATGAAGCTCATGGAATGTATCTATCGCGGTGTGCCGCAGATAGATCATTGGAGGAATTTCAGATACTTTGTCCAATATCTGAGGCGTACAAAAACCCCAGATGTCAGTGAATTCTGGCAAGTTGCGCTTGAGGGCTATGAACCTGTTCGCTTCCTGGCGTCATCAGCTACTGAAACCATTGCTGACTCCATATTCCAACATTCGTTTCAAGTGCCGTCGATCACTCAAGCCGACATCACTATAGCTACCTTGATCAACGCCGCCTGGGCACTAACAATCGCCGCATACAGTGGCTCATCCGATGTTGTGTTTGGGACTACAGTGTCTGGGCGAAGCGCAGATGTCCTCGGCATCGATGAAATTGCCGGGCCAACGATCGCTACTGTCCCAGTTCGCATCAAGCTGCTATCCACGCAAGAGGTTTCAGAATTCTTACGCGAGGTACAGAACCAATCTATCGACATGATTCCTCACCAACAGGCAGGGCTTCATTTCATTCAGAAACTGTCCCCGAATGCCTATGAAGCCTGCCAGTTTGAAACACTGCTCATCATAGAGCCACTGGCCAAGGGTAGAATCCCAGAAGCGGCAACAGAGGGATCAGACATCGGTACTTGGAGAGACGTAGACGAAGGGGCCGAGCAAGCGTTCGCAACATACACTTTTAACTTGACCTGTCTTCTAGATGGGAATCAACTAGGGCTGGAAGCTGTCTTTGACTCTGGCAAGATAGGTGGGCAGCTCGCAGAAGCATTGGTACACCATTTCTGCGGAGTAATGAGCCAGCTTGCACTCGTTGGCGACAACCGGACAGTGGCCGAGTTAGAAATGTTGTCTGACACAGATTCTCGACGCTTGTGGAATTGGAACGGGTTGGTTCCAGTAGCACTGGAGAGATGCGTGCATAGCCTTTTCGAGGAACAGGCAGCAATGCATTCTGATAAGACAGCCATACAGGCATGGGATGGCGAATTGACCTATCAGCAACTTGATGATCTCTCAACTCAGTTGTCGAACCATCTAACTAGTCTGGGTGTCAATCAAAAGGTGATAGTGCCGCTATGCTTTGAGAAGTCCCGGTGGACGGTGGTGGCAATGCTCGGAGTCCTAAAGGCCGGCGGCGCCTTTGTTTTACTTGACCCATTGCAGCCTATATCTCGGCTCAAGGCGATAATCCAGAGAACCTATACCAAGCTGATGCTCTGTTCCGACGCCGAGGCAGTAAGGTATCGTCGTCTTGTACCGCTCGCATTTGCTATTGGAGAAGACTTTTTCTCGACCTTGGCCCGGCAAACCCCGGCAGCTCGATACGCGGCTGACCCATCATCGCCAATGTATATTGTGTTTACATCTGGAAGCACAGGAGAGCCGAAAGGTGTGGTTATTCCGCACATAGCCTTCGCATCACATGTCCTCCATCAGGCAACATACCTTGGGTATAGGCCTTCTATACGGGTGTTTGATTTTGCATCCTATACCTTTGATGTCTCCATCGATAATGTGTTTATGACATTACTATCAGGTGGATGTATTTGCATACCATCAGAATACGACCGCCGAAACAACCTTACAGAGGTTTTGACGTCTATGTCTATTGATCTAGTTGAGTTGACGCCTTCTGTCGCTGCTACTGTGGACCAATCAACAATGCATCTTGAGACCTTGATTTTTGGAGGAGAGGCCTTACGTCAAGCTGATGTAGATCCTTGGCCGGAGGAGACTCGTGTTATAAACACATATGGGCCTTCTGAGTGTACTCCCACAAGCGTCATCAACTTCAAACACCGCAACCGTGCTGAGGCTACGAGCATCGGTACTGGCGCGGGTGCCGTAACGTGGGTAGCCAATATGAGTGATAGTTCTCGGCTAATGCCTATCGGAGCTGTTGGAGAGCTTCTTCTTGAGGGCCCTGTAGTAGGAAGCGGGTATCTAGATGATCCGGAGAAGTCCGAGGCAGCTTTTATCAAGGATCCGCCGTGGCTCGTCCAAGGCGGCCCAGATGGTCATAAAGGCCGCCGAGGCCGGCTCTACAAGACAGGAGATTTGGTGCGCTATAAAAACGACGGCAGCCTTATATTTGTAGGGCGAAAGGACACACAGATCAAAATACGCGGGCAGCGAGTGGAGCTTGGCGAGGTTGAACACCACGTCTATACTTGCATGACCGGAGCGCAGCAGGTGACGGCCGAAGTGATTATACCTCGCGGAGGAGGGACCACAAGCCCAATGCTTGCGGCCTTTATAGTGATGGATGGCCAGGCTGCGCCGGGCGATAGAGACTCGGAAATGCGCGTGATCACAGTGCCGGCGGCGGTCGAGGAGGCACTGATGCGACAACTGCCGGCCTACATGCAGCCATCGGTTTTTTTTGCCATGCAGAGCCTCCCGACAACTACATCAGGCAAGGTTGATCGGCGACGCCTGCGTGAGCTCGGATCTAGCCTTTCACTCCAGGAGCTGGTGGAGATGCGGAGAGACCAAGAGAAGCGAGCTATATCTACTGATACTGAGCGACAGATGCAGAAGATCTGGGCACGCGTACTTGGGATTGATAATACTAATAGTATTTGTGCTACTGATAACTTCTTCCGGCTTGGCGGTGATTCAGTCACAGCTATGAAGCTAGTGGCTCAAGCCCGCCGTGACGGGCTCGTCTTTTCAGTAGCTGACATCTTCCGCAAGCCCTGGCTATCTGCACTATCCAGCTTGATAGGTCATCGAGAAATGGAATCAGAGGACCGCATTCCTCCCTTCTCATTGCTCAATATTGTAGCAGAAGGAGAGATTTCAGAACATCGCAAGGGTGTAGCCAAGGCCTGTAATCTCATGCCGCAGTTTGTTGAAGACATATATCCTTGTACGGCTCTTCAAGAGGGTCTCCTAGCCCTTGCATCAAAGACTCATGGAGCCTATACGGAGCGTCTTGTGCTGGAACTACTGGAGTCTGTTCATCTTGCCCGGTTCCGCAACACTTGGGAGGAGTTGGTTAGGAGGCTACCTATCTTACGAACGCGAATAGTTCATAGCACACGCTTTGGCCTTGTTCAGGTGGTAGTGGATGAGGCTATTCCATGGAAACGTAGTGCTAGCCTTACGGAATACATTCAAAGGGATAAAATGGAGGGTATGGGTCTCAATGAGCCGCTCGCCCGCTATGCTATAGTCGGGAGAAACCCTTCCTACTTTGTCTGGACTTTGCACCATGCGTTATACGATGGCTTTTCCCTCGGTCAGATGATCAAGCTCGCTGGACAAATCTATGAGAGCATCCCAGAGCAAGAGACTTGTGAGGATTTCAAGTACTTCGCCAGATATATCGCAGAGGCAAAAAGTCAGGCCAGCCGAGACTATTGGCAAGAGTCCTTTACTGGCTACAGTTCAGCGCCATTTCCAGCTCCTTTACCATCACAACGAGAAGTATCAGCAGATGCTTCCTTGCGCCTTGAGATGCCTGTGCCAATAACAGTGTTTAGATCAAACACAACTATGGCGACCTTGATCCGATCAGCCTGGGCGATAACTATTGCCGCCTCCCATGGCTCAGCCGATGTCATATTTGGGGCTGTAGTATCCGGGCGGAACGCAGACGTGGAAGGAATCAACGAGATTACAGGGCCAACTATTGCCACTGTACCTGTACGAATACAGCTGGAGGCTCCCGCTACACAGACAGTGTCCGCCTTCCTGCGGCAGGTCCAGGCTCAATCCGTGGATATGATTCCGTATGAGCAGGCGGGACTCGATTGGATCCAGCAGATAAGTGACGAAGCCTACCAGGCCTGCCAGTTCCAAACTCTGCTAGTTGTTCAACCTCGTGAGGAGAGTGAATCTGAGGCGCTCTCTGGAACCGAATGTTTTGGAAAATGGGTCGATGCGGACGGGGAGGAAAAGGCGTTTTCAACATATATGTTCAACCTGACCTGCTTTTTGAGCGACGACACTGTAGAGTTTGAGGCAACCTATGACGCTAGGCTGGTAAGTGAACCACTGGCCACAGCTTTATTGGAGCGTCTACGGTGTGTTATACAGCAATTATCTCTAGCAGACGATAGCCAGACGGTGGCTGAGATTAATGCTCTTTCAGTTCATGATCTGGAACAAATCTGGTCATGGAACAAGATAGTGCCAGAAACAGTCAACAAGCTCGTGCATTGCCTGGTTGAGGAGCAGGTTGTTCTGCAGCCACATGCAATGGCTGTTGATGCCTGGGATGGGCAGTTCACATATGCCGAGCTGGACACGAAAGCGATAAAGCTAGCAAAGCACCTGGTCAGTTTCGGCATCGGCGGCCCCATAAAGATAGTTCCGCTTTGTTTTGAGAAATCACGTTGGGCTGTGGTAGCCATGATAGCGACACTCAAGGCTGGCGCCGCATTCCTCCATCTCGACCCGTCACAGCCGAAAGCTCGCCTGGAACGTATTATAAAACGGACAGGGGCCGAAGTTATTCTTTCCTCCAAAGATCAAGCAAAGACCTGTTTCGGACTTACTCCCAATGTCCTTACTGTCGGCTCTGAATCTCTCTCGAGGCAACTCGCCAACACTACAAATGGCCATACAACAACCAGCCCTGATACAGCGATGTATGTTATCTTTACATCCGGAAGCACAGGAGAGCCAAAAGGTGTCGTCATCTCACATGCGGCTTTTGCATCGCATGTTTTCCATCAAGCCAAGCACCTTGGCTATAGGAACGGCCTGCGTGTCTTTGACTTTGCCTCCTATATGTTTGATGTATCCGTCGATAATGTATTCATGACATTAATTTCGGGCGGATGCATTTGTATTCCATCAGACTATAAGCGTTTGAACCGCCTCACAGAGACTTTAGAGTCTATGTCTGCTGAGCTCGTTCACTTAACGCCGTCCGTAGCTGCCACTCTAGATCAAGAAATGGTGGCGGCCAATCTCCAGACATTGCTTCTTGGGGGAGAAGCCGTACACCAGGCTGACATAGACGCATGGCCAACAAGTGTGCGTGTGGTCAACACGTATGGGCCTGCCGAGTGTACCCCCACGAGCGTCATGGACCTCACCGAACGCATGGACAGCCGTGTCGAGTCCACCAGCGAGGCCACCAGCATTGGCCACGGCGTGGGCGCCGTGACGTGGGTGGTGGACGCAAGTGATAGTAGCCGATTAGCACCTGTGGGAGCTATCGGTGAGCTTCTCCTCGAGGGTCCTATTGTAGGCAGCGGGTATCTCGTGGATTCGGAGAGGACAGAAGCATCCTTTATCGAGAACCCGCCGTGGCTCCTTCAAGGCGGTCTGGGGAGCAAAGATGGTCTTGGCCGCAAAGGCCGGCTTTACAAAACGGGCGACCTAGTGCGGTATAATGAGGATGGCAGCCTATTGCTCATATCCCGGAAGGACACACAGGTTAAAGTGCGCGGGCAGAGGGTAGAACTCGGAGAGGTCGAGGTCTATCTCCGCATCTGTGTCACGGGGGTACAACAGGTTGCGGCTGAGATGATTGTGCCAGGAGGAGACTCAGGGGAGGCTGAAAGTCCGATGCTCGCCGCCTTTCTAGTCATGCGGGGCAACCCGAGCCAAGTTCCAGAGAACGAATGCCGGATAATCGCAATTGCACCGGCAGATCAAGAGCAGTTGTCGCAACAACTACCGAGCCATATGTTGCCGGCGGTTTACTTTGAACTCGATCGGCTTCCACTAAACAGCTCAGGCAAGATTGACCGCAGGCGGCTTCGTGATATTGGGGGCAGCTTCTCGGCGCAGCAGTTGGCAGAATTGCAGAGGGATCCTGATCAGCAGAAGCAAGCGCCAGCTACCGAAGCTGAGCGACGGATGCAGCAAATATGGGCACGGATTCTCGGCATCAATGCAGACAGTATTAGTGCTAACGACAGTTTTTTCTGGCTAGGCGGTGACTCGATTGCAGCTATGAAGCTGGTCGCTCAAGCCCGCCGTGATGAACTTTCGTTCTCCTTTTCGGTGGCTGATGTCTTCCGTAACCCTCGACTATCAGCACTCTCCGGCTCAGCACATCATGAGGTCAAACGTGCACAGTCTGATATTAGTCCATTCTCTCTGTTGAATGGTATAGCAGACATTCCGGAGTACTGCAAGAATGTAGCCAAAGCATGCAATTTTGGACCTGAGGCTATTGAGGACATATATCCTTGTACACCTCTCCAAGAAGGGCTTCTATTTCTTACGTCTAGAACCGCTGGAGCCTATACAGAGCGTCTTATCCTCAACCTGCCGCCTAATACTGATTTGCCAAGATTCCGTTACGCTTGGGAAGAAGTCACTCGGAGGCTGCCCATATTACGGACACGAATAGTGCACACACGCTTAGGCTTAGTCCAGGTGGTGGTAAAAGAGAAAGTCCAATGGGGAGAGTCTGCCGACCTAGATGAATATCTGGAAAGAGACAAGCTAGACAGCATGAGCCTCAACCGCCCACTTGTACGCTATGCGACTGCGGCAAGGCCACCCAGCTTCGTCTGGACTTTACATCACGCAGTATACGATGGCCATTCCATGGGCCAGATAATCAAGCTAGCCGGGGACATCTATAGGGACACATCTCTCCATCAGCTGCAGGAGAACTACAAAGATTTCAAATTTTTCGCCGGATATCTCGCAAGGCTAGATAACGAAGCTGGCCGAGAATACTGGCGAAAAGCCTTTGCTGGATATGATTCGGCACCATTCCCGGCCTCTTTGGTGTCACTACAAGAAAAGTCGCAAGAGATTTCAGTAGATGGCTTCTTACGGCATAGCATCTCGATACCAACAGCCCCGGAGCTAGGTATCACGACACCCAACCTGATTCGCGCAGCCTGGGCATTGACTATTGCTGCGTCTAGTGGGCCTGACGTGGTGTTTGGTGCTGTAGTGTCCGGACGTAATGCAGACTTGGAAGGGATCGATGAGATCCTAGGCCCGGTTATTGCTACCGTACCGGTACGGATACAGGTCCTTCCCTCACAGGAGGTGGGTGCCTTTCTGCAGCAGGTGCAAGCTCAATCCATTGACATGATTTCGTACGAGCAATTTGGGCTGCATCGGATACAGCAGGTTAGCGAGGAAGCCCACAAGGCCTGCCAGTTCCAGTCTCTGCTGGTCATTCAGCCTCCTGAGGAGGCAGAGGCTGAAGTATTAGCATCATCGGGACAAGAGTGCTTTGTTGGTGAATGGCGAGAGGATGGGGAGGAAAAGGCATTTTCAACGTATGCCTTTAACCTAACTTGCCTGCTAAGCCAGGAAACGTACCCATCAAGCCGGGAAACCATAGAACTTGAGGCAGCGTTTGACACTACCCAAGTTAGCAAGCCCCTGGCTGCGGGCTTACTGGAACGGCTGGACGGTGTTATACAGCAATTATCATCAACTATAGACGACGGCCGAATGGTGGCTGACATTGAGATTCTATCTCGTTATGACCGTCAACGTATTTGGTCTTGGAATCATACCGTACCAGATGCAGTCAGCAAATGCGTACACCATCTAATCGAAGAGCAGTCAATGGTACAGCCACACGCAACTGCTGTCTGCGCCTGGGATGGAGAGTTCACATATGCGGAATTGGATGTCCTGGCAACACACCTATCCCGCTATCTCCAACATCTAGGCATAGGTCTTGAGTCAAGGGTCCCCCTTTGCTGTGAAAAATCAAAATGGACGGTAGTAGCGATATTAGCAGTCCTTAAAGCCGGCGGTGCTTTCATCCTCTTGGATGTGTCACAGCCGGTGCACCGTTGGCGTCACATAATCCAGAAGACAGGAGCGACACTCATCCTTTGCTCCGAGAGCCAAGTCAGTAAGTACGTCGACCTCGTTCCTGGTACGGAGGTTCTGGCTGTCGGGGCTCAATGCCTTTCTCCACTCCAGGAAGAGGCCACGGCAACCGTCGCCTTGCCTCGTAGAGAGGCACAATCCGCACAGTCAACCATGTACATTGTCTTTACGTCTGGCAGCACGGGGGAGCCCAAAGGTGTCGTCATCTCGCACACGGCGTTTGCATCGGCCATTTTTCACCAATCCTCAGCCATGGGCTATGGAAGGTCAGTTCGGACCTATGATTTTGCTTCCTATGCCTTTGACCTATCTATCGAAGTCGCGATGATGACGCTGGCCACTGGCGGCTGCTTGTGCGTACCATCTGACAATGATAGGAGGGACGATCTGACGGGGTCGTTGCTCTCAATGTCGGTCGACTTAGTTGAGCTCACACCCTCTGTTGCACGTTCGCTCGATCGGAGCCGGCTAAGGGACCATCACGGCTTGAAGACTATTGTGTTGGGAGGAGAAGCAGTCCTTCCGAGTGACTTGGAAGGCTGGCCCCCTGGGGTACGCGTTATAAACACGTATGGACCTGCTGAGTGTACTCCCACGAGCGTCATTAACCTCAACTGTGCCATGCCCACGAGTATTGGCAACGGCACAGGCTGCGTAACATGGGTTGTGGATGCGGATAATTGCAGCAAACTGGTGCCTGTTGGAACTGTTGGTGAGCTTGTTTTGGAGGGCCCTATAGTTGGCTCTGGGTATCTACACGATTCAGAAAGAACGGAAGCAGCCTTTATCAACAACCCACCATGGCTCGTGGAGGGAGGTCCCTCGTCTGAGGGTAGGCATGGTCGGCTCTACAAGACGAGTGATCTGGTTCGTTATCAAGATGATGGTAGTCTGGTGTTTGTGGGACGAAAAGATGCACAAGTCAAGATCCGCGGGCAGCGAGTCGAGCTTGGTGAGGTTGAATACCACATCCTCGCGCATATAACCGGCGTACAACAGGTGGCAGCCGAGGTCATCGTGCCAGGGGGGACGGGTGCGAGCCCCATGCTCGTAGGGTTTGTTGTCATGGGTCGCGGCAACCAACAGCAGCCTTTGGAGTCTAATAGTCAATGTCAGGTGGCCACCATAGCACCAGCGGACGAGGAAGAGTTGTCCGAGAGGCTCCCGTCTTATATGATTCCGGCGATTTACTTCAAGCTTAACCAACTCCCGACTAATAGTTCAGGCAAAGTTGACAGACGACGTCTGCGCGAGCTCGGGGCTGGCTTCTCCGTGCAGGAATTAGTTAACCTCCAGAACAGGTTCGGCCTAGAAGGATCAAATACCCCGTCCACGGATGCGGAGCGGGCATTGCAGGCGATCTGGGCACGCGTCCTGAACATTGACGCCGCCAGCATTGGTGTTGACGATAGCTTCTTTCGCTTGGGCGGCGATTCAATCACTGCAATGCAGGTCTCTTCCGCTGCTCGCTCCTCCCTTGGGAACGTTTCTACTGTGCACGTTTTACGGCGGAAGACGATACGACGTATTGCAGCTTCAATCAACTCGGCAGTCTCACTAGCTTCACGATCTGTCAACGGGGATGTCGTACAACCAGATGTCTCGTTCGTTCTCAGTCCTATCCAACAGCTGTATATGCACTTCCAGAATGGTCCTCACCGCTGCTTTGATCAGCATTTCTTTCTTCGGTTGCGTTCTGTTGTTACACCTGAGTCGTTATCAAAGGCCATGCACACGATCGTGTCCCGCCACCCAATGCTCCGTGCGCGGTTTGACCAGAAAGATGACGGACAATGGGAGCAGCGAGTTGTCCCTGATGACGATTCCAACTCATTGTTTTATTTGGATGTTGTCACGGACCCGGACCCAAGCTTTGCTGAATTTGCAGCGGCAGGGCACGATATCCGCCGTTGTCGAGAAGCATTGAACATCGAAAGAGGCCCGATTATCTCTGCTGTCTTGTTTGGCAACCCCAGGTCGCAGTGTCTCTTTATCACAGCCCACCATCTGGTCATTGATCTCGTGTCGTGGAGGATACTCCTTGAGGACCTCGAGGCGCTACTTGCCACGGACCAACAGGCATCGGTATCATTGCCAATGAGCTCGACAAGTTTCCAGGTATGGTGTGCAAGGCAGGAAAAGTATGCTGCAAACCTGGACCCCGAAGCGGAGAGCCCTTCCAGATTGCAGCGGCCACGCCTTGAATACTGGGACGTAGCGAATGACGCGAATATAGAGGGAGCCACCACGACCAAAGACTTCTCTCTCGATTCTACGACTAGTTCTGCCATCCTCGGGTGGTGCAATGACGTGTTTGACACCCGGCCTGTTGAGCTGATGGTAGCAGCTCTCATATATTCCTTTAGTTTAGTCTTCTCCGATCGGCCTGCCCCGGCCGTGTTTAGCGAGGGACACGGCCGGGAAGCCTTTGATGATGGAATCGACCTCTCACGCACTATCGGATGGTTCACGACCATATTCCCTATCGAAACTACGGGCACGCCGGATACCGACTTGCTCGACCTGATCCGCCAAACCAAAGATGCAGTGCGTCAGCTGCCAGCCAACGGGTGGTCCTGGTTTGCCTCGAGATTCGCCAACCAAGCCCGCGCTCAAGCCCATCTTTCTGACTTCCCCGTTGAGATTCTATTCAACTTTTCTGGGCACTATCAGCAGTTAGAACGCGAAGAGTCATTCTTTGAAAACCTTGAGCTCCCAGCACGCTGCGAGCCTGAGACCTTTGCTGGACTGCGGCGGTTCTCCATTTTCGACGTTCTGATGGATGTGGACAGCGGATGTCTTACAGCGTCTATAGTCTACCCCAAGAAATCGGCTCACCAACATAGAATAGCCGCTTGGGTTGAATCTTACGAATCTCAACTAACTCAACTAACCATTATACTCCGAGGCATGAGGCCAGAATGGACCTTGACGAGCTTTCCCCTAGCGTTTAATTCATACAAGAGCCTTGATGAATTCCGTACCTCTTTGCTGCCTCTTCTTCCTGTTTCGAGCCCAGATGAAATTGAAGATATTTTCCCCTGCACACCGATACAGGTCCGTATCCTATCCGCTCAAGCAAAGGACTCAAGGAAGTATAGATGTGTCCACGCTTTCGAAATTGTTGCAACACGACAAGACAGCCAAATTGACCTCAACAGAATCGAGCAGGCATGGCGCAAGGTTGTGCGAAGGCACCCGCTCTTGCGGGCTCTACTAGTCGATAACATCCCTGGAAACAACGCGACAATGCACATCATCTTACGAGATCCGGAACCAAGCGTCTCCCATTTCCGGGTCAACAACGGGGACGAGAGCCTACCAAGCAACTACCTACCAGCTACCCCTACAACTATTCGCTACCAAAAGGGAGGCCTGCAGCATCATCTTTCAGTATACCGCGTCAGTGACCAGCGAGCCCATATTCGCCTCGAGATAAACCATGCCATCTTAGACGCAGACTCCTCCGATATCTTGATGCGCGACTTCCAATGGGCATATTCTGGTTCCTTGGATCCCATCGCCCCATCATATTCTGAGTATGTAAAACACGTACAGCTACAGCCGCGCGAGGATGGTCTCAGATTCTGGACGAAACGCCTCATTGGGGTCAAGCCTTGTCTCTTTCCCACACAAGAAGAGCAAGAAGTGATGCACCACTACAAGACCACTTTCACACTCGACGTGCTAGGCCTGGAGGTAGATAAGATCCGTCGCTTTTGCGCGCAATCGGAAATCACAGCAGCCGCTGTGTTCCATCTTGCCTGGGCGCTTGTCCTGCACCACGAAACAGGATCGGCTGCCCCATGCTTCGGTACACTCTCATCGGGTCGTGATGTGCCAATTGGCCAAGTACACGACATATTCGGCCCGCTCATCTGCCTACTGCCCTGCGTCATACAGCTCGACAGGCAGCAGTCTGTCCTGGATGCTCTACATGGCTTCCGCAGCGACTATTTATCTAGTCTGCCTCACCAGACGTCTTCACAGATGGAAGTGAACGCAGCCTTGGACATCGGCCCGGGAGGTCTCTACAACACTGCTATATCCTTTGTCAAAGGCGGCGAGGATGTCACTGAGGCAGATGTAAACACTATTGTCCAGCCCTGTGAAGGATTAGACCCTGTTGAGGTATGTCAGTCGCTACCTAGCTAAGATCGAAAACAATGATGCTAACTCTGATGGGGCGCACAGTACGATATATACGTAAGAATTTCGGACTTTGACGCCTCTTTGACAGCCGAGCTGGAGCTATGGGAGGATCGTATATCAATGACCAAGGCTCGAGATGCGGCAGAGTCCTTTAGTGCTGCAGTATCCTGTATTATTTCTCATCCTGAGGAGGATCTGTCAAGCCTGGTATGTACTTGGATGCCTTAACAAATCAGTATAGGTAGTAATATTCCGGTTATACATTGATTAGAGTTCTTGAAGGTACGGAAAACAAATGAAATTCTAAATCCTGATTCTTACTGATTTCCGGTATTTGTTGTTATTTGGTTTAGAGCATCTTCAGTTATTATTTTTGGTTCTGAAGTACCTAATAGAACAACGCGCTATATAAAATAAGACTGTAGCTTAAAGCCAACAATGGCCAGGACAAAATTAATCCCATATCTTATAAAACAATATTATCTTATTAGCTGGGCCCTACTAGGTTTATCACTGCTTGGTCCTGGTAAGCTTTAATCCTTAGTCCAATGGACAGAGTATAGGGTAGATTGCCCGGATCCCCTCTTGCTCAAAAGGGAAGTTGCTGCGCATTGGAAAAAGCGCTGCGCCTTTGATTTGCCATTTTGAGTAATTGATGCGCTGTAGTTTGCATGTATCCTTCCACTGGGGACTTTATTCAAATACCGCCCGCCTGCCCGCCCGCTTCCGCATCCGCAAACTTGCGGTTACATCACTTCAGTCGCGATGCGCAACACCGCACAACGCGCATGTTCCACATGCCGTAAGCAGAAGCGCAAATGCACCAGAGAGCTTCCCGAGTGCAGTCTCTGCCTGAAGCATGGAAGACGCTGCGACTACGATGAATCTATTCCGGCCACGACTCGCCCAGATGTGCCGCAACTCCCTTCCTCCCGCCCGCACATATCGCCCTCCTCTCCTGGCAACACGCAAGCATCGCCCTTTCGACCAAATGGATCATCACAGGATCTAGCCTTACCTCTTTTGGCACAGTCCAAGTTTCCAGCCTCCTTCTTCCTCGACCATGATGTATTTCAATTACTCGGTCGTAGTATAGAGCCAGCAACGGCAAAATTCCCGCTGTCAATATTGGATCCCGTTCGCGATCAAGCTCGAATAAGAAGCGATGTGGACATCTACTTTAATTCGACTCACACCTTTTTCCCAATAAGTGAGCTGACTGGTTTCCTCGAGCGACCGTGGCGCTGACCAAGTGACATAATAGTCTCCAAGACTCGCCTTTATAGAGAGATCAGCAACACCGGTAATTCCATCAACGCAGACACTGCACTGCTGCTATCTGCCCTGCACCTGCATGTCCAACCATCTGATGATACTGACCCGCCCTCCCGAGAGACCTACAAAGCTGTCAAGGCTTACTTCTCCCAGATTGAGGCCAGCAATGTTATTTCTCTTCGCCTTCTGCAAGCCGCCCTGCTCATCGCCTTGTACGAGGTGTCGAATGCCGTCTATCCCATGGCATATCTGACTGTAGGCCATTGCGCAAGGTTAGGACATGCCCTTGGAATTCATGCCAGAAAACGCGCTCCTCAGATTTCTCCAGCCCCCGGTAACCTCCACCTTTGAACGTTGATATTTTTATTCCGTACTGATCAAATGGTAGCGTCGTCTACTGAACTAGAAGAACGAAACAGGACATGGTGGGCAGTGATACTACTAGACAGGTACGTCAGCCGCGTAGACCAACAAAACATTGCTGAATTTCTGAAGATATGTAAATCTCGGTGGGAAAAACCGGCCATTCGCTTGCGAAGATGCACGTCCAGACGCATATTTACCCATGGATGATGTATGCTGGGATCAAGGGGTACTGTCCTTCTTCAAATGTTTGATATATGCCATTTTCTAATTCCTACCAGGGCCTCACTTTGGTTCAGCCTCTGGCAGTTTCCACATCCACTACGGTAGCTGCATCTTATTTCGCCAGGACGTGTCAAGCGGCCCATCTCTTGTCCAAGGTTTTTCGTCATTTGAACGACTTCGACACCGACCAAGAGTTCCGATATCAAGAAGCAATCCAAATACACCGCACCGTCCAAGCTCTGAGTTCCACGATTCTGCTTGAAGCTGAGGAACAAGTCGAAAAAACCTCGGATAGTACTACGCATTTGGTTTTCTGCACTGCGATAGGCCTGTGCTTCAGCGCGCTGTTCAGCCTCTACAACGAGTATTCCTGTGTCGACAAATTTGCGCCTGAGCAGCTCAAGAGCCCTCACCTCCGGGACATGCAGCAACAGGCGTTTTCTGGCCTCGGAGATATATGCGACGCGGTCCTTCAGTTATCGGCTCGCGTCTATGCCGCAGCTGAACTTGGAGGGCTGATGAAGACGACCCCTTTGATAGCCGATTGCCTCTACCAAGCCGCTGCAACCTATCTTTGGTATAGTCACGAGACTGGAGTCCAAGAATGGCATGGGAAGATGATGGAAATAAAGAAGCTATTAGTGACAATGGGTGTCAAATGGAAGTCTGCAGGTAAGTATCGACTCTAAAATTCCTGTTTCAACTTGGCGAAATTATCTTTGGTGCTGATTCAAGTATGCTTTTAGGTGAATATATCCAGCTTCTTGAGGCATACGAAGCCTCGGACAAGTTTTGAACGCCGCTTATTCTTCAAGCTTCTTGTCAAAATGATGAAGTAAATCTTCCCACGTACTTTGAAGTGGGATATCAATACTGGTAATTTCTGTGCGGTCAAGGCCACTAGGAAAGTTTTCAGGACTTCCACTTGGATGTTTGAGGATATTCAATCACCATCGAAATTCATAAGCAGTCTCACTCTAGTACTAAATATATAATATTATGTTGGAATTATCGTGGATCTCAATAACGCCACAATTTCTTAGTTACAATATGCCGAAATCCGTGATCAAGCCGTAAGAATGTCATGCAACCAATTGCACTCAAGTCTGATTCTGGGTACCTGCAAATGTCCCGTCTATGCTGATAAGTAGTAAGTGAGAGAGCTATGCAGCTGCTGAAAAAAAAAAGGGGAAATTCCCAAACACCAAGAATTTAACAACTTGACACCATACCCAGTATCACAACACATTAAACTTCAGCCTTTTTGCCCGGCCGTATACAAGGTTCAACACCAACAATGACTGTGACCAGCCGTACTATGCTGATAAGAGAGGCTGTTTAGTCCTTGACACGGGCTGGTTTAATTGCTATCTCGTCATGCGGGCGGGATGCGGACGGACTTGCGGAGCCGCCCGCAAGCGGTCATTCAGCAAGATGTCAAAGCGGGCGAGCCATCCGTCATTAGTAGATTGTAGCGCAGAGAGTAGCAAGATATGGCTTTTTGTTTGCCTATATATTGGCTGCCAGAACCCACGTATCCCATCTTTCAGTGCCAACTCATTCGTGTTCTTTAAATCATTCCACCAAGCGATTCGTTTTCGCCATCTCATCAAGTTGTTAACTACTACCTACTTCATCCTGGAACTTTCCCCAAGGACAACATATCGATTTGGAATCCTTCATTGCCATTGTATTTGGATTACCTGATAAACGGATCTCCGACACGTTCTACCTGTTGCTCCATTTAGAACAAAGATCACACCAGGTTACGCGGGTTAATTCAAACCCACCACGCCCTACAATGCCCTACAATCTATCAAGCCTGCCATCGCTCAAGGGCGCAGTATTTCTCGTTACTGGTGGGAATACTGGTATTGGCTACCACACTGCAAAGCATCTCGCTCTGAAGGGCGCTCGGGTATACATTGGCTCGAGATCTCCTAAGAAAGGAGAAGACGCAGTACAGAAGATGAAATCAGAAGCTACTGGTGTCGACATTGATATCCATGTCCTTCAGATGGACCATATGGATTTGTCTTCTGTTGTGAGAGCGGCAACTGAGTTCAAAAGCAAAGAGACTAGACTCAATGGGCTAGTGAACAATGCTGGAATTATGGCCACGGCATTTCAAAAAAGCGAGACTGACGGGTTTGAAGCCCAGTGGCAGACCAATTACCTTGCTCATTGGCTCTTAACTTGGTATTTGCTCGACACACTAGCCAGCACTGGTACCTCTACAAACCCAGCCCGAGTGGTCAACGTGACGAGCAATGGTCACAACTTCGCTCCAAAGGGTGGAATCGACTTTAATGATATCGACCAAACCAAAGGTGGAATCTGGTCCCGATACGGTATGAGCAAGCTTGGGAATATCTTACATGCCAAGAAGCTCAACCAACTATTTGGTCCTGATGGGTCGAATAAAGAGAAGGGTGGGATATGGACTGCTGCGGTGCATCCTGGTGCCATTGATACGGAACTCAATACACAGGCGGATGTTCCAGGAGTCTTCCAGAGTATGCTGAGGTGCTTTGGTGTTTATAAGACACCGGATGAAGGTTCATTCACGTCGCTCTTTGCCGTTGCGGGTCCAGAGTTTGAACAAAGCGACAGTGGAGGCTATTTCGTCCCAGTGGCTAAGAGGGCTACACCCAGTGCTTATGCGAGGGATGAAAAGCTCAGCAATGAGCTATGGGATTGGACTGAGTCGGAGATGAGATCTAGGAAACTGATATAGGCTTTCAAATGTCTTGTCAACACTGTCTATGTGTCGAGAGGTGTAACTAGCACAATTCCCTCGTGCTACGAGAGGTGTGAATATAGATGCGGGGAGATAGTATGTATAGTCGCCTGGAACAATTCGAAATAATTTCTGTCCATGCTGGTTGTGTCGTTATGTTCCATGGAACATGAAGATAGCACGACTTGCCCTCAACTGTCTATTTTGGCAAGATTAGTATCATTCATCAGGAATATCTCACAATTTTCTTTTGTCCTCTTTTGTCTTTCTTCTTTGCTTTGCTCTTTTCCAGATATGGCCAGCACACCATGTCTCTTCCAATATCTGCTATGGTTATTATCTCTAATAGCTAGTAGAAATCAGCGTCCTTCTATGATACTAACTTTAGTTACGGTAAATCCCGCTATTCCACCCTTTGCCGAGAATACAGGGATATCTTTATGAATTCAATATTTGAAATCATACGGTATTGGCAAACCGGCCACTGCCAAATGCGGCATGCAAATCCGTTGTTTAGTACTTTATGTTTAATTGCACCAAAAACTCTGCCACCAATAACATTGCCTTAATATCACTCTCTTCTTTTAAGCTTGGAATTAAGCACATCCGCCACTCCCGGGAGAGAATGGGGTACCTGCCAGGTCGCTTGAATCTCGCCCAACCTCTTGCTGTCGCTTGTTTGTCCTAATGAGAGTGTACGTTTGTAGGCAGTATCTTCCTGGCTGATCAATCTTCGACAACTGACTGATCAACCGTCGCAGAGCACACTACAGTGACTACACTAATCAAGGCTTCCGAAATCTGGAACCTTGTACTTACTTACACTCCATCGGGATGTGGGAGATTGTTGGAGGCACGAGTAACAACCCGTTTTTCTGCAGATCCCCAAACGGGCAGTACCCGAACGACGCCTATCTCTTTGAAGCAGCTAGAGCAGCAGTTTGTATACAACAGGGGTGTGGCAGGGGTATGATAAGGGTCTGATTAGCTGAAAAACCTGCTGCTAACAGGTATATCTATTCCTATACTAATTTAGCTTATAATAGAAGTCCTAATAAGCCTAATAGCTATAAATTACTATATTATATATCTTACAGCTAGATTTTATCTATATAGGCTATTTATTATAACTTTATAGTTATAAGAGCTATCTTTAGCTATTCTTATTAATCTAAATATCTTAGTAGCTCTTATATAGACTGCTCTTATATCTTAAAATATATTTATACTATAAAATAGATATAGTTATATTTCTAGTATAGTCTTTTTACTATAAGCTTACTTTATAACTATATTCTCTTAGAAAATTATAAGAAATCTATTTCTATTATTTATATAAGGTTTATAATAACTTCTAATTTAGTTAGCTATACTTCTAAAGTAAGAAGCTATTATAAAGAGTAAGTTTAAAAAGAAATCTTTATATTAATATCTACTAAGAACTCTTATAAATATAATATTCTAATCTCTCTTAGCTTTAAAGCTAATTATTTTAATCTACTATATCTATATAATTATTATAATTAGTAGTTATAGATATAATAAATATTTCTTTAATTAACTCTATATTAAAATATATATAGATAATTTATATCTAAATATATATTATAATTAGCTACTTCTAAATATATATTATAAACTTTATACTCTTATAGATTATAGAAAGTAATAGTATAAGTATATTATTCTTCTAAGTAATTTAATTAATCTAAGAAGTTATTAGTAGGGAATTTTCTAAGTAATTTATTTTAAGCTTAATTAATCTAATTATCTAGTATTAGAACTATCTCTATTTAGCTCTATTTCTACTTTAACTAGTTATTATTATTAGTTTTTTTAAACTATATAAGGCTTTTAAAGATATTATAATTTATATAGTAGATACTAATAGCTTCTATATTTAAATCTCTTAGAATAATAAAAAGATTTAAACTTAAAAAGAGATTATCTAGAAAGATATAATATATAGCTAGTAATAGCTATTTTACTAGATTAATAACTATAGTCTATATTAGATTAATAAAAATCTTATTATCTTACTTTCTCTTCTTTAATTAGAATTTTTTATTACTAATAAAATTAAATATCTTTTAAGATAAATATAATAACTATAAGAGAAAATAGCTAGTTTTAGTTATAGCTTAGATTTTAAAGTTTTTAGATATTAACTTTAATTTAATAATTACTTTCTTAAGTATTTTATTTTTAAAGTACTAGATATATTTATCTATAGCTATATTTATATTTAGAATCTAATATTAAAAAGAGACTTATTATATAACTACTAATTATTTAGAAATCTAATTAAAAGAGCTTTTATAGAGAACTCTTAGATTATATAGTTAAAATAAATAATATAGCTATTTAAAGGTTTTATAGTTTATAAAGTATATAATAAAATAAAAGGGTTTTATATTTTTTAGCTAAAAAATATTTTAATAGTTTTAAATATATATTTTCCTATAATTTTCTATATAAATTAAGATTCTAAATAAGAGATATATATAGTTAGAGAAGAGAATCTAGTAATTCTAATTATTAGTTTATTTATATATATATATATATATATAGCTTATATATTATAAGCTTAGCTTAACTATCTATCTAGTTAATTAAAAGATTATAATTTATATAGCTAGTTTATAATTTTACTAGATCTAGAAATATAAAGATCTAGAATAATAATAAGAGTATTAATAATAGCTATATAATATATAATTAATAAATTAGCCTGATAATAAAGAGATTAAAATATATATTATACTTCTTAGTTTCTAACTATATAGGGTAATAGATATAGTTAGCAGGTTACTTATACTAAGCTTTATTAACCTATATATATAATTTAATATCTTTAGAAACCTTATAGACTATAGCTAGATCTGGATCAGGATAAGGAGGAATACTTACTATAGTAATTTATATAAGGAAGCTTCTTATATTACTATATATAGCTCGAAGTTACAGCTTGAGGGTTTTAATAAAAGTGGGGAAATACCTAACTGCTGCTCTAGCTGCTTCAAAGAGATACACGCGCCAGCGAAGAAACGGCAAGGCCTACAGCCAAGAAACGGCTGAGGGTTTCGAAATCGGGCCGGAACCCTATCATCTTTTCTCGAGTATCGAGATGACCTGCCTTGGCAAATAGGCAAACTAGTCCAATTCCTTGCAATGATTTTAATAGCGCCTTCGGCGATGCACCATTCTAGAAGTCGTGGATTAGAGGATACTCTAGGGAAATACGCATGCGTGAAGCGAAGGTATATATTATTCCCAACACTTGCGCTCCAAGATGATCATGTACTTCTCATGCTTCATCTCTACGGAGTATCCCCTCTAGGCCTCTTACGATGGTGCCTCTCAATGCCCGGTCAGCCCTCGTGGCACTGGCCGTGGTGCTCTCTTCTCTTACCACACCATCCGCCGCAGTTGACATCGTCAATCTTCGCCTTCGCATCCTCCCCCTCGGCGACTCCATCACCAAGGGCAGCGGCTCCAGCACCGTCAACGGCTACAGAGGCCCTCTCCGAGACAAGCTCACCGAGTTTGGTGCCTCTGTGGACATGATCGGGACTCTTCGCAATGGCAACATGAAGGATAACAACCACGAGGGGCACAGCGGCGAGTACCTTGGCGATATCAAGAACTACTGGCAAAAGCCCATGCAGGCTCGCCCCAACGTCGTCCTCATCCACGCTGGCACCAACAACATGGACAAGGAGGTCGACCTCGACACGGCGCCCCAGCTCATCACGGGCATCATCGACGGCATCTTTGATGCCGCCTCCGACGTGACCATCCTCGTAGCCCCCGTCATCTGGGCCAACGATGCCCGGATGCAGCGCAACACGGATGCATTCAACGCAAAGCTGGCGCAGATAGTCGTCCTCAAGCAGCAGGCTGGCAAGCACATCCTCCTCACCCCTATTCCCATCTCCTCCACCGCCGATCTCAGCGACAAGAAACATCCCAACAACGCGGGCTATGCCAAGTTCGCCGACGCCTGGTACCTGAACATCAGAGAGGCTGTCAACCGTGGCTGGGTAAAGGACGCCGTCAAGGTCGACGCGAGCAAGATCCCAGGCGTCGGTCTCGGGCAAGGGGGCAGCAGCGGGGGATCCTACGCTGGCTGCGACGGCGGCAACTGGTCGCGCAAGGGGAGGGTCTTTACTCCCAGCAAGGGACTGTCCTCGGACGAGGTCGTCCGCTTCGCCGACCTCAACGGGGATGGCAAGGATGACATTGTCTTTGTAGACGGCAAAGGAAAGGCCCGCGCATGGCTCAACGAGGGCCTTACCAGCTGGAAGTCCCTTGGCGAAATTGCGCCCGGCCTCGACGAAGACTTGTCGAAATCTCGCATCGAGTTTGCCGACGTCAACGGAGATAAGAAGGACGACTTCCTCGTCATCTACGGGGGCGGCGCTGTAAAGGCCTACTTGAACAACGGGAATCTTCCCAAGACCAGCGATGAGCGAATCTGGAAGCAGGCCGTTGAAATATCTCCCGGCGTCGGCGAGCCTGGAAGCAAGGTCCATTTTGCAGACCTCAACAAGGATGGCCACGACGACTACCTGATCATCTACGATGGCGGCGCCGTCAAGGCGTACCTCAACAACAAGAACATCCCTGACAAGGACAAGGGGCGCTTCTGGCAGGAGGGGTACACGGTCGCCACAGGCGTCGGCCAGCCCGGCTCTAAGGTCCGGTTCGTAGACATCACCGGTGACGGAGCCGCCGAGTATCTGATCCAATATGACGGCGGCGCCGCCAAAGGTTATCACAACACAGGCAACATTCCTAACGCTGGCAAGCCTCGTAACTGGGTTGCGATGGGAACGATTGCCGGTGGCGTAGGCGACCAAGGCCCGGTGAGCTATGCCGACCTTGACGGAGACGGCAAGGATGACTATCTAGTCGTCCGCAGCGATGGCAGCGTCGACGCCTGGATCAACTCGTGCGAGTGGAATCCTGGTGAACCCAATGTTAGCGACGGCGGTGCTGGCGATCCCAATATCGGCCAGGGCGATCCTAGTCAGGACGAGGACGAGGACGAGGATCAAGGGGAAGGTGAGGATGGCCACAAGTGGGATGTAACCGAGGGCGACCCTTTCGATGAGCTGGACCCCGACAACGTCCCCGAAATCTGCTCAGCCGGCCAGGTCACACCCGTGAGCGGCAAATACTTGTACGTGCCCTGCAGAAGGTTCGTTAAGACCTTTGGCGGCGACGATTCCAAGATCGAGGGCTGCTGCGTAGTGTATACTGGAGAGACCAGGTGCAAGAAGTGGGCAAAGTCACTGGCAGACGAAGCGGTTGATTCCATCTCTGTCATGGACAGGCAGGCTACCAAAGACGGCGCAACAAAGTCCACCAGCAAGGACAATTGGCACGCCAGCTTTCTACTGGGCACGAGCGCGATCCCCAACCGGGATGTTATCCCGGCCTGGACCAAGGCTATGATACAGTGGGATCAGAAATACATCCCTGAGCAGATTGAACTCCGCGTCAAGACCAAGGGCTTTCAGACCGACACCATTTGGATGTATCATGAATGCGACAACTCTGCAAACGAGGACCCCAACGATGACACATTCTGGGATGGATTCCTAGACCCAGATGACAAAGACGTTTAAGGGCATCTGATAATAGAGGTAGTAGCCGTATGTTAACAAAATGAGAAACAGATGGGTTAACATAGTACGGAGGACTCTCGTGGCAATACCTCGATTTTCATTGATATTCTTGTATTGTATTTATTCTTGGCCTTTACAAGGCAGAAGTTCATATCGTAATGTTCCAGAAACTAAGCGGATTAAAATATCTCTCGCCCATTCAGTTTCTGGTGTGAAATGCCATTCTCGTATGCTATTAAGGGCATTTTCCATCTCCAAGGCCTCCTTCTCAGCTCTTTTCTCTTTTTCGCCATCCGTGAGAACATCTCCGGCTTCGTCTATATTATCCTCCGGACAAGACATATAGCTCCCTTCGTAGGTCATATCAAACATGCTATAGGCAATAACGCCTGAAAGATCTGCAATTGCCATAACACGAACCATGCTCCCAGCCTCCTCCTGCATTATGATACGCAAATAGGCTGTACAAAAGTATGGCAATGGCACTGTCAAGGTGGTGCACGGAGGGATCGAGCTGGCGGGTTCAATCGCTATAAGCTCCTCTTGCTTTATGCCAGTCCAAGAAAGAGGTACGAGCATCAAGCGGCTGATCGGATCGTCGAAAACATAGCGAAAGCCTTGGTTCGCGAACTCGGAGAGATAGGATAACGAGTGATCACCGACTGGCAAGCCTCTGGCTTTGACGATGTTGTCTGCTAAATGGAGCTGTTCATCCGGGACAAGGAATAGTAAATCCTGTCAAGAAGGTCAGTGGCATGTACAAATTAAGTCATCGGGTGGGTAAATCACCTCCTTAGGTGCAAGAGGAACTCCTAGCCGACGAAGCAGAGGAGTTTCCCATTCCACAAGAATGATCTTTGACTCATTAAAGTCGTTTAAGATCCTAAGAAGCCTAGCGTCTGATGTGTGCTCCATTTTCTGCATGGAAAGAGGACCAGGAAGGATGTTGTTAGGTTGAAATTGTTAAATCAGTCCTGGCACAAGGTGTCACAACGGGATTGGCGCTCCACAGTTCTGTGAAAATTTGCTATCTATCTTTATCATAGACCCTAGGTACCTAACTAAAGACAAGGTACCTCTCGAGTTTGAATAAGGGAGGCAGGAGCGATCGGCTTGTCGCAAAAGGGCCAGCCTACAAGAGGGGAAGGTTTGACTATCAGACCAGACTATCACATTGCACAACTTGGTCACCACAGTTATTAGGTTCGATTAGTTGACTACTCTTCCTAGCTAAATCCCTTCCGACTCAATCCGATTCCAACTGCGTTGCTGTAAGATGGATCCAAGATTGACCTATTAGCATTACTAGGCAAGATACACTAAACCTCTCAGCTCCCCTAGACTTTCCAGTCTTGTTATATGCGTGATTTGCTGTCTTGATTATATGGCTTCTAGGTCGCTTTCACTACAACAAAAGGCGGGCTTTCTAAGAACAGTTTCCAGAAGTCGGGATCCTTCTGGATCATTTCCGCCCTCTCAAAAGGTATAACCTCAATATCTGTGAAGCCATACTTTCTCTCCACCTCGAATGAACCAGACAGACTCGCTTCCATAGAAGCAGCCTGGTATTCCCAAACAGGATCTCCGGGAATAGACACGGTATAAGCCAGACCTCCCGGGATAGGTCTAAAGTTCTTGTAAATGTACCCATACTTGCCAACTTGGAGGCAATGAGACTTCGCGTCTGCAACGCGGGCGCCGAGGAACTTGCCACCAGGCTTGAGGTATTTCTCAACGTTCTTCCATACCCCCTCGAGCATCTGGATACTGCCAACATGGTCCAACACCCAATTCACCATGATAAGATCATAGGCCGGTTCGAGCGGCAGATGGTCCAGTGGCAATGAAACATCGGCTTCAAAGAAGCGCAGTCGACCTTCCCGCTGAAGAGATTTCTCAACCTCCTCGGCGACTTGAAACATTGTGGGGGTTATGTCCACAAGGTCGATTCGAGATGCACCCGCATCGACAGCTTCTCGGGCGTGGACACCAGCACCGCCGCCGAGATCAAGGACAAGCAGCCCCGAGGCATCTCCGATGGCGATTTTGGCAAGCTCGGACTCTAGAATTCCCGCAGGCTTGAACTCGAATTTGTTGTACTGCTCAGCGTGGTTCATGTAGCCTTCTTTGGCTTGATACGAGGTAGACATGGTGCTCTGTTTTCAATCAGACAAAGGTGGGAAATGATTCTGGGCAAAAGCAAAACGATTGATGTATCGGACTCGAATCAGTGGTTGCTACTCTCCTATTTAAGCTATTTGCCTACGCGAAGGGATGCGGCGAGGTGAGGGGTCCTGCACGATAACATCCCAAGATCAACACACATCCTACCAGGTTGCTCAGGTTCATGGAAGAATCTTTCCATAGCACTCGAGTATACGTAGTATACCTGAGTAATTTCGGCTGCACGCCAAGGTTCCGTACGGGGGGGGTATTATGGCAAAATTGCCACTTGCTGCAAATATTGTAGCTCCATGTACTAAAGCAGATACCGGTGCAAGCAGAAAGTGACATATCACGCTTCTACTTCATAATACTCATACTTGCTTAGAGTTTCATGCGAGCAATTATACAGATACGAGAGCGCGTGCCACAGCCAGCATGTGTGTTCGAATTGTATTGGGCGTACGTTGGGCATTCAGACGGAGTGAAGAGAGGGAGGGGTAAGGCGCAGCGCATATCAAACTATCGTCAAACTGTCACGGCACATGATCGATGGTGGTATGGTGACATCGCCACTACGCCTGCTTATCAAGTGGCAGCATGTTTAGCTGAAGGCAAGCTCCCTAGATCTATCTAGAAAGCACAAAGCAAACAAGTCTTGCGGTACTTGACAGAGCGTGGCAAAGTATCTGAATAACGCAGGCCAGAATGAGACTTGTAGTATATTTTTCGATGTATACAGCGTTTGACATCAAGGGGCTCAATCCAATCACATCGTTCACACTCTTATTGAGTGTCCTCACCAGGCTAAGCCTCGATTCCGCGGACCTGTTCGTCATTTTCTCGGAGAGGCCCCCACTGAAGGGAGACGTTGAGCGAAACCTGCCCGGCGGGAATATTAATCGAGAAGGCTCCATTTGGGCTCCTTTGTCCCCTTTCCTTGTAAAGCTTAACGAAATGGGCAACCACAATCGCAATGCTCAGGCATCTTATATTACAAATATCAGTTAAACTTCTGTTTGCTATGTGTATGGGGTAGATAAGGGAGGGAACTTACACAACAACAGCATCAAGGACTAGAAAGAACCAGACGGCAACGATGTATTTCGTTTCCCAGTGCAGGCATTCGGTATATGAGCCAGGATACTGGCTTTTTGGGTCATCAAGTGATTTGTTACAACTGAGGCCACTCCAGTAGATTCGACGAGATATCTGATCCCCAACAAAGAGGAACACGACGAAGGCGTTGGAGCCATAAATGAGAATACTAAGAAGCGTCGCGGTAGGTTTCCCCTTGGTCTTGATCCAAAGCGCGTTGAATGCGCTGAACAAGCCGATGAGGACTCCCTAGTATCTCTATGGGTTAGCTTAGGTCATGTCATGGCTTCTTGGGGAGGTAACAAACGAGGAATGCGTAGGAGGCGCCATCGTAATGAAAGGTCCAGTCGCTGTCACCGAAATGAGACGAGCCATACGAGTTCATCGCAAAGAGGATACCGAGGAAAACGACCTGTAAACAGCTGAGAGCCGTCATAGCCCAACTCATGAAATATATGACGCGATTGACGCGTGACGGTGGCTGGCCGTGACTGGGACCAGCTGGCTCTGTGGTTGGCTCGCCCTCATCCCGACGTTCCGAGGGCTGCTCAGCAATATCGCTGTCGCCATGGGTATCAACGAGCAAGGGCGTCGCTTCAGTGGGATGCGGGGGCAAATGCGAAGAGGCCATGACGAAGATAAGGTTCTCCTCAATCGTGATCGTTGTTTCTCAAGGTCAGTAATTTTGATGCGATTGTGCTGCATGAGTGGCGAAGCTGACCGCACATACTATTTTTAGATACTGCTCTAGGCAACCAGGCAATGAGGCAACGTGTGTTTTTATTCATGTTAGATCTGATTCTTCCTAAAGCTGGATAACCCTTTTTGCTACCCTACCCTAGAGCCTCTATCCTTCCTCCGATGACTTACTCTTTGATAGTCCACTGCACTTCAAAGTTCCCTAGATAAGCTGTAGTTGAATAAAGCCCAGAAACTGTCTTTAGATTAGGATGTTCAACATAAATCTAGTCGCACATACTGGTCAGAATGTTGGCTAATAGGCAACGACACGACTGTCTTGTAAACTGACCATCAATAGCCACTCAACCATTACATACATGGGTATGGCGTGAAACAGAGATATTTTTGAAGATAGCGGCACTCGTTTCCTTCCTTATTCCATGCATCTCCTAGGATCTCCTTGAATTGGGAGCGAACGGCCCTTACACTGAGAGCACCCTTTGGCTGCACGTACATATGTTTGCTTTGCTTAGATACGGAATGGTTAGGTATTCATGACTAAAAACATTCATGCTTGGCCCATGCACCATTTCCCTTACGCGTTGTGCACGCACGCTGCCATGTCTCAGATTGGACACTGATCTGCAGCCTCTGCTAAGCTATGATGTGCCTATGCTGGAGCCGTTCGAGTTCCTCTTTGTTGGTCCGGATATAACAGTATGTTGAGCCTAAAGAAATACTACGTACATGCGACATGATGTGGATTTCACCAATCGATGTTCAGTAGTACGCACGCTGCTGAAGGTGGCGCTGCCCAGAAACAGGGTTTACCCATGAAAGTACACAATGCATTGGCCAACCAACCAACCTGCCAGCTACTTGACACCGGCATTCTGAGTGCCCTTGTTCGGTGGCATGTTGCCCCTCTCTCCGCGCAAATCCCGATCTCTCTGCTGCTCTGAGGTGTGGCGTGACAGTACCGCGGTCAATTTTCCGCTAATAACAAGAAGCTATTGATCGGAATGCCTCGTGTTGCCCCCCCGAGGACCACATACTGCCAGCACTGCAAGCGGCGGAGGGTTAAGGTGAGTCGCTAAATTGGCTGGCCTTGCCACTTTTCCTCTTCTCCCTGGAGCATGCCCGGCCCTTGCGGAAGGCGTTTCGGTTTCTTTTGGTTCCTGGTGACTAACTCGATATCGTCAGTGCGACCAGCAGTGGCCGACTTGTTCGGCATGCCGCCGAGCCCAGCTCGTCTGCCCCGGCCCTACATCGATGATCAAGTTTGTACATAACGAAACTCAAACCGTGAATGATGAGACCGGCGGCAATATCATGCAATCGTCAGCCTCTTCAATCCCTCGAGGTGGTGGGAATGGCGATGGTCGCGTCATTGTGGCCCGGCCTAGTTCACTTGTGAAAACGTACCAGAATGGTTCCGTGGCTCGCTCATTCCGCCTTGTCAACTCGAGGCCCTCCATGACGCCTTCGGACCGGGTTGCGTCTCTCCTCGTAGCCATGATGAATCTGGATTCGGAGAGTGTGAACATCGCTGCTGTCTTGCTTGGCCGGCTCAGAGAGAGACCTCCGCGTCTGTCGGAGAGTGCCTGTCTACGTGACGCCGTCGCCCACAAATGCGCCAATATAAAGGATATGTACCTCGGTCTGCAGACACCAAGTCTTAGCACGTTGAAGCTGTATGGAAAGGCACTGCGCAGTCTACAACAGGCGCTGAATGGTCCCGAGGCCTTGAGTGTGGAGACATTCGCAGCCGGTGCCTTGATTCATGACCAACAGCGAAAGGACCATATTGAAGGGATGCTGTTATTGATGAAAGCAAGAAGTCCGCCCAAGCTAGACGATCAGGTTGAAGTTGACATCGCAGCCCATTGTTATGTTGGAGTGGTAAGTCATATTCTTCACGGGTAATCTTATTGGAATCCCTAAGAAGCTGACACTAACTATTTCTCGATCACAGAGGACCTATAAGTTTCTCTATGGCAAGATCGAGTTTCTGGAGTCGCAGCCATGGAAGGCAGCCATGGATGAAGTAATCCAAAGGACCAGTGGGTTTGATTTCGATGATCCAATGGGAATTCTTATGACTCGTTACCAAGAGATTTGGCCCGGTTGGGTTCAAGACGCCAGGTTGATTTCAAGAGATCCTGATACTTTCAAGCGGAAAGCAAAAGGTCTAACGGCAGAATTTCTTGTATCTTTATCCGAATTACAGGAACTCGAAGCCCATGACTGGGAATCGATTGCTGCGGAGGGAAAGATCAGGGAAATATCTGACCCCGATTTCTTTGTTGGCAGAAGTTACGAGGTTGATGATCTCGAACCAGCGCTGATCCTCCTCGACTCTCTTCCTGTACAGCTAATAATTATTCGAATGGCCTATGACTTTGCGATCCTGTACGATTGGCCGTTGGCGAGTTGACCATGTTGAGAAACCGAGAGCTCTCTACTCGGGCATGGATGCTCATCCCTTATTTGAAAACCCAGAAACGCGAAGAGATATACTACTTCTCGTCTCTTTAAGCTGACATTTGAAGCAGCGGAGAAACGGGATCAAGAGCATTTGATGGACATTGTTGAGTACCTAGACTGTGTCCCCTTGGAGCCGGGCCAGGACAGAACCGAGGTTTTGACCGACTTGATAACTAGAGAGGCTAAGATATTCTCCGGTCGTCTTGTCCTAGAGAGTTAAGTTCTTGTGGCCCTGCCCTGTTGGTCTGAGATCAGTCTCGGGAGGAAAGCTGGCGGGGGAGGAAAAGTCCCGTTTAGGCTAAAATTATCCGGAAAGATAACAGTTCTATTATAGGTCAGTTTAGACTCCTTTCTTCGTTTACCGCGCATTAATATTTGATAGTAGTCTATTGTTGAATTATTCTTGTTGATCTTGTGTTATATTCTACTTCACTGTACGTATTGCAGCTATTTATTGTGTTGAGTTATCGGGCTTTGGCAGCTTCTATTGCTCTCCAACTTTAATCTCTTTTCTCTTACGTATGTACTACAGCATCAGCCTCCTTCTAGCCTCCTTCTAGATAGTATCTTTTCGCTACAATCCGTAATCAGACAACGCCTTTGGTATAACGTTAACTTTAGTATACTACTACCATAATATATCTTACCTTTTTCTAAGTATAACCCGGAGGTACAGAACATATGTTCTAAATGGATTTAGCAATAATTAGTCTCCTAGGCAAAGCGTTTTGTTGCATTATCAACTATCTAGTCTAGATAGTTTTTTAACCTAAGCAGCCATCGGCTCACCAATATCCAGGAAGAAATATTTGGTTTTCCATGAGAACATCTGCTGGGGATTCTCCACTTTTAGGAACTCTTTGGCCAAATTCTTGAAATCCTCCGCCGAGTTTCCAAGTGTGCCATTTGCCTTTCGTCTCTTGACGACGTCATTGATGTGATTGATAAACTGCTTGATGGCATATTCATTGATATGAGCAATCTGTTCAGTTTTGTATACGATTCTCTTTGGGGGGATACCGCGCTGCTTGGGATTGTCTTGTTGCATGCTCACAGGCCTTGGGTTTTCAAGTTCCGCACCAGGCAAGTAATTCTCCTTGATATGACAATGAGCAGTTTCATTGTTTGGCTCTTTTTCTTGGAACTGAAAACCTTTCTCAACGGGATAGATAGCGTCATGACGTCCGAAACTCGTTCGATGGATGTGGTAGAAAATGCCAATGGGTACCTCATCGTAATCCAGGTCCATGAAATCCTGTGAATCTTTTGGAGTCTCCTGCTGACCAAGGAACAGTGCTTCGCTAAAGTTTCCCGGAGTACTCACATCACCCAGATCTCTCAGAGTATTCTGATTGTCCACATATGAAAAATCCTCAAGATTTCGGGGAGTTCTTTGGTCATTTGATCGGCTCACATCTGGAGCAACCGGCCGTTGTTCCATGATGAAGACTCTAGAAATTGGGACGGCCATCTTGTATGATAGGTTGATTCCTGTCTTTTCTTTTGCTGTTGTCTGCGTTCTAGACGATTTCTGGCTGGAAATTTGATACAGATGGTCGGTGATGATGAATGTGAATGCGGATGCTAGGAGAGGAGGAGTAAAGGATGTAAACGCGGCCTAGAAGTCTCCTATATACTTTTCTTTTATTTGCAGAGAAACGAAATCGTGAATAGAAGCTCGCTGTAATCATTCTAGAACAGCTAAGATTGCTCTCAGTATATTAGCAAATACTAATTGGCTTTTCCCGAACGTCGATTCGCTAGAGGAACCATTGATAATTAAAAGCATACAAGAGGAGGAACAATAAAAGTAACTAAACAGATGAAATCTCTATCGTTTTACAACAGTCCTCTTTCAATGAGACAAGCAAGGTTGGTTGCCTTAGTTATTATCGCGATTTAGGGAACACGGCTTTGCGTTTGAATACAGAATATCGCGAGACAAATTTGAACTTGACGATGAGTTAGTTCGGTCATCAAGGTAAGGAACAAACAGGTTGCTATAACAAACACTGAACACTTGCTTTTATCATTTACAGGAAAAAATGAGGTGAGGGGTTATATGTTAAAAAAGATGTATTCAATTACCTACTACAACGATGTTTTGAATCACATACTAGGAAAAGGATATTAAACTGGCTGCGAAGATGTATTGAGATCGAGAGTATTTCGAGATTCTGGATATAATCAAACTGATGATAGCCCGGTTATTTGTGAACTTTTATGCAGTGGCCTTCCCCTGAAGTAATGATCTAAGATATCAAGGCGTAGAAGAAAAATACTGCGTTTTCAATCTTGGAACAAGCTGCACCTATATTGTCGCATGTATAATTGGAAAAATATTTTAAGCTAAACTTGTATCTCATCAAACTAGTTGGAACGGTCGTCAAACCCAAGGGAAGTTTTAAAGTAGGTCTACGCTCTCTATAGTGCATTTTTATCATCCCCATTCCCCATACATATAATGACTCGTTAGGTCATATATGTTCATCTCTGTGTCCAGTAATACCTATACTGTGCTGGTGTTCTCTGCCCAAAGAGCAATGGATCCTGGGATCCCGGTCCCATGCCCCAGTAATTCAATTAAGATTTATCGCAAAGGCAGTGAGAGTATCTGCACAAGGTGAGTCTTTGGTGGCCTTGATGACATCCTATGCAGATCAGCTGCCTTTCATAGAGAGAAATCTCAACGTTTCAGTGTTCTGGTTTAGGAGTGGTTTATTTTTTTCTCCAGCTGATGATCTATCTCCATGTTTGCACTATGCTAAGAGATAAAGATTCAATAGCGCGCACATAAATTGGTTCTGGGGCCAGAAGAGCTAGCGAGCTGTTCAGGTAGAGCATGGGGGTGAGGTAAGGAAGCAGTAGAGAATGGAGGCTTGTCCCTGGCAGGCAGTGGTTGTAAGTGCAATCTTTGGTGGCGGACTAGTGGTTGTAATGAAGAAGGAGGTGGCGGATGACGATGAGCTGAAGAGGGAGGGGAGAGATTAGGTAAAATAGAGTGGATGCTTGGGCACAAAGAGAGGGAGAAAGAAAAAGAGAAGGCCATTGTGATTGTTTGTGGGCCAGCATTCCGGCCCTGTGCCCCAACTTGGTGGCGTCAGTGCGAAGACACGCGATAAGCATTTTAAATTTTTGCGAAGGCTTGAGTCTTCGTTCGGTCTGTGGATGATGCACGGTCGCTTTGTGGCTTGGTGAGGGCATCGGCTGCCGCAATAGCCGCTTCAACGCTGGTTGATGACACCGCAATCAGCAATATGGAGTGACTTAGAGCTACCACTACGTGAAGAATGAGTGGAATTAACACTATGGTCGCACATTTTGGCATCAAGTTTGAGACCAAAGAAATGCCCCAAGACGGAAAGGGGGAACACATCTATAGTAAAGCCCAACCCAACATCGACTGTATATTTAGGCTGTATATCGCACGATATGCTCTATTCTATTCTTCTATTCCCAACTCAACTCTCCTCTAGTTATCAAACTTCCTCGGGTGGAAGGTGAAACCCTTCCGAACACGCTGGACGGTGCCCAGAGATCGTGACCCTCAGGCGTTGTCTGCCTTGGCCTTTTTGGTGCCCCGGACCATGAGCCAAACATCACGCCAGAAGCCTACAGGCGCATCTTCCAGTGAAGCCTCGTAGGCATCAATGAGAGGGGCCTCCCATACTAGGTCTATGTCGCTAGCCCTGACGAACTTGGTCTTTTTAATGAGTTTCCAGCCGAGGAAGAGGCATGGTACAAAAAAGGGCATGAAGTATGCTGTAACGAAGCCACTGGCACTAAATGGAACGACCGACCGATAACCATAAAAGACGATGATGATCAGCTCCGAGATCAGAGCAAACCACGCACCGTAAGGCTGGAACCAACCTTTGTAAGGCAGCTTGTCGCGATTGAATCCCTGTACCTGGCAGGCGCGGTAGAATCGAATGTAAGTAATAAGAGCGGTAATGAAATAAATCAGAGTTGCACCAGTGGCAAGATTGATCAGCCAGGTCAGAACGGTAGACGAACCACTTCCGAGCTGCAGAAAGGCAAGGAATGGGAATATCATAGTAACCAGAAAGCAATAGATCGGGATTCCAGACTTGGTGACCTTTCGCAGGAATTTTGGGGCATGTCCTTCCAGAGATAAGCCATAAAGAGTCCTGGTAGCACTATAGAGGACGGTATTGCCAGCAGCAAAAATCGTAGTAGCAAATAAAGCGGTGATCAAGTGAGGCAGGCCATTGATGCCGAGATTTTCCATGGCAATGATGTAAGGTGAGGCGGCGGCGCTTCCAGTGCTACCATGTCCCTGGCCATAGAGTCTCTCGAGGATCTTATCATGGGGCGACACAATGATGGTGACAGCCAGGCATCCACCGATGAAAAAGACCAATATCCGAGCAAAAAGAGCCTTGTGAGCCTTCTTCACATACGTACGGGGGTGCTTGACCTCGCTGGCTGCAATGCTGAGGAACTCAGGTCCTACAAGAGTGAAGGAGGCGGTCCACAGAGAGGCAAGAAATCCCTCAAACTTTCCACTATTCCCCGTGCTGTAGTATTCAAGAAACGCTCCAGGGTCTTGCCAGTGTCGGAAACCATAAGCATCGTGTTGGGGGTTGCCGCCGCACATAGTGACCAGTGTGAACATCATGAGGATGACTAGGAGCAGCGCTTTCCCGCCGCAGAGCCAGAATTCGGCCGCGCCGTAGATTCGAACCGCAAAGATATTGATGACGCTGTGTGTGGGGGAAGCTGTCAGTAACGCCTTGTTCTGACCGAGTCGGGATTCTTAGCGAACTTACAAGTAAAGCACGATACAGACCGCGCATATAGCTCCTGCCGGGATGTTGGGGCTCCAAAATGATAAAACCAGGCTTAGTGCTGTGATTTCAAAGGGCACAATGAGACCAAGATAGATGTAGAAATTCCAACCACCGGCAAATCCAAGAGCCTTGTCAACCCAGTGGCCGGCCACGCGAATGAAACCACCACTAACCGGCATGTATGTTGTCATTTCGGCCATGGAGTTATTGATATTCGCGAGAATAATGCTGTAGACGATGAAACCAAGAAGGAGGCTGCCGGGACCTGCGGAATGTAGAGTACCGCCAATGCTGACGAAGAGCGCCGTACCAATACCGCCTCCAACACCAAGCATGAAGATGGTTCGGATTGACATCTCTCGGTGAAGTTCACTAGCTGTACTAACACGATGAACCTCACCGGTGCTGGGCTCGCCCCCCTCAGCGTGCGAGGCCTGGGCAGGCTTCTCCATCGAGGTGCGTAAGGAAGGCCCTTCTGATGAAGATGGATCTGTTTTCTGGCCAAACATTTTGGTTTGGTCCGTATCTTGGAGTATAATGCGAGTTAGGAACCAATGAATGGAAAGAAGGAATCATAAGATGAGAGAACAAGGCTGGGAAAACCAAATCGAGATTCATCCTTACTTATATATATTGGCCATGGATGTATGGAAATTTTCAATGGAGTTAAGAACGATCCGAGTATGCCCCCATGGGGTATCTTGGAGTATGGGGTAATGGAACCGAGTTTTCGTGATAACAGTGAAAATTGACGGGGCTGCCTCAGTTGGAACTCCCCCAAACTCTCATCCACATTTCCGGATAAGCCGAGTTTGAAGCGAGTCAGCATCATTGCTAAATATCCACATTTGACCCTGTTTGTATTTCATCATACTATAGTACGGAGGACTGTTTCCATTTTGGGTAAACATATGAGCGTTTGTGGGGATTTTTTTTTGGTAAACACTGGGAGCTAAGAACTAGAAGCTATCGGATGGTTAGCCCTTCAGAGGTCCATATCATAAAATTGCGTTCGCAACTCAGATGTACGTAGAGGTCAACTAGAGTACCCGAGGAAACTTTTTATCCATTGCGTTAAGTTTTCCAAGTGCAATCGAACAGATACAAATAAAAATGGGCACAGGTTACTTACTGGGTAATCCTACTGAGGCGTTCATGGTTGACGTATGTAGTCGGGACCCTGGTACGTGCTACGAAATTGTTGTTTCATTGGACCACAGCGTCATTGGGCGTTTGACGTAGCAGCAGGGAACATGGTCATGGCTTGTGTTCTCCATTGTGAATGTAGCCTGTCCACAAAGGGGAGATGAAACGTGTCATATGCCATAGAAATTTCTTACTGCCTATCACAACAAGGGCGCCTTCGCGGCTGCTGCAAGTTCTTTGTTCAAGACAGAAAGTAAACAGGCATAGCGCAAACCCGCTCCTTTTTAGATCGATGAGGCGAAATCCAAGCTTCGGGTTCTACTTCCGAACCCTGCAAAACGCTCCCGAGCTCCACAAGTTTACGCATTAGAAGCTACATCAGTATACACTCCAACCCCAAAGTTTCAATCATGACAATTCCCCTGCCTGTGAGAGATACCTCCCTACATTCCTCCGATTCCACCCGAGAGAAACTCACTGTTTAAGTGTTTAACCTCATACCAGAGTGATTTGTTTCCAAGTGAAGTGGGCGGATAGGTCTCCCGGGTCACTTCTGCCGATCGCTCCGGCCTCGGGAAGTCACTTTGTGAATATAAGAGACCTTTCCACTCATATCGATTATCCAGTTGGTCCCGACTCCAAAGGCACACTGCGACCAGGCGATGGGAGGTAATGTAGCTGAGGCTGTCATGACAGAGCCGGCCTCGCTCGTTCCCAGCCTGTAAGAGAGCAACTCTCTGGCCGCTCCGCAAGCAGGTTGATAAATCTATCTGCTCAACATACTCCAGGGCCGATAATGTGAGGTATGCAGGCTGGTATGACTGGGACTGCAATTCCCAGACCAACCATCCGGCGGCCAAGCCTTGGGAGTCGTCACAGCATTTCGCGAGTTCACTTTGGTCCAACTGTTCGCTCGAGTACCTGTACCCAAACTTGCTGGTTTTGGCGTCTGTCGGACCCCAGTGAAGCCCGGACACCTCGAGGTGTGGCATGGTTGCCGTGAGCAAATAGGTACGGATGCCAGTACCCTGAGCAACTCTCCTGAGTAGTTCAGCCATATCGTAGTAGATTTCTTTCCCGCATGCTTTGGGACAAAGCAGGCTCCATATCACGGCAGTATCGCCTGGCCTCGAAGCCGTGCGTTCCGCGAGGAGAGTTCCGCCTCCCTCAAAGGGTAAGCTGTGACCGGCCGAGGCGTCCTCAAAGAGGCTGAGGAGTTCGGGTTTCTTTCTGCCCAGGCGTCTCACCTTTTCTAGACGCTTTATCCGCTTGGCCGTGTCTACCACCGAGATGACCCGGTTCTTGGCGCAGAGCAGATGCAGCTGCTCGCTGCCACGGATGCCCTCCAGCAGCGTCCACGCCCTTTTGTTCCACTCGCTCTTTCGTCAGGCATTGTGAACTAGTTCCATGTCTTCTTCGCTGTTTGATGCAACGCATTCCATGATGCCTCTGTCGATCACCAAGACCACTACTGCGTTACCAAAGACTTTGTTGATATTGGCGATGGCCTCTCTCCGCAAGCCATAATCGTCCGGTAAGCAAGCCGCGTCGATCCAGAAGGAGTCGCAGTGAGCGTTCCATTGCCTTTTTGCGATAGCCCGGTACCACTGGAAGAGACACGAGTTGATTCCGAGATGAGGGCGACCGCCCTGGCCGTGGCTCCACACATGGGAATGGCCATGGTCCTACGGCTTGCCGGGATGTATTGTAATCGTGCGGACAGTACTTTATGATCTGTGATCTTGATCGCCCCGGCGGAGTTTTGCAATAGAGGTAAGATTTCTTGTCCCATTTGATGCGGTGACAAGTATTGGCATTGGAATCGCAGGTCGGTGCGTGCATGCTCTGGTTCTCTGGCGGTCCAACTTCAATCAAGTTTTCTGCATCCTCGTTCTCATCGAATTCTCCCGCGATTATCGACTCAACCTCGTGGCCAGTGCCGCAACTATCGCGCGCTATGTCGTGGGGACCAGTAATTTCATCAGAATATTTGATACGTTGACCGAGCTCTACATCAGCCGTACCCTCCCTTTATTGGCGAACAATGATTCTGAGAATCAACCGGAGTATCTTCGTTGGCACATTTTCTTTCGGTAGTTGGAGGTGAATACTACCCTGGCTGTCCCTGATTGGTCCCTGATTGCCGAGACCGATTTTTGGTATCCGGCTGTGTTGGCTAGCTCTAAAGTCAACGTTGGTTTGAGGCGCGCCGAGTCCAGAACGGTAGCCAGGAGGGGAGTTGCCTCTGTCTCCTCCCCTCCATAAGTAGGGTGGGGCTTCGCTCGCACAGTGATTCTTACATTTGCGGTGTTTTTATTGAGGCTGTCTAAATCGTTGTATGTTGATCCTGTGACGTCCAACTTATGATAGCCAGAGGTTGTAGTGGATCGTATAGTTTCGCCCTTTTCCTTGAAAAAGTACACATAAGAAGCTCGTAACCACCGCGAGGAAGCCGTTCAGCCATATCCATCCTGCCCAACCCGTGTTCTGACGTTTCGAGATAGAAGGCATCTATTCGAGTCAGTGTTGAGCTTTACTCGCAGATCTACACAGATTTCAAGGCGCAGTCAATTAAGTATTGAAGTGGTAATGTGCGGAGCGCTGCCCGGATCGATGGTTACGGAGTTCACTGCCACTTAAGTATCTGCTAGTATCTTTCATGGAAATTTGGTATACTTGCCCACTCTGCCACTTGCCAAAGGCCACGTAGAGGTTCTCTCGTCGAATCACCATCAGAACGATTGTCATATCTCATATTGTAAGCTCAGTTCCTCCAAGCTGAATGCGGGGGTCTGCAAACTATTGGCATCGCTTAGACGCAGTGAGACGTAATAAGCTGTAGAGGAAGGCCCTCCAATGGCACTGATTCGTCGAAATGAGAGAACACATTGGGTCCGGATGCTCCTTGAGGCGGGGTTCTCGGATACTGGAATCCTAACTCCGTCCGAACGTGACTAGTGGGTTGCAAAGTGATGCTCAGCTTGCATATACACCGCTACAATATCCAGGCTCGGGCGTAGCAACAACTTGCACCTGCTGCCAGTGAGCCTATCTGCCGTGAAGCCAGCCATGTATATATTGCACATAGAATTATACGGTTCTAGTGCGGGTAGGTAAGAGCTGACAGCAAATAGCTCTGTAAGGACTCGCACCTCTACTGAGGCCAATGCAAAGCTAGTCTAACACAGCATTTTCTCCAGCGTAGTTTACTTCTTCCCTTAACTGAGACAGACCGAATTCGACTACACAGCATCATGTCAATCCCAAGGCCCGAGGACAGCCCTGTCAGTTATGGCACCGAAGACCGTGTCCCATCGTTCATCCCAGTATCGTCGTCCAGGCTGGCTCTCATCTTCGACTGGGCTTCCCTACTCCCACTCGTCATCTGCCTGGCTAGTGGCCACTTCTCCTACCAGCCGGTCGGCCGCACGGCCTTGGCAGGCCGCATAGGCACTGGTTTCTTCTCGCCGCTGGGCGCCGCGCTTTCTGACTTCATGTCCGGGAGTCTTCATCGACCGAGCGTGTTCAATTTCTGAGCAACGCCGGACTGTCTGGGACACAAACTGGGACTGCAAAGATTCAACACCGACGGTACCAGACGCTTTACATTGTGGACTGCCAAAACCCACCCCAGAGCGCTCCTATCCCCCGTGCCATCCCATTTACACCAGTTTCTGTGCCTATAGCGTTGGAGAGCCTTATTCTTCTTAGCATCTTGGCCCTTGCTTCACTGACGATCCTATACGGCCTCTACGGTATCACCGCATGCTTAGTTGTAACATTCTTCTTCCGCTTGTCCCGGGGCCTTGTACGCGTTGCTCGCCCCGGAGGCTATAGATTAGGTGGTCGTACCGCCATACTTGGGGCGATCCAGCTCCTCAAGAGCGAAAAGGTCACCGCGTGGGTGGACGGCATCTTGACACCCTCGCCTCACCGGCGGTGTGGTTAGCTAGGCCGAACGGAGAGACGGGCGAAGTATGGAAGAAGTCGGAGAATGATTTGAGCGAGCATGATCGATCACAGCTAGAAATCAACACGAAGCAGTCGAGATTGGCTGCAGGGAAAATTAAGAGCGGTACAGGATCAGTGTCAACACCTATTGCGGCGTGTTGAGCTCGGCCTCATATCGAGAATATCGCCTATTGACTTTTACTGTATTTTAAAGCTTAAAATGAGAAGGGNGGTTTATAGCCCAATAAACTATGAATTACTTTTCATGATAACCTTTACCTAATATCTCATTAGTTATTGTCTCTTCAGAATAGTCTTTTCACCAAATTGTCAATAGTTCCCAATCTTCGCTTCTACCACGGGGCAATGAAAGAAGCTCCCACTTCATAAAACCATCGATATAACACTCGCCCACAAGATGATATCCGCCTTGTCTTGCTGGTCGTAATACGAAAGGAACTGATACTCCCGCAAATAAGCAGCATACATCACCATGCTGGGTAGCTAATGGACCAAGGCCTAAGTTGCCAGAGCTAGTACGAAAGAGTCGCCTGTTATGGGCATGCTTGAGATGGAATGCGTAGTCTAACCCTTCATAATGATCGTTTGGGTTAGGTAGCCCTGACTCTAACGCCGCAGCACGGCGGACAATATCCAGGTAGTCCTCATAGTATTCTCGGGTTCTTGTCATCTCGGAAGGGTCACTGAGTTGCCATGGCGCAAACCCTACAGCTAACACGGATGGAAATTGATTGAGTAGTTTCTTCTCGGAATAGGGCCAGTTATCGCCCACTTCCTCGTAAAGAACGTCAATGAACGGAACTCTGTTGGAAGAGAACGCAGTATCCCATTCAGTCCGGTCAAGTGATAGATTGTAGTCAAGAATGGGCTGTGATACCCATGATACCTCATCACATGCCAGGGCACGTACAGAGAGAGACTTGCAGGAGTTGACTTCAATCTGGAGTGTCGATTGGGGACCACCAGCAGAGAACCAAAATTGTGGGTTGCCGAGAGGAGCCGGCGAACTATCCTGACCCCAGCGAGGCACCCATGAAGGAAAACCACTGGAAGTACGTATTTCATCTCCCGAAATATGATGGGTGTGAGATAAGACATAGGGTGCCTCGCGAGGCTGCCTAAGTAGAGTACAGGCAGTCTGAAAATAGACATCTTGCCAGGATTTCTTATAGTCTGGCGTGATCATCATCTGACCGTCACCTGCTATTGCTAGCGGATTTCCTAGGAAGCCATAGACATAATCTCTAGGGTCCGTGGCCTTTAACCTCCTCCCGGCAGCGAGGACGTTGACAAACGCTGTTGGGATATTGCGGATCGCATTTGCTCGGTATGCCGCCAGCGGTTTACTTCGCCGCCATGTTTGGGTGTTGCGGAACCGACACTGCACATACTCGAAGCATTCCGCCGAGGCAACATCGTTGACGGGCCCGGAGCGACTTCTAATATCTGGTCGCATTGCGAGCCACAACTGCAGCTCTACATATTCGGAAAATGGCATCTTGGACTCTCCCCAATGAAGGATGCACCGCTTCGCCATTCCCGTTTCTTGTACGACCCATAGCCTGCGGAACCATGGAAGTGTGGATAGCACTCTGAGCTTCTCCCATCGGGTAAGGTCATTCTCAATTGTGGTAGAGTTGCCGAGAAATGGGAGGTTTCCCCAGTGACCGTGTCTCCGTAAGAGCTTCCCAAGGTAGTCATTCGTTTCACATATTAATTCAAAGCAATCTTCTGCAACGTTGGCAGGGTCCTCTCCAAGACAGACAAGTACGCTTTTAGCACTTTCGTACACGTGGCCCATCTTCTGCACCTGTTGGTTTCGCTCCTCAATATCTTGTTGGTTTATGCAAATGGCGTCTGCCCAGAGCTGCCTCGGTTTGTCTCTGTATCGAAGTTGGCCGAGAGCGCTTGCTAGGTTCGCTGTAATGCCAAGGGTTACTTTATTACATTCGATATCGGCCAGGTTGTTTGGATCACCCCATGCGTAAGATATTGCTTCATATTTATCTGCAGCGGCGGCTAAGGAAGTCGTTTTCAGGGTGCAGTGTAAAGGATCGTCCTTATCACCAGGTTCCAACACTATAAGACGTACCGAATCTCCGCTCAGTTCATCCGCATATACCCTGGAAAGAAGCCAGCTGTCCATAATCTCTCTAGTCTCCTCGACCATGCCCCGAAGCATGCTGATGCAAGCAAAGATGCCTGTTAGTTCTAGACAACAGTTGAATACTTGAAATCTAGGTAAGTGATACTGGACATTGCATTGGTGAGCTTTTGTTGCAATGCTCAATCTCATTAATGATGCAGCTCGAGTTTAGGAATGAGGGGTTATCGGCTGAAGTGTTTGGTTTGTTGACACCATTATTAAGCTGACTAGTACTATATCTTGTGGCGGCTACTACAGGGGGGCGAGCATAAGCACTATATTAAGAAAGCAAAAGCTCTACTCCGTAATTAGTATCTCATTCGTAGAAGGATTGTTAATATCTACCTACCCCTGTAACTAGGCAACTTCCCAGAGTCACGTGTTTATTCTCAGAGGATCGAGTGGCAATATTAATATGCAGGATGGGGTATCACTGCATCAATCCAGGAACCGCATGTAGGAAATGCCCATCGAGTTAATCCACGAGATATGAGTGGGAGGAAGCGCAAGCCTGGCGACTACGCCAAGGCTGTCGGTGTGCACGCATCACGCTCCAAAGAAAAGCATATTTTCTGTGGCGCCAACTTCCTACGCCTCAGCCTCCTGCTGAAGCAGAAATCAGGAGGCCGAAATGATCGCTTCGATGGCGAGACTCAGTATCCATTTGTGTTGCTACATGATCTTGCGCAGGAGCCTCAGGATACCAAGCGAATAGTGCCATTTGGCCGACCCCAGGACCTGTGGGACTTTGAGAGGGAGTCGCCGGAGGGGCGTTCATCCTCCGGGTTGGTTCTCTTTGTTCGGGGTTACCCGTCAGCCGACTGGGTCAACACGATTGGGTCCAAGTACAAAATTGACCCTGAAGTCTTTCGCGTATATTTGACTCCGCCATGGACAGAGGATGAATTCTTTGACATGCCGTCCTCTGTTCGGATAGCATCAAACACCATCACTCTCAAAATTCCTTCTATTGGTAGATGTACTGCCTCGACCATCCCATCAGCTGCCGCTGGGAAGTCCCTGGAACAGTACTGGAAGAATGTGAAACCCGGAGATTCAATTGTTCGCAGTTATTTCTGGCATGATCCAGAACTCTTCAGCATTGAGCAACATATCACGATATCCGTGAAAAAGAGAGGTCAAGGGTGGTTTGGTACGTTGAATAGCGCAACCTTGTCCTTGGATCAAGAAAATATTAACAGAATCCCATGAGGCAGTTCTCGTTCTTGTTGACAATGGAAAAGATCTTGAAGATTGTCATGAAGGGCCATGGTTCGACAACGATCCGCCCGTGGAAGAGGTCTTTCTCCCCGTTCTCCCTGCACTGCCAGGTGCTGCTCTTGACGATGCAGCTTCAAAGGGCTTCGAAATACCAAAACCACCGAAAGCAAGAGACCGAAAGAATAGCATACAAAGCGCATCGTTACTGGGTCTCAAGTGTCTGGGCCGGCCCATTGACCCGCCCCAGTCCGATGTAGACCCGTTACTCGCGGTACATGATCTGTTCCTTTTCGCCATAACAGCAGAGAAGCAGTTCTTAAACATGGTTAAGACACGCATAAGCATGTCGAACCATGGACCATGGCTCGGCCACGATTGGATGCTCAAGACTCTGGACACTATGTTGCACCATCAAGAGATCCTTCAGGATCATATAGCGTACTTGGCTGAAATCGTCGACTTTTTGGAAAACTACTCCCAACTACGCTGGGTGGGAGTGGAAGAGGCCAAGGAACAGCGTGACCACAAACTCTCCATCTTGAACCGAGAATTTTCAAACATGCTCCGAAGCGCAACAGCGCTCTCTAGACGGTGCCAGGACAGAATCGGCAATTTGAGAGGAACAGTTGCCATAATGGACTCCAGAGCTGCATATGCCCAAGCCGAGACAATCGGAAGGCTAACTAGGCTCGCGTTCTTTTTTGTACCATTATCTTTTTTGACTTCATTTTTCGGGATGAATTTTGTGGAATTCGGCACAGGAACTCTCGGTATCTGGATCTTTTTTACGATTTGCGCGCCGATGCTCGGGATATCGGCTATTCTTGGATTCATGCAGCCGCTGAAGGCCTGGATTGGATAATAGCATATGTCAAATTTAGTAGTGTGTCGGAGGAGCGTGAAGGAGCCACTGTGATAGTAGAATCATTATGAAATCATAGCGTGTTAGCAGCAGGTCAGTATATAATATCTTTCAATTAGATATGTTATACTGAGATGCTTCTTTGTAGCTTAGCAACATGGCATGTCTCGAATTGGGCATGCGACAGTATTGATACTACAGAAGGCGATCATATTTGATATGAATGAAACAGGATGGGCAGCGGTTCAGACTTCTACAGGGCCCAGTATTGTACTATTTCCTCTAGAACATGTTCATCCATCACTCTCCCGTATTCTTTGGTCATAGCTGTGAACAGTGCATCCAGCTTTTCTCTTGCTCTCGCCAAAGACGCTTCATCACCGACATGTTCTAGTGCTACAACAAGCTTTAGGAGGACTCTGGATAGCTCTGGCTTATAAAAAGGCTTATCCGAGAACACCTTGACAGCGTGCTCCAGGAGCTCTCTAATAAGAGGTTAGTCAATGAATCGTGAACGACAAGTATACAAGTTTCAAAATACTTACACCGCACGGGTCCAATTTCCACTGCGAAAGAGGTGAGAAGCAAGCGTATACGAGAGTCCCGCTACTCTATAGTGATTCGGTCCAAGAGTCTGATTATATTGTTCACGAGCAAGCCAGTGCGATTTCTCTGCCTCCTCTAGTAGGCCCTGGCTCATTTGAACATTGCCGAGTGTGAGGATAGCGAGCCCCGTTCTGTAACGATGAAGTCAGACCCCCAACTGTGAATAACACTTCGCGGGATTGATCTACTTACTTGAAAGAGGTAACATCATTGCTGCCGTGCATGTTGGCACGGTATTCCAGCAGCTCAGCAAGTTCTGCTGCTGCATCATCTAGTCTGCCAAGCTGCCAAAAGCAGAACGCCTTGTTCACTCTAGCAAATGTGGATGACTCAAAGTGTTCGAAGTGGCCTTCTTGTTCAAGATACGTGGATATTGCTTGATCGCAATATCCAATTGCCTCCTCCAACCTTCGAAGATTTGCTAACGCTTCTGCCATCTCATTATAGGCTTGGCCTAGGCGGTGGCCCGGTTTATCATCGCTGGCCTCTGCTGCGATGCAAAGGTCCAGCGCCTGCTTGGCGAAATCAAGGCCAATTTGGAACTTAGCAGTGTATATATGAACCTCTGCCTGGGCATGCAAAGTTTCAGATAGTCGTACCAAATTGGGCGTTGGCAAGGACTGGATGATGTTTTGACTTGCCTCCTGGAATGGCAAGCTTTGCAAAGGATATCCTCGTTCTAAGTAATACCTGCTCTATCTTTTAGCGAATATCATGGCCAGATAGAGAATCAATTACTTTACCATCCTGCATCTGATAGCATATGGGCAAACCTTTCCATCGAAGTATAATTGAACTCAGCAGGTGACTGACCGATATAAGCGTCCATCAAAGCTTGGATGTGAGGGAAGATTGGCTCGCAGACTGCCCATCTATCTGTACTATAGTCGTTGATACCAAATGGCCATGACTGATAAAGCAAATTAATACCAAGGTCAAGGATTTGCGAGAATCGGTCCGGAGTCATCCTAAGTCGAGCAGAATCCTGCACCAGTCTATGGATCGTAACTTCTTTTGTTCGAGTGTTTCGCCTGATGAACGAAGACCGGGTCAGCTGGTTTCGAGCCTCAATATAGTTCTGGAATGTTGATGGAAATTCCTCTGGACATGTAAATGTCTGGTCGGGGGCCTTGTCTTGAATTTTCATCAATATCTCCTCTGAAATCTGGTCGGGATCCATCAGTGCTAAAAGATCTAGTAGGCAGGCCGCAGACGCGGTCAAATCTCCCAAGCTAAGAGACGTTAATATGCTTTGCATGTAAGAGTCGTTCTGCTTGAAGCCTTCTTTAGAGCTGTACAGCTCTTTGCGTGTCGCATCATCTTCAATGAGCTTGATGAGTTCTTCCAATGTCAGATCGCGCCGAACAACAATGCCCGCAATATGGGAAATACCCAGGGGCAGTCCACCCAAACGTTGCGTAATGGCGTTGGATAACTCAACATCCTCCTCCGAGGCGTTAAATCCCGTCAAAAGACGTAAAAGAACGGCCCCTTGCTCATTTGAGAAGGGCTGGACTGTCAATCCCTGTGATATGGGTATATATGACCTCGTCAGAGCCAGCGGGTCTCGGCTGGTGATGATTACAGAACCACGTCCTGTTACTGGCCAGTAGTCCCCCAGCACAGCCAAATCATCTGCGTTGTCCAAGATGAGTAGCCACGATACAATCTGGCTGTTGGCTTCGGTGGCAGAGTGCTGTCGAATCCGACCTGGATTGGACAGCCATTGAAGAACCAACTCCCTGCTGACAACTTGGTCATCTGCGCTTTTCTTATCTTCGAGCCCCAGCTTGGTTGAAATTTGCGAGTATCCTTGCGCGAGCTTGGCGTCGGTAGCTGCCGAGACGAAGAAGATGGCTTCGAAATGGTTCCGCCTTGAATATGCGTACTCGACAGCGATTTGAGTCTTTCCCACGCCGCCCATTCCGGTCAGTGCAAAGGTTCGCAGCGAATTGGTTTCATCTTCAGTCTGTGGGGGACTTGGTATCAGTATCTCGTCCATCTTGTCGAAAATCTGGTCGCGACCAAAGAAATCTGCGTTTCTGGTTTGGGGTCCAAATAGGTGACATTTAAGGTTGAGGTTTTGTCCTCCGGCCTCGACTGGCTTTGGAGTTGGTGACCGCATTAATTCGTACGAATACAAATCATCAGACCCAGCTCGCGCTCGAAGTGAGTCATATGGAGTGCTTGATGATCCGGTGCTTAGACCAACACTGTTTTGAACTTGACTTATATTTAGTTGACAGTTTTGTTACTGAACAAACTTTAATCCACTCACCTCCTAGCCTTAACCCCATTTCCGAGTCAGTATCTTTCCACTTGGTATAGCTCATGGCATCTGTTGAGCATTATTAATAAGAATAAAATAAAAGGAAGCCGGGCAAGACGTGCCTATTTGGGACAAGGCATAAGTGCTAAGCGGAGGAGCCGTAGGAATTTCCTTCAGCATTTTCTCAATGGCAAGATGGAGGGAACTCGTTGCTGGGATATCGCAAATGTCAAAATGGCTGATATCAACACATATCAACTCCTCGTCAACGACGCCTATTTCTGCAGCTTCCCTATCTACAATCTATTGCACTGTTAGTTATATATGGTCTAATGAAAATGATAAACTTACAATATCGTATTTGGATCCAAAAAATCCGCTGGAAGTTTTGGTTGGCGCGGTTTCATAAGCCGATATCACGTCGAGTTGGACTGGTAGACTCTCGAATCGCTTAGATAGTCTCGAAACAAGTATATTACCCCCTTGCAAGCTCTGCAAAAGCTGATTTGAGAGTCCTGTGCAAGTCTTGAGAAGGAGGTTCAACTTATTGTATGGATCTAGCTTATTCACCGTGGGATGCGGACAGCCGAGGAAGATGGCCCCATGAACAGAGTCTATAATTTCGCGGAAGACTAGCGTGTCATTGCGTTCCATCAAGCGAACAAGCGCCTGTAAAATTAGTCATTGGACAAACCCTTAGTGTACGATTGATAGTTCACCTGTTTACAAATGAAGCCTCCATTACCGTGACATATAAATACCAGGGATCGTTTATGCAACTGATGAGGTCAGTCAATAATCTCCTAGCTGGGTATTTGGGCTTAGCACCTCGAGGCTCGCATAGCTGGAGGCTAGCTCGTCGAGCAGAACATTGCCATGCTCTAGATATTTGGCCCAAGAGAATTCCCTCGGGTTTTCGATTTCGTAAGCAAACTCTAAAACACAGGCTCGAACTTCGATACTAGGCAGAAAGTCCTGAAACCAAGTTTGCCCTCCCATACGCCATGATATCGACGGGCGCCCAGATATCTCGGGGATAACGACAATACTAGACTTTGATTAGTTATCGCTGTTTACATCCATCAAGGGGGAAACATGCTTGACATTGTATCCAGAGCCGGAGCTAGAGATAGAAGGGAACAGTGGTTGGAGCATGCTACCAGGATACGGTTTCATCAGTCTCGCTAAGGTGGTATCACTGTCTCGAATACCGTAATCGAGTTTTCAATATTATTCAAATGTCCCCTCTCTCGCCCGCGCATCGATATGGCAATACAGGAAGGAACAGTAGCAGCCGAGGGGTCAACGCCAGTCTAAACTCAAGGCGAAGCGGACGGGCAATGCGGACCATTCTACGTGGCGCGCCCCCTCACTTGTCCCCCCACTCATAAGGCTTTCGGGTGCCCACATTATCACACTGTTGGTGTTGTGATGCATGAAGGATATGTAGGTTGCTAACGACGCCAACACACACTTTGCTAGCGTTGGGCACTACGACGGAATCTTTTTGAAATGGGGGGCAACTACCACGTTAACAGGGTCCAGGAGTGGCTAGGATTGGCACATTTGTGATAAAAAAGCGTTGTGAAAGCAACGTCAACCTATTATATCGCTCTCAGAGATCACGCCTAGGCAGTATTTTGCTCACGCGCGCATACTACTGGCGAACATGCCATGTCAATGCAACCCTGCAATCCTACAATCCTACAACCCCTCACCCCCCTCGGTTGGGTCAACAGAGAAAACAACCGGATCGGGGGATCGATCCTCAATCGCAAACAATGCATCAGAAGAGTCCTGGGGCGTGAATGAATCTATATCCTGCCGTCTTACTACTATTTAGACGAGATCTCTGCGCAAATAAATCGTAACTGTATTTTCAACCGTATTACCAACAGCCCAATCTACGATCAAAGTACTTTACCATGCAAGGGTATTGTTCGACTTTATTGTCAATTTCCAACACTGTTAGTGGAATGTTACTTACAAGTCTTGTTCAAACAGAACTCCAATAGGCCCATTGACTCATCCTTCCCAGCTGCCTGACCTCAAACGGCAGCCATGGAAGGAGTTTTGGCCTCCGAGATGTGAGATCAAGAGAATTTCGAGCAACAGCGGCCCGGGTGGTACGGGAGCCATACCTACTACACGTGAGAATGGCTTGGGTGTGCACCTCTGGCGACTGGATGACACGGATGAGCTGAAGCAAGTCCTCCAAGAAGATGCCGAGAAGAAATCCGACAGTGGAAGTACAGCTGAGGAGAAGCCAGCTCAGAACTGATTGTGGTATGATGAATGCGTTAGAATTATTCGATCTAGCCACTATGAACCGCTCTATCTTGTAGATCTGCGAAGCCAAGAAGAAATATTCCATGAAATCTTTCGGATTACCAATGTTCTTATAGATTAGTTCTTCCAGCCCTAACTATATAGTCAAGACAGGTGGTGATTACGCATATACTACTTGGAAACAAATTGAAAGATCAGAGAATTAGGATATACCCACACTACCTTATGGACCGTAGTGAAGTAAATACAATGACACGATTTTGAAATCGCGAATTAGCCCGACTATCATTGAAACAATAGATTGATTCATCCTAATTTCGGCGAGAAAGATATGATACGCTTGAAACATCATCCTCGATCAACATTTGGGATATTTCAGAAGCGGGGTTTCAGCATGTTTTGGGAAGCCAGTGCATACCAGGCAGCAGATGACACTCGTAAGCTACTTTATTCAGTATTGTCTTTTGTCACGGACGCCAAGAAGTTGACCCAGGCTATCCCTCACGAGGCAAAGACTTGGAAGTGGGGGTGCCTATGATGCATAATGCTTCTAGGCAGGAAGACTAAATATAGAGGTGTCCCAGGGTGTTAATCTAGTATTTATAAGCCTTGGAATACTAATAACTACAACTACTCCCCAGTAATACTGTATAGGCACTGCATAGATTCCATGCCCTCCTTCACGCTATCCAAAATGGATGTTTACTCCACTATCAAGTTTGTTAAACGCGATAAAAGCAATGAGAATGAGAAGTTATTCCAGCTCATGTACTTGGACCACGACGGGAATGACCAATCCAATACCCCTTTCACTAGTGCTGAGACATTAGTCCATGACATCCGGCCGAAGAAGTCATCCCTCTCATTCGATAAAGAAGGCTTCGTCGTCCTTGATCTCGATTCCCAGATGCAACCCGAAGATTTTTATGACCGGAACAAGGTTAAAACTATTTTTGGGACTCAACTTCGGGATGCACTGAAAAAGTTAACAGGAGCCCGATGCGTCTACTTTCATGAGACTGTGGTATGCTCAAGCCATCTTCCAAACAAGGACTCGATACTTACAACGGAGAACCAGATTAGAGAGCGAGGGGCTGCATTTAATTCTTCAGACGATGGTCTAATGATGAAAGCTAATAATTCCCCATACGAACAGCCTGTCCAAGTTGCTCACGTTGGTAGGTGATTGTACCTTTCGATACCTATGAGATAAATTTATCTAAACTACTAGTTAGATTACACTGCCGACCAGCTGCGATATATTGTCCAGGAACTCACTGGCGAAGAACTGGATGATGATATCCATCTCCAAGCTTTCAAGTATACCTGTCTTTTTTCTTGGCTCGAAGTATCCTATATTCACGGACTTGAATGTGGCTAACAAAGATTTGCAGTGTGTGGAAACCACTTCGGGGGCCATTGAAAGACTGGCCCCTTGCCTGCTGTGATGCAAGCACTGCCGACTTGGAGACGGATTTCCACAAGATGGATTCTGTTTTTGCCGATGGATTTATCGAAGGCTACATTATGGGGTATAGCGCGAACCAAAAATGGTGCTATTTGTCAGACCAGACTCCGAACGAATTGCTCGTCTTTAACATTGCAGACTCGCATAACACTTTCCGCCCGGGTACGTAGTGCCCACATGTCTACATAACCGGAACCCCCATTAACAGTTCCTATAGTCCCCCACTGTGCATTTTTCAATCCCAATTGCCCCGAAGATGAGGAGAGAAGACAGAGTATTGAGTTCCGATGCATCGCGGTCTACTAGCCAGGCTCTTCAATGTAGCACTATTGTTAAAGAAACTAACTAGCAAGGGGTACTTAGGCTCAAGTACAATATTGAGTTGGGGGTCTATAGTATCTTTGTTATTCATTTAGATGACTCGTTTCACACGATAGAAGAGTGCTACATCTGTTCGAACATTTAGAATGCTCTTCTGAGATTTTTACACAAGAGACCCTTATTATAACCCCTTTGCTCTGATTGACGAATCTCTAGGGAAGGAAAAACGCATTAAAGCATTTAGCCAAATGATCTTGCTAGCAAAACAAACCCTAATTGTCTAGCTATATTGAAAACTTGTTTTTTTTAGGGGCCTTTCGATCTAATCTCGACTCATATAACTGTCTCCTTTGTAAGACATTCATTTCTCTAGGGTATGGCTGACAGGGTTATCACTATTTGCAAGGGTACATACAAGGTTGGTTAGGCGTTTTGGATTAGTGGTTTGCTAACTACCTAGGCAAATTGCATACGTGAGATAAACATAATCGCTTGTGCTACCGATATTAAAGACCAGTCGATCCGCGTGTCTTAAAACAGCTCCCAGCAAGCCACGTCGAAATGCTCTGCCAGAGCTGCAAAGAGGCCATCAAGCTTGCTTGCGCGTCAAACTCAAATAATGCTGTGGTACTCCATCCGTCTTTGGAGAGCTTTACTGTATCTGTGAGGCAATTATGCTACATCTGTTGCCGAATCCATGCGTCGCTCTTCGACCGAGATTGGCTTCATCTCTCTAACAGCCAATTTCTTAATCAGTTCCCAGACGGGGAGATTTACATGTTCTCATATCGTTCAATTTCGTTTGACGAATCGACTTGGGATACGAATGTAGGTGTAGCAAAAGCCAAGCAAGAAGACAAATTTATCGGCTTCCACCTCATTCCAAAAAGTGATGTCACGGAGGCATCGTTGATAAAACCGAGTCCAAATATATCAGGCAACTCGACTGCAATGGCTACAAAGACCTGGAAGCGATGGTTTGAAACTTGTAGGACGTCTCACTCCAAGTGCCGCGGACTGGAGAATCGAGCGCGTCCATTCATTCCGGAGAGACTGATTGAGATTTTGTGCACTGAGACGATGGAAAGTAGTAGATGGCGACTTGTGTCTAGCCGCCACCTGGGATATGTTTCGTACGTCACTCTGAGCCACTGCTGGGGTTCTTCGGACCATTTGAAACTGCTCAAGAGCAACCTGGACTATCTCCAGTCTCAAGAGGGGAACCCACCTACTACACTCCCCAAAACGTACCAGCACGCCTTCATAGTAGCACTTGCCTTGGGGTTCCGGTTTATCTGGGTAGATTCGTTGTGCATCATCCAGGATGATGACCGGGACTGGAGAGAACAGTCGTCCGTGATGGGTATGATATATAAGCATGGTCAGTGCAATCTTGCTGCTACCTGGGCCCACGACGGAAAAGATGGCTGCTTCAGTTACCGCGAGCCAGAGGTGGTTAAGCCTCCTCTGGTCGAACTTACATCCGCCGGCGACAAGCTGACACGCAACCATGTCATTGTAGACTCACTTGTCTATCATAATGATTTGCATCACGCCCCGCTGAATACCCGGGGCTGGGTGGTCCAAGAACGTTACATGGCAAGAAGACAACTCAGCTTCTGCAAGCAGCAGGTATATTGGGAATGCGAAGAATTACTTGCCTCGGAGCAGTTTCCCTGCGGAATCCCCGGGACACTGACGAACCTCACTCACGTCAACCAATGGGCCCTTCCTGGCGTAAAACCCAGTTTAAACTTCAAAGAAGAATCATCTCTCCGTGATGCCTGGACGGCACTGGTGGAGCAGTACTCTAGGTGCCAACTTACCCGGTCCTCAGACAAGGTTATCGCACTGGCTGGACTGGCTGGGGAGTTTCGGAGTTCTCTTGGAGATATATACCTTGCCGGGATGTGGAAGACCGATCTGATCCGGCAAATTTGTTGGTCCGTAGATGAAGATTCACAGGGTATGCCTAATCGTCTCAGAGCTTCCACGTATATGGCCCCGACATGGTCCTGGATGAGTGTGACTGGACCTGTGCAATATTGCACAAGCTATAGCAGGCCCAATTCAACACTGGTGTTATTCTCCAAGGTACTTGAAGTTTCTGTCGAATCATATCATCATCTCTTACTCCATAGTTTCGTCTCCTCAAAGCTCGTCATTTCTGGGCTTGGATTGTTTGGCCAGGCTTTATACAGTCCCGATCAGATATCCAGGGTCACAAAACCGGACTCTACCAAATGGCCAGCAGACCTTGATGATGTAGGATCTATCTCATTAACCTGGGATGAGAATCTTTTATCGGAGGATGTAGATCCTGTTCGATGGGAGAGCATGAACAAGAAGAGAAGCTCGACCCTATTGTTTCTTGCTATCGAGAGGAATAATGGCAGCGTCAATGGTCTGATTTTAAAGAAATCACAGGCCACGGATGCGTATACTCGGATGGGCCATTTTTCAGGCGCTGCGGGCCTTGGACGTCTGATCGCGCGACGGCTGAGTATCGACTACCTGAATTTGCTAGAAGGAGGAGAACTGAACTTGAATCATCCAGGGCTTAGAGATATAGTGCATATAGTATCTGTTATATAGAATTAGATCAGTCTAAACTGAATAGCACAATCAATATTAGGGCAATACAAGGTCAAACCCTCCCGTGTAAGCCTTGTCGGGGAAAAAAAGAAAGCATGAGCCGAGGCGCTTCGCAAATAGAGAGGCCATGGCGCTCGGCTTATACCTGTGTATCTAGATATATAGCTCGTTATCGTCGCTATAAAAACCACCTATAAGATCTCCTTCATATACCGAACAGGGTTTAGCCAAGCGTTGGCTACTACTTCATTGGCCAAATCAATGATCTGCAAGCTAATGTCGAGAATCGCCTTTATCCTATGATCCATCTGCACGGTCAGTTTAGTATCTCAGACTGCACTATGACCATGGTGCTAAAAAGCACAGTGGCAGAGCTTTCCAGGCGCAACGAATTGTCAAATAGAGGGCTTCGGAGGGCTTCTGGTCATGCAGATCGCGCTGTTTTACTCGCGCTGGGAGTTGTTTGTGCCACTGAAGCCTGTAATCCGAAACCAGACTGTCTAGCCTCCCTCCATGAGCATCAGTTGATCTTATTGCTCATTTAATGCAATGCAACATGGAAGCGGCCCCATCATCACACCTTTGTGGTAGCTTTGGCAAACACAGTCAGCTCTAAGCTTGGTTCTAAGCCTCCTGTTTTAGACATTGTTGCAGCTAGGTCACCATCAAGATTACACGGCCATGCACCTTGTCGTTGCATGTCCTGCTTCAATGAGCTGGCTCCAATTTACATAGCCTCATTGTTAAAGGACCACAAATAGCCCTCGTTTGCCGCCCCAGTTTTCATATTTGTTTTTACTGCCTAGTTTTGCAAATCGATACCGAATTCCAAGCCATGCTTGCAAATTCATCGGGGAGCTTTCAGCTCGCTACCGTCACCTGTGTCTCACTTTTTCCAAAGGCCCAATGCCCTGATCAGGTCCATGACCAATAAGCAGACTCGACCGCTCTGGCCTAGGCCTAGCCTTCCGAAAAGCTTCGGGCGCACAGCCTGTTGTACTTGCCGTTATGAACACAGCCACTCACTAATGTACGTAGCCTTGACTTGTCACTGTAGATCTTAAGGTGCCACGGTTAAGATACGACTTATATCCCCCTGGATTTCCCTATCATAGGCATTACCTTACTTCCGAACCGAAAACAGTACTCTCCTCGAGACATAAGACGACAATATCCCGGATTCAACCGGCTCCAACCTCAAGCCAGTTCAACATGTTGCAGTTGAGAAATGAGTCGCTGGCCGGCCGCGGCCTGAATTTTGATGCAGTACGTGTTGCCTGGTGCTCAATTAGATTTTTGGGGGGTTGCTTAACTTTCGCATTAGGACACCGATCCTAGGATTGGCTCCAATCGCAATGTGTCTATGCAGGGAGATATCCTCGGCTTCCTCCCACTGGTGGGAACACTTGTTCTCGTGAGCATATACTGCATAGTATGTGTTGTCCTCTTCTTAGTCATGTGACCGCGTTGCCCCCGCGTGTTCGCACCACGGACACAGCCAGGCTTGGTATCGACACAGTTAGTAAACACACCAGGATGGTAAAATCGTCTGTGCCGTCGTACATGGGCTAAGCGTCTACAGAAGGCTGAGTCCATCATTGCCCGAAGGAGTCTTGAATTGGATCAAACCATTCTTCGAGATCCCGGATACCTTCATCCTGAATCATTGCTCATTGGATGGGTTCCTCTTCTTACGGTATCTCAAAGTTCTGCGCAGCCTATTCCTTGTCGGTTGCTGCATATCGTGGCCAATCTTGCTCCCCGTACACATCACTGGAGGAAGGGGACTGAAGGGATTGGACCTCTTAACGATTGGCAATATCGAGGATAATCGTAAATTCTATGCACACGTGGTTGTGGCCATATCATGGTTCAGTAAGGAGCCATGTGTCATCGTTTTCGAAGAAAGAATGAGTCCCATTAATGATCGCAGGTCTCACCATTCTAGTGATTGCGCGAGAAAGTCTTTACTACGTTAACCTGCGGATAGCATATGCCTCATCGCCATTCTACGCCCATCAGCTTTCATCCAGAACTATTCTTCTGACCCATGTTCCCGAACGATACCGTAACGAGTCTTGTCTTCGAAGACTGTTTGGCAATTCCGTCAACCGCGTTTGGATCCCCAAGACGTCCAAAACCCTTACTAAACTCCTTAATCAGAGGAAAGAAGTTGCTTCAAAGTTAGAGGAGGCTGAGGTTGAGCTAATTGTAAAGTCAAACAAAGCACACAACAAAGGTTCCAACCTCGAACCCCCAATTCCACCGCGAACAGCACCATCTATAGATCCAACAACCAATAGTGCTACTGAAAATTGCCCTGGGAGGCAGAATCACCAATCGCCGAGTATTGAAGAGCCAGATACAGGGACGCAGATTCATAAGGGGTTCCGACCACGCCATCGCCTTTGGCGTCAATTTGGACGCAAAGTCGACACCATCAGCTGGGCCCGCTGTCAGATCAAATCTCTCAACACTCGAATATTCAAGTTGCGTCGCCAGCTTCGTCAAACACATATGTCTACCTTTCCGGCTGCATTTGTCGAGTTTGATAACCAGGAGAGCGCACATGCTGCGCATCAATCTCTCGCTCACCATCAACCAACACAACTAGTTCGTCACCTTGGTATACGGCCAAACGATATACTGTGGCAGTCTCTTAGGATAGACTGGCGAGAGCGTATTATCCGACAATTTTTCGTTTGTGGTTCGATTGTCGCTGCTATAATCCTTTGGTCCTTCCCAACCGCAGCCATTGGCGTGATATCAAACGTGGAGCTCCTAAGTGAGAATATGCCCTTTTTGCATTGGATAAGACAGATGCCTCAACGCCTACTTCGGTTGCTTCAAGGATTTGTGCCTGCCCTAGTCCTGACACTTTGGATAGCAGTTGTTCCCGCTCTACTACGATGTAAGACCTCTTTTACTTCCACCTTCCTCCTCCTTTGTGTAATTCTAACTGCCCATCAAGTTTGCGCGGTCCAAGCCGGCTCGGTATCACTAAGCATGATGGAGCTGTTCACGCAAAAGTCTTATTTCGCCTTCCTTGTCGTGCAGGTATTCCTCATCACGTCGTTCTCATCAACAGTATTATTAATGTTGCCAAATGTACTTTCAGAACCGCTCAAAATCCCGGATATTCTCGCGAACAATATCCCAAGAGCCTCGGACTTCTTTCTTTCGTTCATTTTAATTCAATGTCTCGCTGACGGTGCTTCAAATATCTTCCCGATTGTCGATCTATGCCGGCACCATGTCTTAGGCCAGAAGACCCGTACACCAAGGCTGCAATATCGGGTCTGGAGGAGAATGAGACGAGTGCACTGGGGCACCGTCTTTCCTAGAATCTCTAATATGGGAGTCATTAGTGCGTCTGCCGAGAGCCCAAGCTTAAAGAATCATAGCTAACGCAATACTGCAGCGCTTTGTTACGCTGGAATTGCTCCTATCATTCTCATCTTTGCAGTTGGCGGCGTATTCTTCCTGCAAATAATCTATCGCTACAATGTTATCTACGTGGTGGATTGCGATCTGACTAGTACCGGATTATTCTACCCCCAGGCATTGTTGCATCTTTTAATCGGGCTTTACCTGGCTGAGTTATGCCTTGTTGGGATATTCATTCTAAATTCTGCTTTTGTTCCAATGGCTTTGATGATCTTGTTGATTATCCTCACGGCCCTCGTGCATCTCGAACTGAGCAAAGCCATCAATCCGCTGCTACATAATCTTCCTCAATGTTTGTGGAGTGAGGAAAGGGACACACCAGGGGAAGAGGAAAATATGTTCCGGGACTCAACGTGCAGCGCAAGAAGGCCTAGCAATGTGGCTACAGTAGAACAAGCAGGAGAGAGTGGGAAGCAAGATTGCGTCGAAGTTAATACAGACAATGGAGAGCAGAGCTTTGCCATGCCGTCTTTCCTTCGGCACCTGATGAAGCAACTCTTCGGCCCCCAAAGGTCAGTCGCTGATTTACGTCATGAGATTCTGTCTCTCTATGAGACCATATACTCAGATGCCTTTCAGCCATACGAGTACCCGACCAAAGGAACGGCGCAGGCTTATCTGCCGCCAGAAGTATGGCTTTCAAAACCAACATTATGGATTCCACGAGACGGGATGGGCTTCAGCCTACAGGAGATTGCCCAAACGAAAAGATACATGCCAATAACGGATTTCGGGGCTAGCTTGGGTGAGAATGGGGAAATTGTGACAAACTTTGACGATGTGCCTATCGATGAAGCAAAATTGAGTGGAACACGTTGGGAGGCCATAGAGAGTGCGGTACCGTCGTTAATAAGCCCAAGCGAATTAGGTTTATAAGCAGCGGATGATACTATGTATTCTCATGCATACATACTCATAAACGAAGCGAGTTAACTTATCAAATAGCCTATGTGTTTCTCTGCAATGGGCACTCTTGTTTCTACCAAGTACTATTAAGATACAGTATCCTGAAGTCCTCCTATATGATGTTGAAGAGGCATTGTAGTCCTTAGTAGCCTTTTTGAAAACACCTTCCATTAGACTTTCACTATTAGTTTCCTGATTGACCCTGGACTGCTCGCTGGTAAAAGTAGATGGTTGTGGAAGAGGCTCATTTACCAGACGATGATGCGGTTGACACGGTCAACCGAAACATCATCGACCTTGGTGGGAGTCTCGGCTCCCCGCTTCCAGACGATGATACGATTGACACGGTCAACGGTAGCATCATCAACGCTAGCGGGTGCGTCTTCGCGCTTGAGCCACTGAATGGGGCGATCAGCTTGGTCGACACTCGTTGCGCCCTCCTCAGGCACAGGAGCGGCATTAACGGTGCTGAACAAGGCGAGGCTGATGTTGAGAAGGGTAGATGGCTTCATGTTGGATTAGATGAATGGCTGCTCGACCTTGAATGATAGAGAAGATGGAGTGTAATGAACAGAAAAGTCAGAACAAGGCTTCTGAATCTTGAAGATGGCTGCTTTGTACTACAGGTCTATGCAATAACTCTTATACTTGCATTTTGGCTCGTCCTTCGATGCCCTCCTCTCGATCAGAGAGAGGCAACGTAGCATGAGGGAGGGGCAATACAACGTGTTCCAGATGGCGGACCTCCAGACAATTTCGTCAAGTCAAGACCACACTCTATCTCGGTGCTCGGAACTTTTGCATTTCTCCTAGTCACCGTAGAATCGAGCCGCGAGGCAACGACTCGTCCCACAGGCCGACGTGGCATCACAGGTGCCTGTCCAGATATCGGGGAAGCACCTGGGGCATTTCAGATTCACGAACCAATGAAAGATAGATGCGTTACCTCGCAGGCAATCTACGAGAGTAATTGAGCCGAGAAGCATCTATCTATACCTTACTGGGAATAAGAATTGTCCTTGAACAGCAGAACTTTTGAAATGCAACCACGTGAGTGATACTACACGATCCATGAACTTTTGCAATGTATCCGCTGCAATGACGCTATACGCTCATCTGCGATTTGATATCGTTTATCAACCTATTAAACTTCTTCTAGCCCCCTGGTCAGTTATTCTTGTTGCTAGGATTCTTTCTGATCCTAACCTGAATAGTGGGGAAGTCAGGATCTGGGGCGAATTGGATTGTTGTCGTTGATAAGAGCTAATGTTGGGAGAACCTGGCATCGCTTGCTTCCATGTGGTGTTTGGTCTTGAGGCCGTAATTGTTATTTTCGTCAGGGTGTTGGATGCTACTCTTAGTTAATATCAGAAATTATCTACTGCTACAGAAGTAGGGACAAAGGTCAAAGGCAATCCTTTTGCTGACCAATGAAGTGGAAAGCTTGAAATCTATTCGGCCACGGAACTTCCATAGGCTACAACAAAAGTCCTGTGCCAGTTATGCTCATTCGGTGCTAGAAATAATGATTGATTGGCAAATAGGGGATGGTGTTCATCGAGACAAGGATCTTGGAAGGAATGGCATAAGAATGTAACCGTAATTGAGGGATAAACAAATAGCATCAGACAAGATTGAACGCAAACCTTTTTAGTTCCATCACATACAATAAAGCCTGTTCTCTCAAATCATTTACTGTATGAATCTCCCTTTTTAATTATATGCGTGGTATTTGGTAACATTGGTCTATCATGTCTGTTAAGTACAGTTCCTTACTGCCTCAGGATGAGGGGCGTTCGTGTACATGTAGTCACAAAATTGACCATCTTGTTTCCTCACGATGGATGATAACGTCTTCTTCTTCCGGGTCTAGATACTGGCTTTATTCTTTCTTCTTGAACGGTATCTTGCTGCTTTCCCTGATTTTGTCTTGGGCCTACATGTATCTAGGACAGGCTTCATACATACCAAACGAGGTTTACAGTAAGGATTTCTTTTCTTTACTGCCCTTATTATCAGCGCGCATATATTCATTGTGTTGAGATATTGCGTCTACTATCTTATTTTGTTGTTTCAACTCCATACTCAAATTTTTTTCCGTATCAGGGCGCCTATTAATATTTACGTTCACTAGCACCTGCTCAATCAGCAATTAAGTACGAGCAAAAAGTATTTTTGCCAGCGACAAAGTCCGGTCGATCCCCGTATCAGGGTTCTTCAGATGAAATCAACCGCTTGTGGGAGGACCTTTACAATGGTTAGTTTTTCTCTTCTCCTTAATTATCTTTGACGAGCAAGAGAGGCCATTTGAACTCACAATAAAGGCGGCAGATTTCGCCATCTCTCTGATAACAGGCAAGGAGGCGGCCCGTCTTCCTAATGCCACCTCTCCAATGGCCCAAGAACCCACCAAATACATGGTCCAGCTTGACGTCTTTCATCAGCTTCACTGCCTCAACCTTATGCGGAAGCTCGTGTATCCTTCAGTATTCAAACTTGACTTGACGTCTGGATCAGAAGAAGCAGAGGAGAACTTGGATCACTTCGAGCACTGCTACGATTCCCTGCGGCAGGCGTTGCAGTGCAACGCGGATCTGAGCACTATCTACTATGAATGGGTGCCAGAAAGAAATAGGCTGGTAGGAAACTTGGCGACAACGCATACTTGCAAGAACTACGATTCAATTCTACAGTGGGCAAGGGATCATCAGTACAAGGGACCTCTTGATTACACGGCCAAGGTGGAAGGGGTTCCTATAAGGCATGTTTCGCGTGTTTCGGGTGGGGAGAGCTTACATCATCACATGTAATAGCCAAAAATGTCAGCTACAGTTCAAGTTTTAATAATATAAAATCATATCTAAAACTAGAGTTGCTTATTAATAACGTTAGAGGAAGGGGGCTAATGTCGGAGAGGGTGACAAATTCTATGCTCTATTGTGTCTCGCTAGTCTAAGCGAGATGTATTCTGCTCACCTGGATGGAAATTTCGAACTTGACGATAATAGCAACGGATATTTCCTTTTCAGTGTTCACCATATATTTAGCAGGACATTCCATGTCTGGACTATTATTCTATATATAATGGATAGCTTGGGCAGCGACCTGATAGAATTTTCAGCCAGTACCCTCACCTCGGTATCTGTTGGTGTCACGATGGGGATTGAGAGACCGGCATCATTAGGCAACACCTGAACCCTTTAATATCACGGCTACCTCTGCAAAGACTGCACTGATGCAAGGAAGATGCGGACAGGTGGCTAAATTTTGAAACGGATGGACATTGATCAAGTTGTTATGTTCGATGAGCTTCAAGTGGTCAGTTCGGACTTGTTTTATATATAATGTCAACTAAATTCTGGCTGTGAATGGCGGTCCCGATCGCAACTCCAAGATTAGCTTTTTTAATTACTTCCATTTAATCTTGCGATACGAATGGAAATCGCGGACTTTTGAGATATCGATCCGAAAGGGGGGCCTTTTCAAAATAATTTTCCTGGTAAGGAGATACTTTATCTAGGTCAGACACTTGAGTCAACGATTAAGTCGGGGCGATATCAGATCTTCAAAGTGATATTTCTTGAATTACTTTAAGATCTTTTGTCCTTTATATAAAAGGCTCTTTTTTACTTTCCCAAGACTATTAAGGCGGTAGAGGAGGGGGGACTCTCTCTTCTAAATAAAGATAGTATATTACCCCCCAGACTTATTACTAATAATAAGTCTGTATTTATACTAATATAAAAGAATATAATACTTAGTAGATTCTTACTAGAGTAAATAGAAGATTATTTTTTTTTTTTTATTAGTTTTACTATAAATAAGAGTATATTCTAAGATCAAATAATATATAATTTAATATATATTTTTTAAGAATATAATTAGTAATCTATATCTAAACTTTTAATACTATAAGATAAAGTTAAAATTAAATACTTTTAGTCTGAGTATAGATATTAATATCTTAAAAACTCTAATAATAGGAGCTATTTATATAGCTAGATATATAAATAGTCTAGCTATAGCTATAGCTCCTAAGAGGGGAAGCTTATTATTTAATAACTATATCTACTTACTAAGCTTATTAATTATTAATTAATTACTAGATATCTTAAATAATAATAGCTATAATAGCTATATTTAATATAAATATTCTAATCTCTTAGAGTCTAATTAATACTTCTAATAAAGCCCTTTAAGAGATAATAACTATTATTAAAGATAATATAAAATAGTTATTTACTAACTATATTTATTATATACTACTCTAGTTAGTTAAGGGCCTACTTATAATAATAAAGCTACTTTTAATAGTATAGATTAAGTAGCTATATCTACTTAGTTTATTACTTTATTATATAGTCTATCTAGAGCTATAGTAGGTACTTATAGAGAATAGAGACTAGCTAGAAGAAAAGTTATATCTTAAAAATAACTATTTACTTATATAGACCTATTATAATCTGATATATAATTTATAGTTTCAGTATATTATATACTATATTAAGATAATTAGAGTAGAGATAGCTCTTAAAAGTTAATTAAGCTTATATTTTTATTTTTAATTATCTAGTTTAGATTTAGATTAGAATATTAGATCAGATTAGATTAGGATATTAGAAAAGTATTTATTATTAGTTAGAAATAATAAGAATAAAAAGTTAGTTACTTTTAAGATTATAAGTTAATTTATCTCTATAAGTATAGTATATATTTACTACTATAGGAAATTTTATTAGAAATAATATAAATTTAATATTAATCTGATATCTATTTATATATACTTAGTTATACTATATAATAATAGATAATATTATTAATAACTATCTAAAGAAATATTCTAATTAATAAAATAAATATATATATATAATAGTTATAAAGTATAAGAAGTATACTACTTTTAGTAATCTAGCTATATTCTATAATAGAAGTATAATACTCCTATTACTTCTATTCTTTAGATAGTAGGGTATATATAACTGTATAATCTATTATAGAGGCCTTTATTCGTAATAATAATATAGCCTCCGGAACGATAACCAGATTATACCAATCAAGCGTATTACTAACTTTATCCACAGCCAGGGTTCTTATATAGGGATTCAAATCGCTTATACAGGGGCAAGTGGGTTGAAAAAAACATGGCCCAAATTTGGTAGGCATCTCACTGTAAAATAGGCCATGTTTTTTTTCAACCCACTTGAGGGGTTAAGGCAAGCCTCCTACTAACATGGACGAGCGGTACTAATAAGTCGCTGGCAACTGAGGATGTTGTTAGTTGGCCAGATAATATAGTTGGCCCGAGCTTAATCTCATGGCAAATAATTATACTGTACTAAAACAATTAACTATTCAGGAAATGAAGGAATAGATCTAAAAGTGGAAGGACACTAAAGGCAATAAGCATTATAATACGCCAAAGAAGGCACGCCTTAAAGGCGCAGCTGAATTCCTTAAAGCTAAAAAGATCTTTTATTTTAAGACCGATCTCTCTAACCACTTTCAGGTCCCTTATTATACGAGCTATTATATTCTAAGTGAAGGCTCTGACCGAATATATAACTACTAAGAAGGCCTAGAGCCTCGTCAACGCAAGAGGAAGCTATATGAATTTGATCTAGATAACCTAGAGGATCTTTATGAGGAGGAGGGATTTAAAGCTCAATCTCTCCCTTAGACAGCTGCAGCTCTTGAAGCCGGCATTAAAGAAGAGATTTCTAGCCGTATAATTAGCTATCAAGCTGCTAGCCGGGACCTTTATAAGCGGCTTGCTGTAGAGATTACCTTTAAAACAGAGGTTTAAGCTAAGCAATAGCTAGCTTGGGCAAAGGAAGCCCTTACTACCCGGCTAAACCCAGAGGATTAGGATAATATAATCTTCTCAGATAAGTACTATTTCAGCTACAGCGATAAGGGCCGCTGTTATATCGTAAGGAAGTCCGGTACTCGATCAGATCCCTTGAATATTTAAGAACGCAAGGAGCCTGAAGAAGGGGACAAAAAGCAGCTATACAGCTGGGCAGGCGTTAGCTAACAAGGTTAAGACCCCTATTATCTTTTGTAACTCCGGTAACAGAAACAGAAAGATAATATAGCGAACCTATCAGAAGGATACTCTTAAACTATATATAAAGAGATAGATTAAAGAGGGCTGCTCCTTTGTTCTTGAGGAAGACAGCGATAATAGCCATGGGCCCAGTAAATCTAACCCTGTACGGACCTGGAAGGAAGAGTATAGTCTCGAGAGCTTCTTTAACTTCCTTATAGTCCAGACCTCTCTCCAATTAAGAACTTCTAGCTTATACTGAAGTAATACATTCGAAAATACCCTCATTAGGATCTAGATTCCCTTCGTGACCTTATAGTTAAAGGCTGGGATCAGCTAGTATCAATGCAGGGAAAATAACTAATTAGGAGATCTATCTATTAGCTGTCTGAATTGCCTAGTAAATTAGCTGTTGTGTTGGACAGAGGGTGTGTGTGGGCCGGGTCGGGTTTTGGTGTGCCATTTCCAATGTCACCTACTTGGCGCAGTCAAGGGGATATACACAGCTAGCAGGGATATGCCTCCACCCCCCCAATCAGTTAAGGAGCTAACAGATGCGTCATTTACGTTGGCTTCTCCCTAATCTAACGGTCTTGCATCAGGGCTCTTGTGGGCTTAGTGTTGGCGTCGGAAATTGATGTTATCGTCCACGTGGCCCTCATTACCAGTTCGGAGGTTCTTATAGTGAATTTATGTAATTATTGATAGCCGACCTTATTCTGAACCGCCTTGAGCCCTACACACTTTTTTTTTTTGGGTTCAATCCAGGGTTCATGCCGAGAACCCGAGACTACTGGAGGTATGAATTATACAAGTGGGCACCCGCAACATTAGGAGCTTAAAAAAGGACAGCGGTCAGCGTCCGCTCCTCAATTTACTCATTTGAGGCATCCTTTCCTATAACTTTTCACAATTCAACTAGGATGTCTTCCTGGAAAGAGACTGGATCACTGCATCGCTTCCGGGTTGAAAAAATTCCTCCTAGTAGCGGAGGCACTGTGTTTACCCGGAGGGATAACTTAAGTAAGAACTTATTCACTAATAAGAGGTAAATCCGGCTAATTAGTAGGATTAAGCATTAGGGATTGGAAGATATAAGCATCTACTAGCATGCAAACGCTGTAAGAGGCTCAAACGAAAGTGTGATCGGGCCCAACCACAATGCCTCGTAGGTTCTATATTATATATCTCCCTCCTCTTCTTTTACTCATAGTCCTGAGTATAACTAAATTATTCATTAGGTCTGCCAAAAAGGGGGAAACGCTTGCAGCTACCCTGAGACCTGTGATCCTGCTATTAGCGCTCGACTAGAATGGCTGTCCAAGTTTATAGGCACTCTGCTGCCAGAGAGTGTCTCGCTTGACACTGTCCAGACTGGAGCAGATCTCTCCACCGTCATCAAGAGTCGAGCCATAGCAACAATTGGACATGGTGAAGAGCCTCAGACCCACGCCTGGACTACGTCAGAAAGCGAAATTGGGACCCAGACCACAATCGATCTTGACTCATTTTCACCAGGATATTCGTCTCTCGCTACAGTTTCACGGCCGAAATTACCAGCAATCCCTGAACTTCCAATAGGAATAACACATTTATACATCATTAAAACGTACTTTTCCCATTTCCATCTCACCTACCCGTTCCTAGACAAGGACGAAATTCTGGCAAGTCTCGATACCTCCGAAGATTTACTTGCACAGGACTTTATGGAGTTGACTCAGACCTCCATCAAGCTATATCTAGTAATGGCATTAGGCTGCGAGCTCCTACGCCGTGCTCATCAACTCTCTTCCGGTTTCCTAAGCAAACTTCAGGTACCTTACCCTGAAGTTGTTCAACTTTGTTTAGAAACATCTTCTATCGAATCTGCACAAATTCTTATGCTGCTTTCAATGTACTCTATCCACAATCTTGGAGGCTGGCCGCGGTGGCTTATTACTAGTCTTCTGGGCCGACAAGCTATCGCCCTTGGCCTCAACCAAAAGCAGGGAGCTGGAGCAGAGCTTTCTAGGTCCGAGTTGGAGTCCCGAAATAGGCTCTTTTGGTCTATCTACTCCATTGACCGTTTGGTTTCCGTTTCTTATGGACTGCCACTCGCAATCAACGACAATGATGTGAATATTCCTCTTCCTGCAGTTACCACGGAAGAATTCGCAGCACCAGATCGAGACATTCGTCTCAAGACTTTACAGATTGCCCGGCATACAATAGCCTTAAGAGCTCTTGAAGGAAGAGTCCTCTCTCACATCCATTCCACGTCAACCAAATGCCCTAATCAACAGGTGGACCGAAGAGATGCTCATCGCGCCATCCAGAGGTTTCACGACGAGATCGAGGATTGGTACGCGCAGGGCTGTCTAAATAATCAAATGCATGATCTCGGTGTTCTCTATCACAGCACAATCTCTTGGTTGAATGCTAATTACCACAGGCTTCTGTGTCTCCTGTACTGTTCATCCTCTCTCAACTCAGAGCTTGACACATCCGCAACGCTTCATCTGTACCAGTTGGCTCGAAAACAGGTCCTAAGCTTACAGACTGAGCGTTGGGATGGACAGATGGCTTTGAATCACCTTACATTCTGCAGGATTATAGTCATCGTGCGAATTCTTCTGCATTGTTACGCCAAATGCGGAGAGGATATTAAGACGACAGAACTTCGTGAAGCTGTTCTTTTACTGAAGGATTTGACCAGTACTCTCGCACCGGAATTAGAAGGCGCCGAAAATTTTCAGATAGTGCTCCAGGAATTTACAAGGATTCTTGATGGATGTTGTATGAATTCCCATGCAGCTATTACCGGAGTGGCCTACCAGACTCCTCCTTCGTTGCAGACTGCTAATCTCGAAAGAGTTATAATTATTTCCAAGAAGCTTACCCGAGAAGCACTGGGTGCTTCAAGTGTTTATAATCATATTTTCCTTGATACCAAGTTCTGAAGCATGTCAGTCGATGGAGCGAAGTGATGGACCGATACTCTGTCTGGTCGGAGGCGTCGATCGCCGTCGAGACATCACTCTAGGCCAAAGACAAATTCTTTAGACATAACCAAAAAATATAATCAGAATGTAAATACCTAGCACATTACTTGAATTAGTATTAGCTTTGCGGGGCTACGTCTCCAGGACAATAACCATCCGGATAATGTTTATAAAGAAGTGCTATAAAGAGAAAGGAACAATAGAATAACAGGACCGATGCAAAAAAGTGGCCTAGCTGATACACTTGGTAGAGAAGCGCGTAGACAAGAATGTTATTGAGTAGTACAGTGGTTCCGGGTAGCTACCGCAAAATACCAAGACACCAAGGTCGTGATGCCTCAAGTGATCATACGGGTCATCGTCATTTTCTTGGATATCGGGCCACAACACTGTTTGGGTTTAGTTTAGGTGTTTGTAGATAGATATTCGATTGATCGATCAAATGATCGCGATAAACGAAATGTCTCTACGGAGTCATTGTAGCTCAATAAGTCAACACACGAATCAGTAAAAATCATAAAGGAAGAAGAAGGTTGTTGTTAAAACTACGAACTTATGAAAGATAACGCTCCCTTTTAAACCACCCCGCAGCCGGTCTCGGAGAACGCGGTCTTCTCATTATAACGAGCACAGCATTGAAAAACATCAGACCCATAGATCACAACGTAAAGCAGGTCTTTCGGCAACAAGATGCATGGCATACCTACCGCTGTCTTCGATATAAATATATTCACGCCCCCTTGTAACTCGTGGTGGGATCTATCTTAGAGCATAGGATATATTGTCTTGAAAACATAATCAAATTCGTGACTACTGCCTTCCTTCTGCGGCCAATGTATCCAGTCGCGATTTGGACGCCGGGTCTTGGTACGGTTTCTCCCCAAGAGACACAATTAGACGCACTCTCCGATCGCCTTCATAGTCACTTTGCCGTGTTAGTTTGCTTCTAGGTGAAATAGGGGTTTCATCTTACAACGTAGCTGTGTGGAGAGTGGCCCGACTAGTATTCAAAGTTAGATTTTGCTCCAGGTTCCTCCTCGTCAATGGAGTGGCTTACTTATCCCAGACCGCTAGGTCATTTTCATTCCATTTGAAACGAGCCTGAAGATCGTAATTTTCCACTTTAAGCTGGTGGACTGTTATGTGTTGGTTAGCTATCTCGCTCAGGATAGACGTGAAAGGAAAATGGCCTCACAATAGTCCCTCAACATTTCACATTCAGCCTTGGTTACGCCTTCAATCCATTCTTCCGGACGCGAAGCTGAGGCACCGTAGAGTGATTTCCATCCCGTGACTGGATTTGTACGAACTAGAGGGCTATTCAAATATCAGCTATCGTATGGGGAAATAAAAGTCGGAGGTCTACTTACTGAGAACTCTCGAGGTCGATACCCCTGTTCTCGGGTGCCCCGCGGTCTGTATTCAATTCGAAGCCAAGTTCCTGTGCTAGCTTCTGAAACTTCACGGTCTATGAGAAAGGGTTAGCGTCGGTTCATAGCCCCAGGAGCGAGGACTAACCCGACTATGGACCGCGTCCAAACCATCAACCATCTTCTTCATAGGAGGCGATAGTTGGTCGTAGAGTTCATATCCAGAGACCCAGAGAGTGTCGCCTCCACAGTCATACTTGTCTCCATCTTTTGGAGCTTTAGTTAAATAGAGGGATGAATAGTCCCCAGGTATTTTCTCATACCCAAGACTGAGTGTGTTAAATTGGAAGGTTCCTGAGGCGCAAACGAGGTTACTCACTCTACATGCCAACCGCCGCTAGCGAACGGTCGTGGGTTCGTATATCTCTGAGGATAGTTCTTGCGTTCGACCTACGATCACTCGTTTTAGATTTCGGCTGTCGGGAATGAGGAACCTTTTTGGAAGAAAGATCTCATTACCTGGGACCAAATTTCTACCACTTCCGGATCAAATTCACCAGCTTCCTCGAGATGAGCTACCATCCCTTTCGTATATAAAGCATGCTTGCTTAACTGTGGACATATTATGAAAATTGCATCTGGTATCCATTGGCCATGTGGGACACACCTTTGACGTGCTCGGCTTGCCGGTCAACTCGCCCATCTTCTGGACTAGAATCTTCTGCTGCGGAATAGAGAGCTCTTGATTACGAAAGAAAAGAACTCCTCGTCGCGACGCTACATTTTTCAGTGAGACAAACGGTAATGTGCATGATAGACCAGACTCACCTAAAATGGCTAGATCCCGAAGTTTATTGTCATCACCAAGGATGCTGGCGACCTGGAGCTCTGAGAACTCTGTTCCAAGCAGAGGTGTAACCTCAAAACTTATAAATTCGTCCAAGGAACCAGAGTATTCCAATGGCTCGCGTTTGAGTTTGCCCTGAATTGATTTTCTCATCGTATCGACTCCTACCTCATTAGTATAGAGATATACAGTGTTCCCTGTCCTCGATATTTTAGTGGTCGGGCGGAAAATCATGGCTAAAGATGGCTGAGATATTTGTGGGATTTATATAAATTCAGCCCATGTTGTTGCTTGAGCTCAACTTAAGATGACTATCCAACTTCACGCATCATTAGCTTTACTCCCGAGCCTTCGTAGCGGGGACTGGCCTAAAGAGATCGTATCAGGTTAGGCTGATCCGACCTGTTTGGTAATACCCCTCGCGTTACACTTGGTGGCATCCCAATAGAGAAACACAGGCGGCACTGGTCCGCTCCTGTGACACTTTCCCCGCAAGTGGATACGGCTAAGGCCTTGTCGTAATGGCGCCTCCCCCTTACCATTGCCTGAATGAGTAGTTATTGCGGGTAGGGATTTGAAAACTTGGACGTAGTTGCTCTAGATAAAGTCGGGAAGGCTTTTGATTTATTTCTTCCGCGCACCACCGCAAAAATTTCCAATTGATAAATCGATCCAACGAGCTACCAAGTGATTGTGCTGTGAGCTAGTTCATAGTTAGGTTCTTACGAATCATCTCAATCTCCTCATCTGAAAGTCCACAATAATTCTTGACATAGCCTGTAATGCCTCCATACGTAGTATCCAAGATCTCAAAAACTATATCGATGCTCTCATGTCTGTACAGTATTGCTCATTAATTAATGCACTGCTTGAGCTTTTTGCTGAATTATGCCACTTACATAAAGCTCAAGGATTTTGCTTTTGCTTCTAAGTCAACATCCCATCCGAGAGGGCCAAGTACGCATTCAGCACTCTCTGTCCCGATGCTCGACAGGTCAGCATGAGTTAGACTATACTCGAGGGCGATTAGATCCCTGGGAACGCCACAAAGGGCGAGAATAATCGCAATCAACAAGCCTGTCCGGCCCTCGCCTCCCCTGCAATGAACAAGCAGTGGTGTGAGTTTGTTCTCAGTCGCGAGATGCTTAAGAACTAGGCCGTAGGCCTTAGGCGCATACATCAAATAGATACTATGTGATCTTGTCCTGGTCTAGAAATTATAGCAGATACAATATCAGTTCTCGTAGTTCAAAGCTGATGATTCAAGCAATATATACTTCTCTCGTTGATGCATGACTTATGACCGCTAGTTCCTCAAGGATCTTGGGAGGACATGTCTCTTCCGAGTAAACAGGGACTAAGAAGCGACGGATACCGTGCCCTTCGATAGCACTGTCCAATCCAGTGTCCAGTCCGAATTGGTGGCTAGTACGTAGATCGTAGATGGTTTTGATTCCCAAATCTTGGATAATGGTAGCCCCCGCGGACGATATTTGCGATAGCTGTGCCGAGCGGAACAGCAGCTGCGGGCGTATTCCAGGTACCGTTACACTGCGAAAGTTGGATACATCTGGTATCCTGATGAAGGGTAAGGGAAGCGGGGTAGGCGACATAGCTGGCTGTCTTCTCGTAGAGGTTGGGCACGGTTAAGGTAGAGGAAAGGTTAGCATGTGCTTGGCTGCGTTGCGTGCACCGCAGACTATTCGGCACTGTTCTTTAAGAACTAATCTGAGGGATTAGGTGGTTACGCATAGTTATATAGGAAAAATCGGCTTCACCTGCCCACGCTCACCCATTAATCGTTTCTTGAGGCTTTTAATCTCGGTACCAATCGTGGAACCAGTTCGACGGTGGAACCCACGGTAGTAGAACTTGCTGTCATTTTGCACGTGTCCTCCGTAAACGTACGAACATACAGTGGGGGTCATAAAGTTCTGATCCAACAGGACTTCTATCGCGTTAAGTGTTTTGATGCTGCTTTAAAATATTTCTAGTGGTTGATGCACTATAAATTAGTTCGGCTGTGTGCTGAAAGAACTTAGTCCTCCACTATATCAGTCTCTTTAGGGGCGCCATTATAGGGTGTCTATAGCGCGGCCTTTTAAGCGGCGCTGATAATCTACTTAATTAGGAAAGCCCCTTGCTCGTGCCAATGTCGCGTTGGATGAGAACTTTCTAACCCCCACTGTACACGAATAACGGGGATTTCGGCAAAAGCTTTGTTCTCCGAACAATGTTTCATCGAAAAATTCTATTGCTAATGGTCTTACGGTAGCACATTTTGGAGGCTATATGATAGGCTTATTCCAAACACTTTTACCAGAGATTCGTTTGGAGATCATATAAGGGCATTCAACAGCGGCCCCTTCCCATTTGCTTATTTCCATAACTAGTAATTGCAGATGGATCTCTAATGGCCCCACATACCATAATGGGTACTCTTAGTACAGAATTTCAATAGCCTTGTAAAGCTCCTTCGTTTGCGGCATGTTGCAGAAATTGGTAATTCTGTAATTCCAAAAGCACTAGGCCTCATCCGAAATCCAGGCCATTGGGTTAGCTCAGCTATCCTAGGAAAGTATAGCTTTCTTCGTAATGAATCACGGAGGCTGAGCTTGTTATACAACAAAGGTTAAGGTAAGGTAAACAGGGCCAATCTTGGACGAGAGAGCCCATGATTGTATTTTTGCTTTCTACGGGTTTCTCCCAATCCCTATATACTACTACTGTAGTCTTGCTAACAAACTTAATTTCTCTACCATTAGGGTTCAAGATTAGGCCTGGATTTCCTCCGTAACAACGGTTGCGACAGGCTTATCGCTCCCACGGCCCTCTTTATTCTGCTCACCCGAGTTGTCCCTCAGCTCCGGTCTATATAGGAAGTCTTTCTCAATATCATCGATCGTGCAGTTCCTTGTTTCTGGGATCCAACCGACACATAGAGCGGCTAGGGCCATGATACCGGCGAAAAAGCCTAGGATACCGCCCAGACCAATAGCGTTCTCCAACTTCGTAAAGCCAAATACCGCAATTATAGAAGCAAGTCTTCCACTCGATGATGCAATCCCAAATGCTGTAGCTCGAACGCGCGTTGGAAACAACTCCAGAAAAGCATATTCCACCAGGGCCGGACCCGAATCCATAACTGCTTGAGCTAGGACGAAAAGAGACATCAAGGTGCCAGTATTTGCAATATTTGATACACCGGCCCAAACGGCGTATATAACGGCGAGTAGGGATGCACTGTAAAATAAATGAGCCCTGCGGCCAATGACATAGGGCAGAATGTGAGTGCCGATGAAGAGTCCTGGAAGGTAGCCCGCACAGTAGACAATGCAATTGCCCACGGCGGTATTCCACATGGTCACGTATTGTGTTTCTCCTTTCCCAAAGCCGATTCTATGTAAAACTATATCTTGATTCAAAGATATACCCTGGCTGGCGATATCACTATAGTTTTCAGTATTCCGTATTGATCATAAGGTATTCAAAGAACGTACTGTAGAAACCAGAAGAGTGTAGCCGCAAATAGCGTTTTCGCATGTCGTGGGTCCTTGAAAAAAACAATGAAGGTCTGGAACTGGCTCCTTAGACTCGGCTTTGCTGGGAGGGCCGAATTCTCGTTTTGATTTTTGCCAACATCTACATTTTTTTATATTAGTGATAATGATATAAAGAGATCTTAGAGGAACAGACATTTCTGGAAGGCGATAGTCTCTCTCATCTTAAATCGACTATAAATAGTTAAAAGTAGAGGAACGAGAACTGGTTTCTATTAGCAATAAGTTAAATGTTTGATTAGGTTGTATGCTTACTTAGACCCAGATGCAGTCTCCAAACCCAGTTGAAATGGTAAACGTTGTCCTGGATAGACTTCTTAAATGCGGCTAGCAAGATAACCAACACAATAGAAGCTGTGATATTGCCAACTCCTCCAATGAAATAAACCAAGAGAAACATATGTGCATGGCCTTTAGTTCCGGATTTTTCCGCAGACAATGTAGCCGAGATTGGAATATCTAGAAATTGTTAGACCAGTTTGCAATATTTATAGCAAAAACTTACCTCCACCAGTACCCAACCCCATGACCGCTCGCCAGGTTGTCATCCATCCTACGACAGCGCTATGGCTAAAGCCTCTCCAGGGCATCAAGATACACATGATATTGCCCAGAATAAAAAAGATAAGCTCTTTACCATATACGCTGTTACGCCCAAATGTATCACCCAGATAACCGAAGACAAGCTGGCCAACGATCAAGCCTATATACGTTCCTGTTTTCATAGTGCTAGATTGGTCGGTAGGGACGGCGCTGCCCGTATCTTCGAAGTAGATATACCCCAGCATGGATACGCCTACTAGCTGGTTAATATAAAACATGGAAGGGATGTATTCTTCCGTACCTAATACAATGGTTACAGAAGTGTACCCATTTGCAAAGTAGCCAACACCGACGATAAGAAAGAACTTGAGTTTCTCTAAGAGAGTGGGAGCTCTGTCCATTTGGTCCATGATGTAAGAACACGAAGAGAGAACCAAGGTAGAATTTTCTGCGTTGGTACTGAACTGATCGTCTTTTCTTCAACTATTTGCATCCTTTATATACCCATTTGATGTAAAACACGAATTGTTGATATTAACACCGTGGGTGATCGCAAGTCTCCCATTAGCCAGAAAGCTCAACGATAGAAAAAGCAATGTCGCAGCTCCTGGAAACCCCCAGGTAGTTAAAATTTCCCTCTTTGGGCGATAAGTGCGGGACAGTCCCTTTTTACTTACGGCGGGCAAGATGTGTTTATGTTTCTCAATCACCTGTGGGGCTTCTTCGGCTGTCGGCTGGCTAATGTATGGATGTGGATGTGATTGGTTCTTCTAGCCAGCTATTGGATGCGTTCGATAACGCACATGCTTGAATTGGCCTAAATGATTGGTAGACTAGCTACCAGGGGTCGTCATTCCCCTGTTGTCCCTGTAATGGTTCTACTTCGTAGAGTTTCTAGTAATCTAAAATGATAACTGATGTGGATTGACCCGAAAACTCTAAACAGCTACATTTGTAATACGAGAGGGATTTCCATGATTCAGTTCTCCAACTTTTTGAAAGCAGGAACGTGGGAGATTTCGGAGATTAATATGGGTCTGAAAACTGGAATTCAGGATTCCTACTAAGGAGACGAGGCTTAATTAGTAGAAACGAACCTCGTTATATAAGCAAGAAGCGTTATATAACTGTACTAGCTGTAAATAGATATAATGCAGATAGCTACAGATAGAGACTCTTCCAGATAAGAAAAACGTACAATTTCTCTCAATTACAGGATCGTTGAATCCAACAACTGTAATATATAGATATAAGAATCTATATATTGCAAACTGCAAGACTTCCGCTAAAATCCCATCGAAAAGAGATATATATACTCCCTTCTATACCGTAATCAAAATTTAAGAAATATATAAGTTGATAGAATTTTGATTTAAATAAGGTTGAGAGTTACATGTGTCGTGTCAAATCTACTTCTAGACCGATCTGATAAAGTACCGGGTATCTCTTCAGAGAAGTAAATTTCTATCCCTGACTAGGGGCGGGCGTCGACCGTAGAAATTACCGAATCTGGCTAAATGGGATATGGAACCCAGCCTTACCAGCTATGGGTCGATTGATAGATTCACCATTCTCTAACAGTATGTGTCACGAAATTCGGCATGTGCCCTAGAACGGTAAGATTTCACGGACAAAACTTCGCCTGTGAAACTCTACGTTCTGACCTGAACTAACAGCGAACCAAAGATCCATCTTCAAGAATACACCACTTTGTTTCAGCCAAACTAAGGCTGCCAGAAGGCACGTGTGAGCAGGGATTTAGATTCAGTGTCGGGAGAAGGCCGATAATGGAAATAAATTGCGACCTTGTGGGCCTGAGGAGATTATGAGTGCATTTTAATGAATTGGATGTGTAATCTACTGTGAGAAAGAGATTCCGTATTCGCTGACATAAAGACTGGACCAATTATAAATACTGTAAGTCGCACAATAGATTAGGATTGGATTTTTCATTTCATTGTCAAAATCCTTCATCAGTTTTTAACACTCTCCGACGAACAGTATATAACAATCTAGATGTCTAGGTCTAGAATCATAACATCACAAGATTAGATATATTAGCCTACATTATGGCTATACGCGAACCACTTGAATACTCTGGCTCTCTGGACAGCTATGCCAGGATCGAGCATACTCCTATCATTGGCACGGAGTTTCCGGACCTTCAGGTTGTGGATATACTCGATGATGACGAAAAGCTTCGAGATTTGGCGATTTTTGGTAAGCTTTTCTTTCATGGGCAAATATTAGGTTTCGGATGTCTAATAATAACAATGATTCAGTGTCCCAACGATGCGTGGTCTTCCTGCGAAACCAGGATATTGATATTGAGCAGCAGAAGAAGTTGGCTCAAAGGCTTGGCGAGCTTACGGGCAAGCCAAGCACTTCCACGGTAAATATAAATATTCATGAGTTGATATAGAGCTTGGCTAATGATTAATAGCTGCATAAACATCCTGTGAAGCGAAACGATCGTTACGGTCTCAATAAAAACGAGAATCTTGATGATGAGGTTACTATAATCTCATCTGAAGTACGCTTAGGTTTCTTTGTAGTTTTTTTTGATGCTGACTGAAGGATTATAGGCAAACCGCGACTTTTATCCTGAACGATTCCAATATCCGCCCCCTCTGGCCAGTCTTGGCTGGCACACTGAGTGAGTAGGCATCCTTGTCAATATATAGTTCCTTCTTTATAACCCAATTATCTAGTATGTCTTGGGAGAAAGCATCTGCCGACTATTCAGTTCTGAAAATGAACTATTTGCCTGATGGCGCTGTTGGGGGCGATACTCTGTGGGCCTCAGGATATGAGGCTTATGATCGGCTTTCGTCGCCAATGAAGAACATGGCAGACGGGCTAAAGCAATGGCATCATCAGGTATGTAGGGTATTTTCTTGATGCTGGACATTCGCCTTATTTGTACAGGACGATTACAACGCTATCTTCGGCCGAGATCTCTCACAGCAACTGCAAGGAGAGCGCGGATCCCCTTTCAACACGAGTACTGATTGGAGAACTCTTCAGTAAGCACACCCTTATTTGGTAAGTTAAGGATTAGAAAATAACAATGCAGACCCGTGGTCCGTACAAACCCCGTTACAGGGTGGAAGTCCCTCTTCGGGGCCGTGACCCCTCACCTCGTTTCAGGCATTGAAGGTGTGACAAAGCATGAAAGTGATATATTACAGAAGTATTGTAAGTGGGCGGCGTCGATTGGCAGAAAAAGCTTATCATTAACTCGTGGTGTAATAGTTCATCAGCTTGTTGCCGAAAACCATGACCTTCAAGTCCGCTTGAAGTGGCGTCAACATGATATGGCTATTTGGGATAAGTAAGTGGACTTTCTCCTTAGATCTGGTGCACACATTAATGCTTTCCAACTAGTCGCTGCGCCCTTCACAATGCAACCTAGTAAGTTCTACCCTTGAATTTCTCAAAGTCAGTTACAACGGTTGAAACGATAAGGGTAGTAACGAAATACAGTGACATTCGCGGTAGGCGACAGGGCAATAGAGTTATTTCAATCGCCGAAGTACCATATCTTGACCCGGCATCGAAATCTCGACGCGAGTCATTACTTAAATAATACAGAGTCAAGTATTAGTAATAACTAAATAGAAATAGATGTGCACTTATGGTCTAGGAATTTGTACCAATGGTTGGCATTAGGAGGAGGATTAAATTTGGTTAGCCTTCGCTAGATAGGCAGCTCTCCAGTTATTAATTAAATATTTCCTATAGTTATATTCAACATATAAATATTATTTATTTTAATACTGAAAATTTTCTTCTCTACTTTAAGAGAAAGTCTTTTTATTAAAACTACTATTAAACTATAGAGTTACTAGAGTTTATATAATATTAATCTCTAGAATAATAATTAGATTATACTAATTAAATATATTATTAACTTTATTTATAATAAGAGTTCTAATATATAAATTTAAATATCTAGTTATATAGAGATTAAAATAAGCTTTATATTAATATAAATAACTAAATAGTATTAATAAATTACTAATAACTAATAATATTAATCTAAGCTTAATCCTATAAATAGATAACTATACTAAACTAAAATAGTTAACTATTTAGAAAATAAAGAAATAGATCTAAAAGTAGAAGAATACTACTATATATACTATTAAAGCGGGAATTAATATACTTAAAATATATACTTATAGCGCTCTTTTAGATAATTTCTTATCTCCTGTTATAGATATAAGTATATAACTTACTTTATAAGAATACTCTATATTACTAAGATTTTATATCTAAAGAGAACTTTTAAAAATTTACTAATAACTATAGTAGTAGTTTTAAGAACTATATCTGTTTTCTATTTGAGGTTATTAAAGCTATTTATAAGGCTATTCCTATATTGATACCGCTTTAGATCTGTCTCTCAGCTACTGATTTGTTCCAGTATATAGGAGAACCTTCTTAGGGTATTAAAAGTAGTATTTATCTTACTAAACTGCTCCCAGCCGTAGGTATTAATATGCTCGATATAATAACTGGTAGTAATATTACAGCCTAATATATTAAGATATCTTAAACCTTTCAAACAGATATCGCCGGCCGTATATGCGATAGGGTACATGCTAATAGCTACAACTGGCTAATTGCTGCTATAGATTTCTGATTGGAGATAGTAGGTTTGCAAGATTATTAGTTCAAGAGCATAAGGACTCTAAGGCAGATATAATACTAGTATTAATTCCTTCGAGAGGTAGATATAGTACTTAGTATAATATATAAACTTAACTTAATATATAGTAGTCTATTTAATATTAGTAAGTATCTTTAAAACCCTACTATTAATTTTATAATATATTCTAATAGAATATATTAAAATTTAATAAATAAATTTCTATATTAAGAAAAGATAGAAGATAAAATATATTAAGTAAAATATATAGATTTATTAATTAATAATTTTTATTATTCTATAGAAAATATTTATTTACTTAGTATTAAACTAAATTATTTAATATTTAACTATTATCTTCTAAATATTATTTATTAAATTCTTTATTCTTATTCTTATTCTTATTCTTACTAATAATATCAGTATAGATATAGAGTATATACTTAGTTAGCTTATACCCAGGTTATATAACTAAGCTCCTCTTTTTTTTAATTAGATTAGATTAAAATACCCTCTACCCCCCTATTACTATTACTACTAGCTACTACTACTAGACTATCTAGAGAGATAGGGGGGGGGATTAAAACTATTCTAAATCTAGTTTTTTCTCTATATTCCTTATAAGTTATAGGATCTATATATAAACCTCTTAGTCCCTCTCTTTTTTTAATTAGATTAAATTAAAATACTCTCTTTTACTCTATTCTAAAATAGAGTTTTCTAGAGACTAGAGAGGCTTAAATATAAAAATAAAAAAAGTAATTTTTAATTAGATTAGATTAAAATACTCTCTCTTTTCTCTTATTAATTAATTACTTTAGAATATATTATATTTATTATATAATACTTAAATACTATTAAGTCTCTTTAATTAGATTAGATTAAAATATTTTTTTTTCTTTTATTAACTAGCTGCTTTAGAGTATATTATATTTATTCTATAATAATTAGATATTATTAAACCTTTTTTAATTAAATTAGTATTATAAATAAAGACTACCTTCGGGCTATAGGAAGTTATATATAAGATAGATAGTATAAATCTACTTTAGCTACTAATAAAGAGTAACTTTACTTTAGAGAAATAAAGTCTTAAATAAAAACTATTATAAAGACTTTAGTAAATATACTAATATATATATATCTTTTACTATATATACTATATTTAGTCTTTTAATTAGTATATAATAACTTTATAATTAGTTATTATGTTTTTCTTAAATATTCTAAAATAGTAATTAATTAATCTACTATAATATTAATACTATCTAATTAACTTTATTTAATTTAACTTCTCTATCTTATAAACTTTTTAATTCTTTAATTCTATTCTATTCTCTTTTATCTAAATACTATTAATATTTAAATATATTAAACTTTATAAGCAGCCTCTGCTCAGATTAGTTCTATATAATATATAATATACTAGAACTAGAAGCTATATCTCAGATTATTATAATTATTAAGTACTTAGTTATTATTAAAGCTCAGCTTATTAAGCCTATCTTTATTATCTACTAGTACTATATATAGAGCAGGAGGTACTAATATCTCTATAGGCTTTATAGTAGAGTATTAGATCTAGTAGTTATAACTACTATATCTATATAATTATAAATAGCTTTATTATTATAAGGAATTCTATTACTAAGTATAGGCTCTATTCTTAAATATATAGATTATAGATAAACTTCTGAGAGTTATTACTAATTATCTTTATTATATATATAAAGACCCTATTTACTATTATAATCAGGTTCTAGCTACTAGGGATAATTATATTAGATAAAGCTATTATTATAGTTATAAAAAGAGATAGTTAGTAATTAGTAATACTAAGCTTAGAGAGATATTATAGTTAATTATAGATAATAAGTATTCCCCTTTAGAGCCTATAGCTAAGTTATATATTTAGTAAGGTCTTTTTAGAGTTTTTAGAGATACTATTACCTTATCTTAGCTTATATAAATAAAAAGATAAAGAAAATAGAGTTAAAAGTTAGATATAGACTGAAATTTAGTTAAAAATAAATTATATAGATCTAGTTATATATAGCCTAATTTTAGAATATTCTTTAAATATAGTAAAAACTCTTTAAAATATATATATATATATATATCTTTATTTCTATAGTATAATACTTTTTTATATAGTTATTAATATAATTATCTATACTTCTATTAGAACTAGCTCTATAATACTTATATATTAATAGTAATCTATATTATATAGCTTATAATAATCTAATTATACTACTTAGAATAATACTCTAATTAGTTTAACTCTAATCTACTCTAGACTTTATCTAGTATAAATTATCTAATTATTATATATTAATAACTGTTATTTAGCTAATTATCTTATCTTAGCTATTATATAATAATAAAAAGATACTATAACTACTCTAGAAATTTACTAATAACTAGAGATATCTAGTACTAAAAGTTAAATATAATCTAGTTTAAGTAAATTAGTTAATATTATATTCTAATTTTTACTTTTTATTCTAAATACTAAAGGTTTATTAAAGAGTTATTATAATATTTATAATATATTAGCTTTTATATCTATTAAGATACTCCTTTATAATAGGTTTTATTAAAATTACAGTAGCTTATAAGGTATATTAGGCCTTGAGACTGCTATAACTAGCAGTAGTAGAAAATTTAGCTTTTAACTTATAGTGAACACTCCTCTATAACTTAGTTAAATTTTATACTAGAAAGTCGGTTTATAGTATATTTTATAGTATAAAAGAATCTTATTTTAGTAAGAGAAACCGGAAAAATATACTAATTTCTCTCATAGGTCTACCGACTAAAAACTACTCTAAAACCCACTATAGCAGCTTCCCAGGCTACTTTTGATTTTCTATAATATAATCTATAAGTAAGCTAATTATATAAGTAAGCTAATTACTTCTATCTATCTCTTATATAATAAAGTTAATTAAAATAATAATAGCTAATTATCTATAATAATAATATTAGAAATTAATTTATTAGACTTCTCTCTAGCTTCTCTATAGATTCAGATATTATAATTAGGCTTTCTATAATTACTATATTATAAAGTCTTTATATAAACCTACTCTCTCTAACTACTACTTCTATAGTTTTTCCCTCTTAGCTACTTATCTATATTCTTCTAATCTAATAGATCTATTCTATTCTATATAATTAGGAATTCTCTAAACTATATATAGTTTTTTTTAGCTTTTTAATACTTACTTAATATCTTATTTACTATATAAAGATTATAGATTTTAATATATAAAAGAGCTATCTAGTATATTATTATAGTTATCCTCTTTATAAATTAATCTACTATAGTTAGTATAGAGATTAGAGAGCTATTTTAATAAGCTAAGATTTAAGATTTAATATACTTAGATTATATACTTATCTTATATATAATCTATAGTATCTTTAGAATATAGAGCTATTTTATCTTAGATAGAATCTCTAATAGTATTAGTATTTATAATACTATATCTAGTTTTAAAAAAACTCTCTCTAGATTATATAATATTAGACTAGATCTAATAAAGTTTATTTAGATATTTTTCTCTATAAAGAAATAGAAGAAAGCTATATAAAAAATAGAGAGAAATTTAAGCTTACTAATATAGGTAATATATATCTATATTAGACTCTTAATCTCTTATCTATATAATTACTTAA